AACTGAAGACGATGAAGAAGATAAATTAACGACAAACTTGACGTATTCAAAATGCCTATGCATGTTAAATGAAATAAAAATGAAATGTACAGAAAGGTTTATCATTTTTAAAGGGAATAACGTTCTGGGGATTCGAAGCTACATTATAATAATACTTCCGGTTTTGAGAAAACTGAGTCATATTTGACAGTCCACTGTACATGTATAGTGTCAAAATATTCTTATTCATCAAAAAAGTTTATTTGATGTCTGTTTGGCCTCACCACCTACATGTACTCTTTAGTTGGAAGATAAGCAACCATAACCATTAATAAATGATTACGATTTAATAATTAACAATTAAGGGTTTGAACAAAATGAAGCAAGGCCTAAATCTATTCTGTTACAAAACTCGTTGTGTATGAATATAAATAACCAATAAGATTTGTACTCAGTTCCCTACATGCACGAGGAACCGGTCAAACCGTTGTCGCTATGTCATACAGTGAATCATACTAGATTTTTTGCATATCAGTCACTGGTGTACACATGACAACAACCATTAGCAACAGTCAACAGGTACATGCCTCAATAACGGACTGTTTAATGTTTTATGATTTTGCTTATCTTTTTATCTTGATTTCATACAAACTATTCAATTTCAATATGTTTCATACAAACAATTCAATACAATTGGAGGTAATAAAAAAACACCTGCAATTCTCATAGTATACTGTGTATACGATATACAGTATTGTACAGACATGAGAGTTTTTTATGATATTAAACATAAAAGGCAAGCAATTATATTGATATAGCATATCGCACATCACATAAAGTGTGGAGGGGAGATTTAACTATAGACTACCAGACTAGGAATTAAATGATTTAGGTACTAACATGTATACATGATAATAATAACTTTTCCTTTTTGAGGGGGGTGGGGGTGAAATTACCCTATAAAGGTCAGATTTTATTGTATCTAACACCCCATTATAGTTCAAGGCAGCTTACAAACATGAACCTAAATACGTGAACATACTCAAATTAAATAAATATATACCACAGCTCTTTTATTTACGACCTTTAGTAGATTAGATGGTGTTCGAACAGACATACATGTACATGTATCACAACCCAGTAGCAATAACTTAAAAGCTATAAATGTATGTTGTTATTGATATCCCATGGGTAGGTTATAAGTGTATAGTCAATGGTATTAATTGTAACAAGTCTATTGAGTACTACGTTATATTACAGCACTTAGATTTAGAATTGAAACCAATATATAAATATATAAAAGTAAATAACCAAAATAGTCAGCTGTGGGGGAATTCCCAAATAAATGGAAATAGGTATTATTTGGTCCAGAGAAAGTAAGCATACCCTACTCATTCTCAACATTGGCTTTAAGTAGATCAGTAAGCACACCCTGCTAATGCTCAACATTGGCTATGAGTAAGCATACCCTGCTCATGGACAACATAGGGTATAACTTGGTATTTATTTTGACATAATTAGTGTTGGTAAATAACATCTTTAAAAAATTCAATCAAAATGATTGATATCCGATGATTGATCACTTTAGATATTAATAAGATCAATAAATTAACAACTTTGAAGCCTATGGGCATGATCATGTATTTTTTACAAACCAGTGTTGAGTTTAATAAACAGAATAGATATAGATAAAGTCCTACTTATTGGCAACAAGATGATCTTTAATAAAGCGACGCCTGTGAACACATTGGCGCGTGCTGGTACATAAAATGACCCGTGAAGATTAGGCCGAAACTCATGGTGCATGCCACCAGCTTCGTTAGCCCAGTTGGTGTGGAAAAGTAGGACATTACACCCCATTTCATTTTTATGGACAGTGATATGATTCGTCACATATACAGAGAGTCCTAATTATTGCATGTCAGATAATTTATCAACTATATATATCGAGAGTACAGAATTCTACATCAATCTGATTAAAACACAGATTCTATTTCCTTTCGTTTTTTAATAGTTCAAAATTTCGTTTTAATTGTCTATACTACACTAGGATCTGAAAGAGTTGTTATATAACCCACGTTCTGAATGATGTGAGGGTTTAGCCAATGAAACGGTCTGTCTCGGCGAGTTTTTGGCTTGAGGTGCATGGAACAGTGGGCAACACACTAGAAACATCAATGCTGATTGGTTAATCAAATGTCTGACGTCATAGGGTCAAAAGCCACTCTTATGACCTCTGACGCGACCTTCCACTACAGATCTTCATGTAGTAGAGGCCATCGAAAGTATAAAAAATTGAAAAGTAATATAGATCTGTATTTGAATCGGATTGAGTTCTACATGTACTTATTGACAGCAATATGGTCTGTCTAGTATGTAAGTAAAACTATAAATGGCGGGTAGCTCTCATGAAACTAGTAGCAGGACACATGAGTAGAGATGTTGTGATACAAATATTTGAGCTTTTCACAACAGATCCCGACTGACAAAAATGATATGTCACTAGTTGAATTATATGTAAATCAATATGGATTCACACTTAAGAACTTTCGCAACATTTAGCTAAACAATAACTTGAATAAGATTTAGTCCCGAAGTGTCCCCACTTTCTTTAAAGTTTTAAGTGTAATTTAAAGACACATTTCTGAAATAAAAATTACACCTGCAAAATTTAAGGCTATTTACGTAACTTAATGTATGACTGTATAATTTGTATAATATACACAATAAGTGTGTATATCCCAGTATATTACCATCTCTCTGGTATCTTCTGAAATACCGACAATCAAGGTGTAGAACATTAATAATGCAATCATTCCTTCCCAATCCTTATTTTGCTCCATTACTTCTACGTAGTTCATAATCTATTGGAATGGTGATGTTTTGGTGTATCATGGCAGATTTCCAAAAGGTTTATCATCTTGGTGTGATGCTGTGATATCTTATAATCGTAGTAATCTACATATATATGTGTGTCAGTAGTTATTTTTACTTTTTTGTGCCACTCCAGCATACCTTTTATCAGAATACGACTCATCCTGTAGGTTTCTTCTCTGAAAATGTTACCAGTCATCAGTCTTTTATCAATGAAAATTGCTCAATGGTTTAACGAGTCATCCTGTAGGTTTCATCACAACAAATGTTATAAGTCATACACTAGAGTCTTTTATCAATGAGTAGGATGTTAAAGCTTATTTCATTTCATTTCTTTTATCAATGAAAACTGCTCAATGCTGGAACGACTCATCCTATAGCTTTCATCACAACAAATTTTATCAACACAAATAAAAACATTTTTTTTACGAATGTCACAATGAAAAATTTCCATTGTTGTGTCTTTATTCATGAATAATTTTAATGTGATTTCAAAATTCTCTTGTAGTCGCAAAATTTTTTCAAAAATCTCTTCAACATACATTATGCAAGAGCTAAATCTGCCTATCTTACTTTTTAATTAGACATTAACTAACTTAATTATCCAGACCATAATCAACTCTCGATGGCATCGCTAGCCTGCAATGTTTCTTGGATTAGGTACGATTTGCTGTTCGACTCCATTCATAATTAAATCATGAAATGGATAATCAAGACTATGTTTTTTATCCTACCGTCTTTAGTAATGATGATCGAGGCTAGGCCGAAAATTTAATCACTAAAACTTCGGTTCAGAGTGGATCAATTTGACTGAAATTTTTAACAAATTCCCTTTACAGTATCTATTTTTTAACTATTATAGTGAGAATTACCAGCTCTCTATCTAATCTCCCATAATGTATCTTTATGGATATTGTTTTGAAATTGCCAACCTACGTGTATGTGGTTTATTGTAATATTAATTTGAGGGGGGAACATTGACAAGAAAAAAAGCTATCTCTTGATAACAATTTAAATGTAAAATTCACATGCATGAAATATGATATGAATATTATTTGTATGAATTCTCACTACCGGGTAATGTGTGGTCTATTTATGATATCATTATTATATCAGTTGACTCAAGTTACGAGTATAATACATTTAACTATCAAAATCACTTATTGCTGTGCAGAATAGCCAAACATTAAACCCCATTTCATTTCTAATTGTTGTAGTATTGAAATGGATATTTCAGGGGCATATTGAACCTAGGTAAAAAAAGATTTGTGTATGGCCTAGATATTGACTATGATGATTCATATATTTTTTTTAAACATAACCTACTACAGGTATTAATAGTACCATGAAGGGCATTAAGTTCTTATTAAATAAAGATAATATAAGAATCTAAAATGGGGTAGGCGTAAAGTATACATTTAGATAGTACAATGTTATTGTGTGAGCCTACACATATATTATGAAGTACCTATGCTGACGAACACTCATGTTTCTACAGGATGTTTCAACTTACTATAATTATTTCCATGTTTTCCTATATCACAGCTTCCTACAACTTTTTGTCTCGTCTACAAGTATAAATAGAGCAGTTTTCTTGCCTCCTTGTTTCGTTACGGTTGTTTATTATTTACTGTGCAGTGATTTACACTGGCCAGGAATAAGGACAAATTCTACTATTACGGATTCCATTGTGACTAATCCTTCCACTTTCTGTTTCCAAATTTAATTGTGGAGAGTAAATTTATTGAATTATTTTTACCTTTGATTTGACTTCCACTATTTGTTTCTAATATTATTTGTGGAGAGTAAAAATATAGTATTATAAATTTTGCCTGTGGTTTGACTTTGATACTGTGGGAAGATCATAATTATACTAGTATTAGCTTTCTGTGTGGAGTAATGTGAACTGAGCTTGTTTCAATACCACAGTATTTTGTGATATTATTACTGTATCAGGATTATTTAAACAAGAGATTCAGTAATAACAATATTATATTTTCTATCTGTGGACTGTTTATTATATTATCAGGATTATTTTAAAAAGCAATTCAGTAATAACAATATTATATTTTTTATCTGTGGACTGTTTATTATATCAGGATTTTTTTAAAAAGCGATCCAGTAATAACAATATTATATTTTCTATCTGTGGACTGTGTGGTATGTCTGGATTATTTAAACAAGTGATTCAGTAATAACAATATTATATTTTCTATCTGTGGACTGTATTATGTCTGGATTATTTAAAAAAGCGATTCAATAATAACAATATTATATTTTCTATCTGTTGACTGTGATGGTAGGCTATATTTGAGTTATTTAAACAGGAGATTCAATGATGATAATATTTTTGTGATAATACTGTTGTTTTATATTTACATATAAGATAGATCTATCAAATTGACTTGAGGCTGTGATTGATGGTGATTGAGTTGTGATTCTGACATACGCTCGTATTACAGGGTTTAGTTCATTATAAATAGTTCGTTTGGCCTAATGGTATATATATTTTTTAAATGTACATTAGTCTATTCACTGTAACCTTCGCTGTAGTATTTACTATTTATGGTTTACTGTGATTGTTAGAGTTGTATTACAAACTGAAGGTTTCTAGAGTACTTGTGTTTTGTTATATAATACAGTATTATTTCTCTATCAGTATTATTTATCTTGAAATACAAAGGAAGTGATAATAATACTCTTGATCCTTGATTTGTTTACTGTTTGTAAACATGGCTGCTAGAACTAAAGTTGCTTTAAAAAAGGGAAAAGCAAACAAGAGGATAAGCAAACCAAGTGAAGGTATGTGTATTCACTGAGTACGGCTGTATTATCAAATAGACAGGGCTAGATGTTTAGTCTTTAGGATGTTACACTAGGTTAATTTGAATAATTTAGTTCGAACATATTTTTTTCAAAGTTATTGGCAGTTGAAATAGCTGTCAGTGTCAGCTTAACCCTACTAGAAAGAAGTTGATCATTTTGTTTTATCGTTTGCATGTAGTGTGGTTCTCCTGCACTTACTATTTGATATGAATAACAATGAAATACATACAATTATTATGTTGTCTGTTCTTATGCATTAAAGATACTTTCCCACGTGCAAACTGTGTGATTTGAGAATATATTTGAACTAAAAACATATTCAAACTAATTAATCTATCAACAATTTGCTTCATATTCCTCTCAAAACTTTGTATTCACGGGGAGATACCTCATGCTATTATTATAAACTGTTGTTAGATGCCATGTTTGTCACTTAACTTCTTTGAGGGAGGGTGCATTTATGAGAATGTATTTTTCATTACTTACTGTCCATTTAACAGACATATATTGCAGATTAATCTTTGTTTAAATACAGGATTATGGTTCCGAAAGCTGTAGAATTATGGATTATCAATTCCATAAATTTACATAATATCATCAGGGGTGATAAACAGTCAATGATATTGACTGATGGAAAATTAGCCTGTTAATTAACTTACTTTAATTAATCTTCTAAAATATCATGAACACTTGATACTTCTAAATTCATTTCTCAAGTTTCTATATTAAGAAACATTATCAAATATAGCTAAAAGTTTCTATATTAAAGATACATTAGTTAAGAGTTTAATGAAGAGTTGGTCATTATTGCTATAATAATTCAAAAATAGATGATAAAAAAAGAAAAAATATTGAAAATTTCAGTCAAATTACTTTATTCGGAACGGAGTGGTCACTGTTGGAAGTTTGGACTAGAAATAGGCACCAACTGTGCCCTCACCGTGTACGAGAATTGTCGATTGTTTAATTGACAGATGATAACTCCACCCACATATTCTCGATTATCAAGTAACATTCTCAATGGCTATGGTACCCTCACTTGGTAGGCCTTTCGTCACTAGCTTCCGGTAGTGATGTCAGTGACTAATGGTAAACGTAAGCTTGGTCTGCCATTTCTTGATTTAATTTTAAATGGACGACTGTTTAAATCCAAGTTGTATCCAAGCCATCCAAGGGTTTACAGAGCTGATTTTGAGCTTGTCATATAAATAAACGTCTAATTAATAATTTCTATAACTTCTGAAGCCGAATAAAGACTTGCAATAGGCAGATTTAGCTCTTGTATAATCTATGTTTAAGAAACGTTATCAAATATAGCTATATAAGTTCATTACACTTCAAAATTATTCTAATTGAATAATGGATTGTTTGTTTTTGTATTTTCAGTGATTGAGATGATTGTGTTTTTGAGAGACAGAACTGGGATACATTTTAATTTAGAAGATGGCCATCTTGCACAAGCTGATGATCTGTTAGATCTTGTTATTGACGAAAAGAATTTACCAGATATAGCTAAACAAGCTTTTGCTCTGTGGATAGTTTCTGATCTTTTAGGTAAGCTTTAATGACAACATGGAGTCACAGTGGCTTAGTGAGTAAGACGTTGGCTTGTTAATCTGAATGTCCCATGTTCATTCCAGGTGTTGGCCGAGAAAGTTCATGTGGATTTTCCGGCGTGCTTCCCCCTTGTCAGTTGTATAGGATGGCAGACCTGGCAATGGGCAACCTATATAGTTGTTCGTGAGGGGATGAAAAACCGAGGGCCTGTGTACCTCTTGACGTACGCGTAAAAGAACCCTTTGCAGTTGCAGTTCGATGTAAGAGTAGGCTGTAGTGCCACTGTCCCTGCTAATTTTCCCAGACAGAACACTGTATTGTGTTTGCCCATCTTCATTTGTCCAGTCACAGCAGAACAGTAGGACATCAAATTTCATTTTAATGACCGTATGATTTCAGATCAAGAAGGATACCATTTAATTGTGTCTGTCTGTCACCCACCTCTTCGAATTGAGGTAGAATATTCAAACATTAGGTGGACATTTTTCACCCAGGCTAATTAAGGCAGAGTAATGATACTTGTAGAATAGTTTCATTACATAAATACTTTGACTAAGTTCTATAATGAGAATTTTCCACTTGGGTTAAGCAGAGTGGCAAGCAATGCAATTGCTCTGTGCTTTAGTTAATCTTAAGATTGAAGTGGGAGGCATCAACCTCACTGTTGGCTTAATTATTTTGATAGCAAGCCCATTGCAAATGTGTAGATAAGGCATCATCCTCACTGTTGGCTTGATTATATTGATAGCAAGCCCATTGCAAATGTGTGGATAAAATCTAGATTTCCATTTTCTGTAATTATATTCCAATCGATGAATTAGATTCAATGTATGTTTGATGTATGTTTTATAGATTTACGTATGAAAAGAAGTCATCATCCGTATCATGTAGTAGAGAAATGGGATGAATTATGTGTTATTTATACAGGAGCTGAATTTGAAGATATTGTTAAATGTAAGTATTAATGATAGAGTTCTAATTGTGATTGAGTTTAAATGTAAGTTCTAATTGTAATTGAGTTTTATATATTTGTTTAAATATTGATTGGGGGGGCGGGGGGTCACTGTGGCTAAGGAGGTAAGACGCTGGCTCGCTAGCCTGGTGGTCGGGTATTCGATCCCTGCATTGGCCAAGAAAGTTCATATAATTTGATATAAGAGTAGGCCGTAGTGCCGCCGTCCCTCATGGCACACTGTATGGCGTATGCCCGTCTTCATTAGCCCAGTTCGGAGCAGAACAGTAGGATGTTAAACTCCATTTCATTTAATTTAAATATTGATTGATTATAAGTTAAAATCTATTTTAATCTTCAATTTGTCATGAATTCATTTGTGAAAGATATCAGATACATGTAACATGATTCTCTAGACCATAACAATTCACATAAACTCTTGTTCTGGTTGAGTAACCTTAAAAACATGCCAACTGACCACTTATTACATAGATTAAACCAAGATTATAAGTTTGTAGAATAAATTAACCCATTTCTATATTATGTAACTTGTAGGTCTTTTTGCTAACTTAATTAATTAATAACCATCTTACCTGATTTATAGCCCAATCTGATTAACATACAGATCTATATTTCGTTTTGTTTTTTTATATACTTTCAATGGCCTCTACTACATGCATATCTGACCAGTTGTAGTGGAAGGTCGCGCCAGGGGTCATACAAGCTTTTGACCCTATGACATCAGACATTTGATTAACCAATCAGCATTGATGTTTCTAGTGGAATACTCACAGCACGCCAAGAACTCACCGCAACAGAGCATTTCATTGGCTAATTCCTCACATCAACCAGAACATGGATTATATAACAACTCTTTCAGGTCCTAGTGTAGTAAAGACAAGTAAAACAAAATTTTGAACTATAAAAAATGAAACGAAATAGGATCTGCATTTTAATTAGATTGTTTATAGCCTTGATTTGAGTCAGTTACAATTACATGTATCTGTGTAGGAGGTTAAACCCTATTGCATTTCATTTCAATTTATATGATATCTCTCAGGTTTCCATTAACATATGAAAATGTTTTGAACTAAAAATAAGCAGAACTCTTTTTCTAAGAAGATTATTGAAATGTGTTTTTTAAAATTTTATAATTGAATAGCGGAACCGGTATTAATGGTACAGAGAGACGTTTTCTTTACTCTAGATCAAGAGAGAAATGTAAGAATTTATTTTATAATTATATTATTGGGACGATAAGTGAACTTTATGCCTTTAAACAGCAAGTAGACAAGCCCTGATCGACATAATTAGTTATGACTGTTCAAAATTTTAATTAACCAAGGTCTTGGGAAAGCCTGACCAGCTATATTCTGATAATGAGTGTAAAGTGAATGGAGGTGTGATTCCTGGAAATAAGGATAATTCGGTGATTGCATGATAGTATGACAGCTGGAGACATTGGCAGCCCTTGTAGTAGTCTAAAATAGAGTTTGAGCACATGCTGTCATCTGTCGCTCAAATTCAATATCTTACAAAATAACCTTTTCATTAGAAAATATAATTATCTATGAATATCTATCAGTTTTAAAACGACTGGAAACTAGTCCAGTTAACATACCTGTACTGCATTCAGATAAGTTCAATAACACAGATTCTATTAATGCATTTATAAAACAAATATCATGATTCTGTGCTTATTACCTGTTTTATGTACCGATATTTTAAAATATTTTATTATTTTCATGTGTATTTCTACAGATAACTAATGAACAGATGTTGTGTCTATTATATCATGAAGCTAAATTTAATGTAATAGAAGGAAGATATGTTTTATATCCTGAAGATTACAATAGATTAGCAGGATTACAGGCCTTAATCCATTTGGGAAAATATGATCCTAAAGAACATGTTCCAGCTCGTTACAGGTGAGATTTAATCAGACTGATGGACATATACCTGAATATATTTACATCAATTGTGAATGACAGCCACATTGTTGATGGCAATAACATTTTTTTATTTTCATTGTCATTCCAATGAACTCGTTACATGAATGATTTGTGTTTGATTAAATTCATTATCTAAATTTGAATTTATTTATGTGTTGTTCAGCCTGCCAGATGACACTGAGGGTCATGCAAAGAAAAATTGTCAAATTGGACGTAAAAACAAGGTCCACTCGTATATTTGCAGGCTTACACATAAAACAACGTTTGGCAGAGTAATAGGTGGAAATGCTGATGTCCGTGCAAAATTTTTATCACAACCCCGGCTGTATGGACATTAAACCCCATTTATATATTATATATATTATATTCAATAAAATGTTTTATATTGTAGATCATCCATTATACAATTCTACCCTGAACATATGTACCAGAAACAGAAGTTTTTATTTTTTACCACATCAAAGAATAACGAAGGAGTGGAATGTGAGGATTTGATGAGAGGAGCACATCAGGAATTATCTAATGAATTTGCTGATCTAGATATACCTAATAATCTAAGTCTGCTCTATCAAAAATATCTAGATGTCTGTCGTACATATCCTATGTATGGGTAAGTCATATTTATTTTTTTTCTAAATGGATTGGTTAAATTTTAAATATATGTTACATAAAACATGTGATCTTGTAGTGTGAGGTGTAATACAATATTTGCACTACCACTCAACCCGGGGAAATAAGGCACCTGTCACAGACAATGTCAGGCACAAATTGAGACATTGTCAGACAAAAAAACTCTGGTGCCTGTCATTTTGTCTGGCACTGATTTGTCTTTTTTATTGATATTATTAATACATGTCCGGCAGTAAGTTGAAAATGTTAGGTACTATTTCATTAGGGCTTGACATTTTGTCAGGTACAATGTACATCTAAAACTGTACCTGTGAACATAAGTCAATTCTGTATTTACAAATATATGATAAATTGAAAAATTTGCAACACTCTAGGATTATGTTTTAATGCTAAGTATGGATTAAACATCGATAAATGAGATATTCTGTGTAAAATTCAACATATGATCAACGGATCAAACATAATTAATGGTTTAATATGCTATCATATTTCTGAATTAACATTCTTTTGAGAAACAGTGTTTCTGAGAGTGAATACAGTGCAGTCATTATTGTTTAAGGTGCGCTTTAACTCCTCCTCTTGATGCACCACAACTCCCCTTCGCGGTAGCCATTAAAGTCTCCTTCAAATTAGCTAAATCGCTTTCCTGAATGTTGAGATTAATAAAACCACTTTCAGTTTTTTGTTGATTTGAAACTGCCTACATGTGAGCTATCAGTTACCATGATGATAATTCTGACGCTACCATATTCACCAAACATATTCACCAGATATGAAACAAGATTAAATCATAAATACAAATTGGCTCTCCTTAATTCAAAAAAATGTAGAATTACTCTTGCAATATAATTAGTTTTTTACAGGAGCTTTTTTCTCATTTTTGAAATTGGCAGGAGCTTTTTATGGTTCCCGCACAATTTTATAAACGTAAAGGACTACAGTGTATTAAATAAATTGATTTCTAAATGTAGTTTAATATTTATGATTTACAGGAGTGCATTTTTCCATGGTCAAATAGAAAGGCCAGTGAATAGATTTAAGAGAATGATGAATATTGGTACCAGTGTAAAATGTTTAATTGCCATCAATACAGATTGTGTTACTTTAATTGATAAAGAAAGTCGTGTAAGCTTTATGTATAAATATTGATTTTAACTGGCAGCATGTTTAATACCTACTGGTATACTCTTTCTACAAGTATCTAGTACTGCTAATATTATATCTATTTGTTAATAACTCAATGAGTATGGTGTTAGCTCACTAACCAAGAAGTCTGTGGTTGAATCTCGGGTGTTCACTGATAAATTTCCTCAGGATATACCGGTCTGGTGCCCTCTTGTCAGTGGTGCGTGAGCGCACTGTATCATAAGGTCTGTCATTGAATCAGCTGGCAGATTTCGATTCCTCGGTTGTACATGACAAGGAGTAGGGTCGCCTGTCCAACCTCATGGTTTTTCTCCGGGTCCTCCAATTTCTTCCCACTGCTAAAGATACCTACGCACAAGCGAATTATTAAAAATTAAAATTGAACCATATGTTAGTCCCTAAATTACCAATTTGTGTCAAGTGGATGCTAAGGCCCATTTCTCTCACTCTATCTCTCTCTGTCAATGGTGCAGGGATGCATGGCGTATCAAGGATACACATCTAATGTTTTTGTTAACTTGTAAGTAAAAAATTCTGTGACAGTTGGAATTCGATAAAGAGTAAGCTGCTATGCCACTGTGTATGGGCAAAAGTCAAAGCACACTGCAATGGTGTCTTCGTTAGCCTATTTAGTGCAGAAAATTATCATTAAATACAGTATCTGTAAATAATTGTAAATTTTGGTAATAGGATTTATCTTATGATACAATAACAATGTTATGCTGCATATTTAATGGCCTAAAAGTCAGTAGTGGGCAATAAGGGCTCTTTGATAATTGTTATATGTACAGTATATTAAATAGATCTTGTTATCTTCCAGGTGGTATTATTAACAGTACCGTTTACACAGTTGTCATGGCGATATAAAGAAGCTGAGTTTGATGTAGATGATGAAACAATGGATTGTTTATATTTACAATTTTTATATGATTGTCCACAACAAGGACAGGTTACAAAATTATTAGAAGTCTATTCAAAAGAGGTAATATATTGTTTTCATAGGGAATGTTCGATTGAACTTTCTGGAATTGAATTAATGACAGTCGGGTGAAATTTGAGGGTAGAACACATGCGTCAACTGTATGAGAAAATATCTCAACCAACCATGACAGCTAAAACATATTCATTGTGCTTAATTACGTCACAATTCTACTCACATCACCTCAGTTGTCGGAACTGACAGAACTGCGAGAATACTGAATTCTACTTCACTCGATTGCAATTCTGTCAATTCGGAACATCCCGGACTGACAATCAAGCATCCCCATCCTTACAGAATTTTATATAAGGGAGGTAACTCCCTTTATGTAAATGCTGGTCATAAATAAACTTTTTTAAGACAGTAATTTAACTAGCCAGGTTTAAAGTCAATTATTCAGAACAAAAATGCAGAGAACTGTTATATGACAAAGGACAATAATTTTAATAAAAAAAATATATAATAGACAGCCATTGAAGTGAGACGTATGAATACATTGTTAAAATGTAGTGAAATGGCATTAACATCATGTGACAGTATGATGTCAATGAAAAGATTGTCCATGATGGTCACTTTTTATTTGTCATTGAACTGAAGAGTGGAATTCTTATTCTTTGTGTTATATTTACAGGCTAAATTAATGGATGCTTTAATATCATCATGTGTAAAACGTAAACTAGATTTAGGTGTTGAACCAGAAGATTTTGTTGATGGTCGTGTTACATCAGGTAAATTTCATTATTACAGTTCGGTAATAGTTTATTTTTAACAAGTTGTTTAATAAAACAGATCCAGATACAATACTCTCTGTCTTATTATAGTTCTATAATAAGTTGTTTAATAAAACATCTTCTAAATATAAATTTAAAACATAAAAATTATTCATGTGAGAAATTTCTAATTAGCAAAAAGCACAACTACTATAATAAGCAAAAGGCACAACTAATATAATAAGCAAAGGAGGCACAATTACATAATAAGCAAAAGGCACAATTACATAATAAGTAAAAGGCACAACTACATAATAAGCAAAAAGCACAACTACTATAATAAGCAAAAGGCACAACTACAACTGCTATAATAAGCAAACAATACGACTACTAATTAGCAAAAGGCACATTGCTGATTGATTTCAAATTTTAGAGCCTGTATCTTTGTGAAAGGGAATGATAACTACTTACTATGCCTCCTTTAGACAATCATTATTGTTTTTATCTGGTGCCAAACATATTCAGAGCATATTTCATAAACCGTTCAAGACATCTTTATAAAACTTTATATACACATCTACCTTATATAGCACATGTGAATTTGCTAATTAGAAATTTTGCAGATTTTAAAAGAAAGGTTTCCATGGAAACTAGAATGACATACCGTTTGCTATACAAGGAGCTAAGATAATGCCTTGTTGTTGTGCACTTTTAAAATATTTTTCTTTTCTAAACTCAGATTCTGATAACAATATGAAAGTGATACATAAAATGGATAAATTATGTTGTGCCACATATACAGTACAGGGTAGGTAGAGGTTTTACTGTTGCTTGACGACATTATTAATACAAAGTTTCATTTTAAACATTGGAAGGGAGAAAGTTATAGCTGATCAGTTTAATCTTGTTGAGTTTTTTTTTTCGTTTGTTATCATTTTACATTCCAGTTAGAAATTCTATTTTGTAAAGATGTTTTTATTTTTTATATTAGATAGTAAAATTATACAGAACATGTAATAATTTAAAATTACACCAATTTAAAATACCTCTATACAGTTCTTTCGAAAAATATCTTGGCCTTTTTCTTCTCTACTTGATGAATGCATTTTTTCAAGATCCAGTCCTCCGTTTTCATCCCTCTGCTAAAGACCACTACCCGCAATCAAATTATTGACATAAAATTGAATCATATGTTAGTCTAGAAATGACCTAGTTTCTGTCGTTGATATTAAACCCGATTTCTCACTCGATCCAAAGATCCCTCTCCCACCAAAAGAAAATTTTGAAAGTCGCAATTCCACTCTTCAGAGTATTTCTAAATACAGTAAAAACCCTGTGCTGCTAAAAGTTGTCTTGACTTCTAAAATGATATTACAGATCTACAAACTGTAGCAGGGGGTAGGGGAGGGGGAGAATGGAAAGGCATGTGTATTTATTAATGAATGAAGCATGGACTTCCTACAATGTACTACATATCTCAAGCTTTTTGTTTTAAATTTGATTGTTAAAATTTCTGGAATATATATTTAATGACTTTTTCATTCTTTGATAATTTTCAGGAAATAGAATTGATTGATGCGCTGCTATCTAATTCTCAACTCCTGCATGTTCTGGTTAATCTACTCTACTAAGCAACATTAGCCAGTCTCAAAGCTTGAACTGTGATATTTCATTATCATTCCTTTTTGTATTTACATATCTATGGACTGGTGCCAGTTTCTGTTTGACTTAATAACAACAGTTTCAAATACATATGCAATATGGAATGCCACTATTGCCAGCTTCTGACGTTTTTAATCATTTTCTGATCATTCTATTAACTCAGACAATTTTATGAGATATTAGAACTATCTCCATGTTCCCTGTGTATTACCCTGAAAATACTAGTCCGAAACTTGTATTGGTGGAAGCTTTAATATTATTATGCCATGTATTTCTTTTCTCTATATGGAATAGATGACCATAAGAAGGGCTTGCCAAACAGATGGTAAATACAGTAGTCATCTATTCTACTCGCACATAAGTAGCCATTTCCCATCACCATTGTTGAGTGGTGAAGGGTTTTAGGAACAAACTACAACTGGAGACTTGCTTTTTAAATAAAAGGAACCAATATATGTTACTATTAAAACATGTTACTACTAAAATGACAACAAAATTGTCTATATCCACTTCAGTCATGATTACACAAAATTGATAAAGAGCTTCGGCCTGAAAATGGTCTGTCAGTACATGTCTAAAAGTATTTTTTGAGTAGAAGTCGGAAGTATGTAACAAGTTACTTAATCCGCCAATAAAATTAAAGGAAGTGTTTCACGCACCATATCGAACTCAATTCAGTTTGGATTTTTATTACGAGATATTCCATTATTTTTTATTATATTATTTTTATATTTGGCATGCGCACAAGTAGTTGCTCGCGTTTCATGGCAAGCCCTGATAAGTCATAATGGAAATAATAAGCCTCCAATATACAAATACAACAATTTTGGTCCCATAATGTACATATAGTTTGTTATAACTGTCTTAAAGGGTAAGGGGGTTGGGTGACTGAATGGTTTAACATGTCAGCTTTATATCATAAGGTCTGACAGTGAATCTACGTGGCATGGTTTTGATTCCCCGTTTCTATGTTACAATGAGTAGGGTCGCATGATTTGCTCCAAGTTATCTGCTTTCCTCCCACACGTAAAGAACCCTATGATATAAAATGGAAGCATATGTTAGACCCGAAATGAACTAGTTTATATTATTTGAATGTTAAATAAAATGAAATGGGGTTTAACGTCCTACTGGTCTGCTCAAACTGGGCTAATGAAGACGGTTAAACAATAAACCCAATTTCTCTCTCCTAAAGGGTAAAATATTCCAGTTCTTGTAGATTAAATACTTTGTGAAATAGAATCAAACAGTTTTTTTACTTAAAGAGTCGTATTATTGACACATTTGCTTATAAATTGATCACATTTTTTCTATGCTTTATAAACCAATTTACAATTATAAATCCACATTTATTTCCTTACAATGTCATTGTTGTCTTTATGTTTTCGATAAATTTAAATGGCTTTACATTATTTGACAACCACATATTAAATTTATATTGTTCAGTCTGATATTATTGTTTTGATTGAAGCTATACCAAGTGCTTTTCCAAATAAACTTACATTGTTTAATTTCTTAGCATGGTCTCTTTTAAATATATTTTATTACAATTTATTTGTATTGTTCCTCAATATATATTGATCTCTAATTGTAAATTTTGTAAATATTTGTAAATATTAAAATTATGTGTTTTATTGCAATTTAGATTTATTTCATTTTCAAGTTTCATATAGACTTGAGGATAAATCAAATAGCATGACTTAAAGATACATTATGGGATATAAGATAAAGAGATGGCAATTCTCACTATAATAGTTAAAAACTAGATAGTGTAAAGGTAATTTGCTGAAAATTTCAGTGCATTACTCGTGAATATATATATATAGAAAGTTAAATATGCAAAACTGAATCATAACTCAACATAAGGATGAATCCACACAGATCCCACTTTGCCAATCCCAAAAATAGAATGACTCCACTAAGCGAACATTTGGATATATGTGGAAGAGGAAATTTTTGGGTATTCCCCTTACATAAACTGGTCCGACAATAATTTGCTAGAAAATAAAGAACAGCAATTTATTTCACTAGATGGAGTTTTGAAAGCTTAGTTATGACATAGTGTTAGTTCTAAAGTATAAATGACACAGACAATGCGGTCATTTAATACCATCGGAAGAAATCTAAAATAAATTAGACAAAAATGTATCTGCATGTATGTTATTTTTTTTTTTTGGTATTTTTTTAATGTCTTAGCTAATAAATCTGTTTAGTGTATTGGAGTTTTCAGACTACTTCATTAATAATTCATAATTGTTAAGTATTCAACTGACTTCAGTAATAAATATATCCTTATTGTTTATTCAAGTTTACATATCATTTTAATATTTTTATTCAGTAACGAGAATTATTGTAATTGCCACCACATCATGACAACAAAAATTAATACATATATAATGCTTAATACATATTTTTTCTTTAAATAAAAAATTATTCACGGGTCACAATTGTCCTATTTCTTATATAAATAGGCTTTTATAAATTGCTCACAAAAGGCACATCTGTTGATACAGCACACAGTTTATAGAATATATTAATCTTCACAAGGTGCGGACTGGCCCTCAAACCATCGGACCTTTTTCAAAATAAATAAAATTCACCTTCCATCAACTCAAAAATATAATGGCCAAAATCCGAGAAAAAAAATGATCTATGTAAAATACGGGAAAGTTGAGTCACTTTACCTTAGCCCAAGGAAACCAGATGGTTGAGGGTCCAGAACTACCCAGTTCGCACATGGTTCTTTAAAATAAACTTATCCTTCCAGTTGGAAGGAATTAAGCCTTAAACTGATTGTAGATATGCTTTGTCAATCATACTAAATGTGGATGTTTAAATGATATGCCTTGCAGCCTTTAATTGTTTAGGTTTTTTTTTGTACTTTGCATTTTTTAAACAGATCTTTTGATATATAAATAAAAATATACATATGTGAATGTGATGAAAGTATTGTTTTATCTGCCCATATCAAAACCTAGGTGGTTCCCTCTTGTTGCAGTTAGGCTTTAGCTGAAATTGTTGTAAAATGAAGTAATACAAATTTGAGTATTAATTGATAATATACATGTAGTTAGTTTAAGAAAATACAAACCAGTGTCACATTTGAAAATGACCAGAAGCACCTTGAGCTAGGGATACTCAACTTGAAACTTGGGGTATCCTAGTTCAGCTCTGAACGTAGGTCTCATTACATTCACTTTCACCGGGCATCTTTTAAACGGTTGCATGTCTGTCACTGTAAACGCCTGAACAATGCAACTGAACATCTTAGTGAGAAAATAAGACCATACTTACTTCGCTAGAACCAGTATGAGTGACACTACACGCTGTTAAAAAATATGTCCCCGTCTTCTTAGGACAGATCCTGAACGTACAGGGCGAGTATAATGAGACCTACGTTCAGAGCTGAACTAGGGGTATCCTGTCTTTCCACATCTTCAATAGAAGGTTTGGACTCGCTTTTTTTTTTAACTCCGTACATCTTATCAACGTCTTAACGTAATTTCAATTGGGTATTCACCCAGCTTGAGAGCCTCTCAGATTCCTCGAACAAACACAGCAACACGAGGTAAACAAAATAAACAACAAAGAAAGAACAAACTATTTATTTTTCAATCTAGGTTACATTTTAAAATCTTGGTTTATCTGTTTTTTAAGATGAAAAACAGGTGAATATATTGTAGTTTTTGGTTTAGATAATATATTGTTGACTTAGAATTATGATTTATAAAGAAAGAACTAAATAGCATTCATTTATTTTATATAGAAGTGGTTATAATACATTAAACCCTTTATCAGTGGTTAAATATCACAATATTGCATTGAATCTAATAATATAGTTGTTCAGTGTACAGTAAATATAGCATAACATCAACTACTTAGAGCAAAATGATTCTTCACATTTAGGTGCTGAAAAATACAAAATACAAAACATGGTTCATATATTATCAATAATTGAGTTACACAAGTAAATTAATTATTTTAATGGATTGAAACGGGTGTTTTACGACGCCATCTTGGTAAGATGACCGAATAATTCCTGGGTTGACCAGAGAGTTTATCCAAGCTCAAGTTTCCCTGATTTGAGTTTACTAGATGTAATAAAGATAGGATGCTGTCTATATTTCCAACATTCCGAATCCTATCCAAATGTCTGTGATGTAGATCATGCCTCCACTATGACTGGCACCAAGAACATTAACATAATGAATGTTGGTAAAAAGACAGTGTAAACCTATAGTACACCATGGTAGATTATTAGGTGAATATACTCAAAGTCATAACTTATTGTTTGTTGTCATGAAAAGGGGTGCTTGAATCTTTTATCTTTATCTCTATATATGTACAAATCGGGTGATATTGATATGTGATTATAAATAGAATTGTGATTATTTACCTGCACAGTATCCACCTATACATGGAAAACCTCCACACTTACTGTCTTTACTACATCGGGCTATAAAAATAAGTAATATATCATTACACACAACAATATCTAACTGCCTATCAACTCATGTGGAAGTAGGGGTTATAACAATCCCTCAACAGTAAAGACAATCTGAACGACAGACTCACCCTACCTGCAGAGAAGTGACTCTGACACAGTGACAAACAAATGTGAACACCATCATAATGATCATTATCAACATTACAAGACACAACGTTACATTGTAAACAATAGCCTCCTTGCAGCCTTCAGGACTGTATAATCCGTACAGAACGTCTTATAACTTCTTCCAATGATTTTTCACAAAAATAACATCATCTACAACTCTAAATTTGACGTCGGCATATTGGCACAATTTTGTGCTTCGGTCGTGTCTATTTTAGATATACACAATCAATTCTGTTAATGTTTTTAGCGTGGGGATTGACTAAAAGTTAATTTATTTCAGTTCTAAAAAAAAATTTAAAACTTTAACGCAATTTTAAAAAAATAGCCAAATTCTGGCTGGGATTACTGAGCAAAATGGCCATTCACTGTATACGTGCGAAAACAAAAAGCCAGCTACCATTTAATTTTCGTACGTTAGTTACGTACGCAGTAAAGATTAGGCCCTTCATTCCAACTGGGCGTTTATTACAAGTTGGAGATTAGACAGATGATGGACGCAATATAGGTATTAATATATAAATAAATACATCCGGTTTGTATAAATGACAGTCTATAATATAAATCTTATTTACCGAAACAATAACCACGTGAACAAGTACCATTAAAACCTAATACATTACAATGGCCGCCATCAAGATCATCATACTCACATTGTCCATCATAATCAACTATAATAAATAGAATTTATAATATAGAATTGTGTTTAAGATTACTTTCATAAGATAAAAGAGTAATATGGCCAGGTTGACAAAGTACAAAAACCTGACAAATCATCCAACATAGGATAGTGTTACTAGGTGTTCCTATTGTAAAGGCATTGTGTTACCAGGTGTTCCTAATGTTAAGGCATTAAGTATACCCTGCTATGATCAAGTAGAACATCATTAAAGATACATTATGGGAGATTCGGTAACGGGTTGTCAGTTCTCACTATACTAGTTAAAATGTAAAGGCAATTTGGTGAAAATTTCATTCAAATTGTTCCATGATGAACCGAGAACTAAGCGACTGAAATTCCCATAAGCCTCGGTCATCATTACTAAAGTCAGTACGATAAACAGCATAGTCTCGATTATCAATTTAATCGTTTAATCGAGAAGGAAAGTTATGCAGTAAATCGGCTTACAATCCACTAAAGATCGCAGGCTAGCGCTGCCATCTAGAGTTGATTATGGCCTGGATAGGTTAATTCATGTCTAATTAATAGTTTAGATAACATTTCAGGCGTAAAGAAAGACCTGCAACAGACAGATTTAGCTCTTGCATAATGTATGTTTAATTATAGAAATATACGTTTTGAATAACATAAATATCAATATTATACTTACTCCTGCACACGTTGTTTACACATGTACTATAAAAAGGAAACGTATAAGTACACAATCCATCCCCACATTGTCCACCTGAAATATTTCAACTTTTAGATTGCTGGACGCTATTATTTATTTATAGTTTCTCTCACCTAGGCCAAAACATGAATCTATGGGATTTTACATGAATATTAAATAATCAGTGTATATCATCATTCATTTGATCTTATAATTCCTAATATGCCAACTTGAACTGGTTATATGATTGTAGCTCAACCAAATGTTGTTAAATTAAATAATATTATATGCTAGTAAACTAAATAACATACCGCTAAGGGGACAGACGTTACGCATGTCATCTATAATAGTATCACAATATTTACCTGAAATATAAAACATATCTAAAATAGAACACCATTTTAACGTACAGTATTGTGACAAGTCGATGTCTTACAGAGTTACAGGTTAGAAGATTGACAAATTACATATTTTAGTGAAATAAAATTTATTAACGATATAGCTCTTTAACTATTTAGCCATTTTAAAAAAATTAATTATGTGAAATCTGACAAAGCAATAAACGGAATATGTCTGGGGTTTTTTTGTAGATTAATCCAGAGATTATACGATGGCATTTTAATTTTGTCAGTAAATTTTAAGACCATAGTTATTTGGATGGATAATAACTGGATTGGTATTAAATATAGCTGTTAGAAGACTGGGTATCTTACTAGTATCCTTCCAATCGATCTTACATGTGTATCGGGTACACTCTCCCCCTCTACCACTACACTCGGTCACGTTACATACACTCACTGTAAAATAATTATGATATTGGTAATATCGTAAATAAACACTTATTTAGATATGTGATATATTCTCGATTAAAGAAATCATTACGCCATGGATGTGAGGTCTCTCAGTCGTGTTCATCGCAACATCTGATTATGCAGTATGTGTGGTGTTTACTAGCCTACATGGCCACGGATTACATTTATATCAACATGCAGCTGCCAAAGGAAACAAAGGTCAAAGAACGACAAAATTGACGTTGCCCATGCAATCAGCTTGGTCTTCTTTTTAAAAGTTTTAACGTTTTGACGTTGGTAAAGCAAGATTACTTGGTCTCAAGCGTTGTTAGTAGGGTATATTTGGTTGTCAGGTAGTCATATATTTAGCTTTAATAAACTCGCTCCATCAACTTTTGGAGTCACGATGTCAATATATAAAGGGACTCGTTTATCCTTGAGTGTTCTGTTGATTATAACATTTTGTCACAAGACATGGTCTTGCTGAAAGACATTAAAAGACTCATTAATAATAATTGTGTTACATTGTATTGTCTCAAACATTTTTAGGAACAGTTTAAACTTTGTCAATGATTTTTTTCAAGAAATAAAATCCCCAGTTCAAAACCACAATTTTCGCGTGCCAACTGTCACAAATAAATATCATCAAGAAGCCCACAAGTGGCATGTGGTGCGACCGAGAACAGATCGAAATTGGATATTTTTTTAGGAATTTCTTTGATAAATCATCAGTTAAAACTGAGAACAGAGCCTAGTCATATGTATTAGTGGAAGAAAAAGGAACCTCCATAAAATTTACATTTGTTTAGATCCTAAGATCGGTCATTAAAGATGGATTCCCGCGTAGACACTTTGTGATTTGATGATATAATGGACTAAAACATATCAAAACAAATTCATCTCTCAATAGTTTACTTCAATTCCGTCTCAAAACATTTTAATTGCAAGAGAACTTTGCCAAATTTTCAGCAAAATTACCTTTTTTCACTATCTAGTTTTTAACTATTGTAGTGAGAACTGCCATCTCTTTATCTTATCTCCCATAATGTATCTTTAATATAGTTGAGTTTGTTAATAAAATCGGAAAATTGGATACATGAAAATATTATTATAAATTATTTTGATCTATTTTATGTCTTGTTCTGTAATTTTACTAAGGTGTTACGGCATTGTCTTATATGAATATAGCATGAAGCGGTTCAAGGGAATTGAAAATGTAAGCCAAATATAGGGTGTCTCAGATAAAACGAGTACACTATTATATGTGAAATAATTCAAAAGCTACTGTACCTATCTACATCATTAAAATTTCATATACCATACCATATGGATCTGTAATTTGGTGTGAGGTTGTCAAAAATCCATATGGTATTGCATGTGAAATGTTATTGATATAAGTACACTACATTTTAATTATTCCACTTTTTATAATGTACTCGTTTTTTTCTCTGTGACATCCTATATTATTTCTACCATCTTATTTTTCATATTCTACTTTAAAAGGACAATAACACTCTTGCTGGCTTGACAGTTCCAGAAAAAAAAAATAGCCTTATTTTAAGTACTAGATGTGTTAGTGTCCTAACTGTTGTGTAAATTATCCATTAAATCCTATTTTACTTGTCCAGAGGGTTCAAAAATATTTTTAAATCCAAGTCACATTTGAAAAGCTTTACGTCGGGCTTTTCAAATCATTTAGTTGAATTTTTCCAATTTTTAAAATTAGGTGTGTTAAGATGAAATTTGTATCATCAATTAATTGGAATATTGTAAAATAGTACAAATTTGTTGACCAGAATAAAGATTGGGACATATTATTCAGTTACAACAAGAGTGGTATTGAACCTTTAATCAGAGTACTCGTTCAAATTAACTATTTTGATGTATAATTTCACTTGTATGGTAGTAAAAGAATCTAAACAGAAGAATGTAAGAACAAATCCATGGACGAACTTCAGACTTACAAGATAAATTCTACAGGTAGAAATATCTACTGCTTTATACAACATGGTGGACATTGAAATTAACAGTTTTTAAAATACAATTAAAACAAAAAATGTATATTAATTTTCTATATCCAAATGCCACAATTTTGTTTTATGGCAATTATAAATATGATCTTAAAGAAATCAAAGAAACTATGAAACAGTAATAAAACAGTAAACAGTTTTTAAAATACAATTAAAACAAAAAATGTATATTAATTTTCTATATCCAAATGCCACAATTTTGTTTTATGGCAATTATAAATATGATCTTAAAGAAATCAAAGGGACTATGAAACAGTAATACTTACACGCAGTAGAGTTTGGCAACATGGAAGCAAGCACAACAGCAACGGTAATAAACCACAAAGTACACATCTTGATGAATCTTCAACCTAGAGTCAACAGTAAATAGATAGAATTGAGATTGTCGTCTGTTTTAAAACCAAAATACATGTGAAAAAATTTATTTGTTTTAGCTGAAGTAAATAGCGTTATGTGGATAAACACGTTATTAATATTTTCATTTTTTATTGAATATTTCAATATTTTCATTTTTTATTGAATATTTCAACAATATGTTCAGTTAAAATAATTTATTAATTATATTTTACAGTCATGAAATGCAGTCTGAAAGTCATCATCTCGGCCTTAACAAGATGTGCCACGATTCCATTCTTATATAATTATAATATAGTGAACAATTCCACCTTATATAATTATATTTTGATATAATTCTTTGTCACGAAATAATTTGGGACCAACGGTGGCTAACTGGAGGTCGGGTGTTCGATCCCTTGTATAATTATATTTTGATATAATTTTTTGTCACAAAATAATTGGGGACCTACGGTGGCTAAGTGGGTAAGACGCTTGCGCGCTAGCCAGGAGGTCGGGTGTTCGATCCCAGCATTGGCCGAGAAAGTTCATCCAGATTTTCCGGCGTGGTTCCCCCTTGTCAGTCAGTGATGCAGGACGGAAGGCCTGACAAGGACAGCTGTCTAGTCCTTCGGATGGGACGAAAAACCAAGGTCCTATGTAAACATTGGCGTGCACGTAAAAGATCCCTTGACAGTTGAAATTCGATATAAGAGTAGGCCGTAGTATCCCAGTTCGGAGCAAAACTGTACGACGTTAAAACGTAACGAAATATTTTATGTTTATCGTCTATATACTATTGATTTTGTGCGTTTATCGCCGGCAGCCCGCAATTCTGAACGGATTATCTTGTTTATTCTGTATACCATAAGGATCGCGACTATCGTTTTGGTGCATGATCCGATACCCTTGCATTGACGGTTAATGTTTTGTCTGCAAATACCCTACAGGGTTGCAATTGACAGTTTTTGTTAAAACCTGGCATCAATCATTTCAATAACAAGGTTGTACCTATTTATATTAGTCCATGTCCAACCCTCAGGGGTAAAGATACGCCCATTTTTATGTTTGTCGTCTATAGACTGCAGTTCTGAATGGATCATCTTGGAACTTGGCATATTTATTCCTTATAACAAAAGGACAGCAGCTATCGTCACATTCCCCTTTGTTTGTTAATGTACTCTTCAAAAAAAGTAGGGGTTATTGAAATACAAATACCTATGCAGGTTGTGATATGATAAATAGTCATGGACACTTGACATGCTTTGAGAGTATGTTAACAGATGAAGAGCTTATCGCCCCAACAGAACCACTGAGCTGCCATACACGTGGGAGGGGTTCATTGTCAAATTTGACACTTCAAGGAAGGGTTGATGAAAACTGCCGCTTGCTGGTTTATCCTATCCATGTTTGCTTTCCTATCGGTTCATGCATAAGATTTACTGTTTAGCGTACCTTTGCTTTAGTGTGTTACGTTTAATTTGATCGCAAGACGTGTTCGTCGACGTCAACGTCAACCGACAACACTGCAAGAATTGGCCGTGGCACTGCAAGAGGAATGGGTCAGATTGCCTCAAATCATGATTGGACGGTTCATTAGGAGCATGCCACGACGAATTGCTGAATGTCTGAGGATTGGTGGAGCAATTACTCATTATTAAGACAAAACTCAAAAACGTCCATTTTCACTTTTGACGGTGTATCTCTCTGCGAGTGAAATGGTGCCGCCAGATAATCCGCCCATATGAACTGTTTATGTCCGTGTGTAGGCAATTGGCCTGTTATTAACATACACTCTTACCTCTAATAAAAACAGCAGTGCATTTCCGCAGTTTTGTATTGTTTCTGAATATCCCCTACTTTTTTTGAAGAGTATATTTGGTCTGTAAATTATTCAAAACAAACGAACGCCTAGTCTTCTTTGTCTCTTGTCATATTAAGTAGGGTTGGATGGCCGAATGGTTAGCACGTGTGCGTTGTATCAAAAGGTCTGTCACTGAGTCAACTGGCGTGGTTTCGATTCTACAGTTGTACGTGACAAGGAGTAGGGTCGCCTGTCCAATCTCGTGGGTTTTCCCCGGGACCTCCCGATCCCCCCACTCCGCTCCCCTCCCACTCCATCCTATGCTCATCACCACCGCTAAATATTTCCCAGTATATCTACCCCCTTCCAAATGGGGAGTATATCATAAGTTATTGTGCGAATCAATAATTTCATAGTTCACTCTCTTCATTTTACAAAGTACCATATCAATCACATGGTTTACGATGTCATTTGGTTGAATTCTGACCTCTAAAAATTAATTTCAAAATCCATTTTTAATAAATCGTCATTTTCTTCCGTTACATACGGCCTGTAATATATCTTTAATAAGTCTTTTAAGGTTACCAAGTTCAATCCGACTCCTGCAATAACTAACAATGAATAGCCCCGAATGGTGTAAATTTAAAACGGCATTCAAAATAGAATCCATTATGGGGATTCTTTCCATGTGGGTATTGATTTTAAAACATATCTCATAAGGTTTTCAGTGTTACTTAATTCTATTTTGTTTCAAAAATAAATTTAAGAAATCCCAACATCTGTTTTGCGTTCTTTTTTAGTGCGATTTTCTTCATTTGGTATGCTTATGCCCCATTTTCACCTGGTTAAAAGTGGTTTCAATATGTCTAGTTGTTAAGAATTGTGGCCCTAATGTTAGGTCAGAAAAATGATTGAGATCTGTAATTAAAGTCCTTGTGGTATCGATTCAAGGCATGGACTGAAAATAAGTATGCGTAGTTTGGGGTCCCCTTTTAGTCATGAATTTGCATTGTTTTCGATGAATTAAGGTTGTCGTACGTTAAATGTGTGCATCAGCTGGAATCACCAGGATATGCCCTTGAGAGCATTATGTAAAGGCATCATTCGATCCCGGTTTTAGATAACCCCGCCGGATACCTACCCCCATAGAGTGGGAAGCTTTCACGACCCGTAGGATAGTAACCACAGCTTTATTTAAATATGGCCTACCACCTCGAACTAAAAGTAAATTGTTTATTGGAATTTCCGATGAAACGGTGGGTACAAATAACACTATTCCCAAATTTGTAGAACCCGATATTTGATGTCGGTGAACCCGTTTGTATTCAGGACACCTATTTCATACAAAATCTTATATCATATGAAGACGGGCCTCCCATCGAACTAAAATTAAATTGTGTAGGCCTATTGCAATTTTCAATTAAACGGACACTTTTTGTAGCAGTAAAATACTCGATTAATATTCCAACAGTTAATTTATATGATCATGTAAGATCTACCGTGTAATACGGAAATTTGTAACGCTATATAACACCGTATCGTTCTTGCGGAAATAACAATAGACATGCCTTATGATACAGCACGCACGTGCTAACCATTCGGCCATCCAACGCCCCAGATATAAAGAAACCATGTAAAGTTATAGCTAATAATATAATAATAATATAATTCTTTCAGTGGTGTATGAAACATCTTGTCTTGGTGAAACTAAATGATTTTAATAGTATACTTTATTCTCAAATGTGTTGATGGTAAAATGAAATTAATCTATTAAATTTAACAATATCATTAACATATAAAGTGGATACAATTTAAAGAAGTGGGTAACCTTGTGGCACGTCAAAGTATAACAGAGAGAGAGAGAGAGAGAGAGAGAGAGAGGGGGGCTCAATGTCCCCACCACCCAAACTAGATCATTTTGGGACTAACATATGGTTTAATTTCTAATTTCAATAATTTGCTTGCGCGTAGGGGTCTTTAGCATAGGGGAAGGAACCGGAGAACCAGGAGAAAACCGACGAGGTTGGACAGCCGACCCAACTCCTAGATACGCATCATAGTATAACAGTTGGAAGTCATTGTTGGAAATAATCTGGTAATACAACATAAAGTCATTGTTGGAAATAATCTGGTAATACAACATAAATAACACAAATAACATAGCCAGACAGTACAGTTGACAAATAAATATAAGTCATCTAATCAAACTCAATATGCACAAAATTGCATGCGATTAAGCATATCCTGCATTGTGTATGACATGTACTGAAATACAATAGTGCATAAAAATAAAACCTGAGGACTATAATATGTTAATTTCGGGTTCCCAAATGAGTAGTATGCTATCACGTGTATTTGAAAGAGTATACCCTGTTATGTGCAAATATAGAATTACGTTAAAGAATAATCTCGGAATCTATTTTTAATTCTACACTGTGAAACGCAATAAACAACTTAAAACATTAACACTATTTTTATAGCGGGAAATCGTTAGAACATTTATCTAATCTTGTTTGTTACGGAGAACAATGTCTCGCGCGGATAATCCATGACCTGAGAAAAATAAATTAAATAAAGTCAACGTAGTATTAAGCATGTTTCAACAAAGGAGAAAGAGATTAGTATTTTTTCCTTGGGTATTTGCACTGGAGTAGCCTTAGTGTTAATCTTCACATTTGGGTAATATGTACTTCCAACAAGTATACAAAAGCTAGTTGCAGCCCTTATGAGCCTTAGTTATTTGAATAGTAGCGTTACATAATCGTCATCTTTCGATCTTTGGGAAATTGGTCCATCCATTTCTGTTTATGATATACAAAGATACTTGTTTATAAAGATGGTTGTGATGAAGGTTTTGGGGTTAATTTTACTAATGTAAGTAGAATGGGTTTTTTTCTTCAAATTTTCTTTTCAAAATGCGGTATTCTAATAATACACTAATACTTTATCAAATGTTTCTTTCTGTTTTGGGAAATTGTCCTAGTCTAACCCCCACTATGCACTTTTTTGTGTAGTTCAAAGATTAGATACACCTCTAAAGGGTATTACCTAAGTTTTTGTGTATCTTAAGGATTAAGTACGCCACTAAGAGGTGTTTTTTTCACCACAAGTTACCCAACTGGGGAAATCAATAGAGAATAGTACACAAAGGTTTAAAAGAGATCTATTTATTAATACAATTATGGTTTACTTTCTGTTTTAGATGTTTGGTATCAGTTTCAGCCAGGACAATTAATTTTCGCGAATTAATAGATTATTTTATCCACGGTGCTACAGTCGGATACTACGTTTCTGTTGATAAATGTGATACCAACATGCCCACACAGATGCCACTGTTGTCATTTGGTGACGTTATTGATAATGCGAGAGTTTATTATGCCGGAGAAAGTGACTGGTGGATTCATTTCTCCTCAAGAAGATTTGTCAATGGCTCAACTCACAATATACGAGGTTTGTTAATTGTTTCAAAAATGTATACCGACACAATAAAACGCGGCTATCACGAAAGTCTGCTTGGCCTAAATAATGAATAAAAAGTTTTAACATCGTTATAAACCCTCCCAAATGTGGTTAAAAGCGATTTTTACGGACAAAAAGGTCATTTTCTGCTTGACATGATCAGGGACTTTCCTGAAAACATTAAAGATGCAATATGTAAGAGCAAAATCTGTCTTTTGCGGTTGCTTTTATTTCTAGCTTCAAATGTTATATAAATTATTATTTAGGCATTTATTCACAGGACAAGCCCATTTTATTTAACTCTGTATGCCATCGGATGGTGAGGATATTGATTATATTAGACCATCATCGCCATATCATCGGTTAACTTTAAAACCTCGTATATTATCGTAGCAATGACAACCGAGAGTGCGTTATTCTAGTTAAAACTTCGAACATTTATATCATAATTTTCCTCAGAATATAGTAATTTGACATCTAATTTTCAAAATTTTCATTTCTCATTATCTATGTTTAAACTATTATATACATAATGCATCTTAAAGTTACAATTTCATATTTTTAAGTTATATTTTTAAAATTTATTAAAATAAAGCCTTAAAATAGATGGTATCTATAAACAGTCCTACCTTGTTAAAGAATAATCCTATTAATCCTATAATTTACTATTGCCAGTTGAGAAATTGGCAAAAATATCATTTTCAACTTTAAATTCCAACGTTTGAAGATAGCTACTCCATGGTGCAGAATAGAAAACAAGGGAGGTAATTGGGAGGTACTTGTGTTATTATTTCCGGTGTAAATGAGTTTTAAGTGTGAGAATGACACTTATGATCATATAATAGTTAGTGGACAAAATATTGAGCAAAAGACATAGAAATAATTATGTTTTGACTTTCTTAGAAAATATGAAATTGTAACTTTAAATATACATAAATTATGAACATTGTTGTTAGACCCCCACCCTCCCATCATAAAGAATACAGTACACCAATAGTTTGTTCTATCGACGACGGACAGCAATCCAGTAACTGAACTTTTCTCAGTTTTTATAATAGAGTTTTACAATAATGTTATTTTTGTAAAGATGTTTAAGTCTGTGACATTTGAACGTACAACTGATGTTTTTTTTATTGAATTGAACAAATCTTTAAAATGTAGAGGTCAAACAAGGCCACAAGAGACGTTTATCGCCCTAGTACCATAGCAAATGTATTAAATGTCATTTTGATCTTGCGCGTTCGTTTTTCTAACCTTTCAGTAAATATTGTTTTTCCTTATAGGGCATGTAAACAATGCAAAAACAAAAGTAGGAGTGCACTTTTACAAATAGTTTGTTTCCTCAAAACCCCCAAATATTGTCGACGCAATTTATTATTTACTTCCAGGGTCGGATTGACCTTATAGAAATGTTCAAACAAGGTTATACGCTGTCACGCTGCACGACATTTTTTTTCGCGTGCCCTAGATACCCCTTTTCCCTAGGTCAATGGCATACTATACCTATTGATATTTCACGATCCCAGAACTTCATATATGATGTCATTTTTTAACGTTACTATTTCGACAGATTACGGGTTATATTCGTCTACATTACATATTGTCGTCACCCAAGTCGGGCTGATCGTTCACAATACTTTTAAACACGCTATAGTTATAGTTTTTGAGACTTTTTCAAACATGCTAAGGAGAAAACATATTCAGAAGGATGCAAAGATTTTTTGCAGAGTTACTGCACATGTTGCCGAAACTTTATAAACACGCTAGAGTCGCAGAACGAGTTTTGTCAAGTTACTGTGCCGGTCACCGAAACTGTTTAAAAACTCTTCAGAATTGTTTTCCGGCCAAACTTGGTGGTCACCAATATGAACTTAATCTTTAGATTTTATGATTTTTTAAAATTATTTTCACGGATCCACCTAATTATTATTTAAATATTTTATCGTAGGTCCAGTCTCTCGACTAACGGAAGTTTTTTTTACTAATGGTGGTGAAGCTGATTTTAATATTGCTGATTATGACGGTGAATCTGGTAATTTGTTAGTTAGTGGTAATATCAATTGTAAAGAAGAAAGAGGGTAAGATAGTGTTCAAATATCGATCCACCCAGTTAAGTGTTGTGTAGAGTGTCATGCACAAGGTAGGGTATGCTTATTTAAGAATACCTGGTGCATCTATTCAATTGACGAATAGAAGGAAAAAGAAAGATAGAGAACGTGTGTGTGTGTGTGTGTGTGTGGGGGGGGGGGGGTGATAACGTACACACGAAACAAACTAATTCGCTTGCGCGTAAGTGTCTTTAGTGAGTTAAACCCAAGAACGGGAAGCCGAAAGACCCGGAGAAAACCCACGAAGTTAGACATTTGAGAAGTGCACACAGCTAATATATTTTGTTGTTTTTCATTGGGGGGGGGGGGGCATGGAGTAGCGTTAGATTCGATTCCCAGCTCTGAATAGGGCCCACTATCCAACTGTGTGGATTTGTTCAGGGTCCGCCGGTTTCCACTCACTGCTTGCTCAAGACCCCAAAATTTTAGTCCAAAAATGACATAGTTGTCGGCAGTTGAGTTCCAATTGACAAGGGTTTCTAATGGCAGATGAAGATGTAATAAAATATAATCAGTTTTAAATTATTTTTTACACTTTATACCAGAGGTATCCATGTGACAAGACTGACGGGTAAAGGAGGTGAGATAATAGATTTACACCAGGTGAAGACGTCACTAGAACTAGGTTATAACGTACATTATCATGTAAACATCTTGCAATGTGGTCCACGTCCACAGAGATTTACTGGAACAGTTGGTTGGGCGGGAAGAATATCAGGTAAGTTATTTTGTATCTCAATTTATTCAGAAATATTTTCAATCTTATCAACCTGACAGACAGACTTTAAAACAATACAAAATTAATGTCGTAGTAATTTTCACGCTATCCAGATATCCCATGTTCCTTATGCCCCCGTCAGACCGGGGTGGCGTCCTTACTGCGCTGCTGTGACCGTACGGCGACCAGAAAATACACAAGGTCGCCGGCAAACGTGAACGCAACGCGAGAAAATGTCACGAAAAATTACAAACATGAAAAAAGTCGGGTTCTCACAGCTTTCCAGGCCAGATCGCAGAACTTTGGCGTTGGCTTTGAACATGCTCAAAACAAACGCCGTGAGACGGCGATCATTGGCGACCATGGTGACCCCAGCATATCTGATGTTTTCACCACGCTTTTACCACGCTTATGGCGATCTTGAAGCGCTCTGAGACCATTTTCCGTCGCTGTAGCAGCGCAGTAAGGACGCCACGCCGGTCTGACGGGGGTATAAAGGAACGACCACGAATTTTACCGACATCTTGCCTTGATAAGATGTACGGAGTAATGGCGAGACCAAGCCGTCTATTGAAGCTCGTCATGTCGAAGGATCCAATCACCCACCACATTCTATGTGATCGATGCTAAGATGCAATTATTTCTGTTGACTATTTGTCCTATACTGGAAAATTCTGGCGCCGCCACTGACTTTGATGTATGAATCGCAAAAAGGGAACTGGGGTTTTGTATCCCCAAGTCTTTGATCAAAGAATATTTGAAAAAAAAAACCTTTACGAAATGAGTATTTCTGGTGAGTAAAAGACAAAAACCTTGACCTATTAATATCCATTTTTTTTTTAGGTCATCGTTTAAATCGTGATGGTAATATTGAATTCACACAAACAGTGGAACTCCCAACGGCTACATTTGTAATGGACGTTACCGTTTATCCTAACAACAACGTTACAGTTTACGTGGATTCCTTAGTGCCGGATAGTAGGAAGAGCACCGGTGTTTTGAGAAAAGAATGTGTTTTAGGAACTCATGGCAGTTTCCATGTCTTCAGAAATTAAATATCAAGACTTGTTATGGCAAAAGAACATTTGTAATGTAGGTCATAATCCTTGAATTGTTGTCATGAGCATATCCATAGCATCACACGCTGCATGTTCTGTTAAAGTTATCTAAAACTCTATAGCAGGCAGATTACCAGCCATATGCCGGAATCATTAGAGAGTATTTATACGTATACTAAATTTTATCAAGCTGTTTTATATTCATGTATATTTATTTCATAAAGGTGCTTTAATATTTATTTCTATTTTTGTATATAATATTCTAATCTTATATATTACTAGTATCCATGATGTTTTATATCAGGGTATTTTAATGGAAACCCCTGCTAGGCCAATAGTGCAATTATACAAACTCATGTTCAAAATGTCCATGTTCATGTAGTAGGTATCTGAATAAACTGTTATTACTATTTTACTCTTTTTATTTTCCACTCAGATAAAACAAAAAGAAACTGTAATAAAATAAAATAGTTTGAAATTTGTGTTTTTTTGCTTGTGGGAAAATATTCTAAATGAAATGGTGTTTAATGCCTACTGTTCTCCACCAATTGGGCTTATAAAGATGGTCATATGCCACTGGGGGGGTCACAGTGGCTAAGTGGGTAAGACGCTGGCTCGCTAGCATGGAGGTTGGGTGTTTGATCCCTGCATTGGCCGAGAAAGTTCATCCAGAGTTTCTGGTGTGGTTCCCCCTTGTCAGTGATGCAGGACGGAGGCCCAGACAAGAACAGCTTTCTAGTCATTCGAATGGGACAAATAACCAAGGTCCCGTGTACACAATGGCGTGCACGTAAAAGATCCCTTGTAATTCGATATAAGAGTAGGCCGTAGTCCAGCTGTCCAGGCCAAATTTCCATCATGGCACACTGTATAGCATATGCCCGTCTTCATTAGCCCAGTTTGGAGCAGAACAGTAGGACAATAAAACCTCATTTTATTTCATTTCATTTGCCACTGAACTCTATCAGAAATAAATTGCCCCTTGAAAAGGTGCAATATGTGACTGATGTTATAGGGATTAATTTGTCTTAAAATAGCTACACCTCATTGGATTTTTGTGTGTTTATCTGTTTTCTTGGATAACAGAGAGAGAGAGAGAGAGAGAGAGAGATGCTTTAACTTCCACTAGGCAAAAACTAACATATGGTGCGATTTTATTTCAATAATCCACTTGCGTTTAGGGGTGTCTTTTGTCGTGGGAGTAACATTAATCAAAGAGATTTATATCCTTTAAACACATTACTCAATTCAGAATCCTAAATAACAAAAATCATAAAAGATATAAAATACTGTATTTATTAATCAAATTCAGCTTGATATATAATATATGATTCCATTAACAATATTTTATAACATCATAAATAAAGACCATGTTTATAAATTTTTCAAAAAAATCGAAACAGAATTATTTAACAATAAATGCTTCAAAATAATATTTCAGGGCCTATTTCATCACTAAAACTAAAACAACTTTATGATTATTAATTTAACAATTAACCCTGTAAATTCAAAGTAGACTTCATCACAACCCTTGGGACCTTTGACAGACAAGGAGGCAGAGTACTTCATGATTTAGGGAGGAGTATTTAAAAAATGAAAAAAACAACAACAGCATTTTACCACTTTTTTTTATGATATTTCAAAAAGAGTAATATATGCCACAAAACAGGTTTATTTTAAAGTAACAAAAATTAAAGAAACTTAGAAATAAATGATAGTAAAATTGGCACTTGATTATGGATCAAACTCCCAGAAACTATAAAAGAAGCCAGAAAATCCAAGTCCTTTAAATCATGCTTGAAGACTAGCTTATTTAATTGTGAATACCAAACCTGACAGTGCAGCTCAGCACTATTGAGTACAACAGTTTTAGATAAGAGGCAATATACAAATTCACTATTATTATTAATATTAGAAACTTGTGTTTGGAAAAAACAGAAATAAAATAAGCTTTGGTAATTCTAAAAGATATTTTGGTGAAACTAAATGTTTTTCTAGCACTTTTTATTCAATTCTTAATGCACACTGTTTTATAGTGGAACTATTCATAGATCAGGAACTGGTCCCCAAAGCACTGCACATTGTGTTGTTGCTTTTCTTCTTGGGGGTTGAAGGTCAACGCTCTTCAAAAGAAGCCTAAGGCTCCACCAATTACAGTATGATCATCATGAAACTTGTTCTTCGGACAATCAGGCATTGATCGATGGTTGTCACAATTCCAAGATGTCAGTGATGACGCCATGCTCGGTTCCTGGTAAATATAGGATGCACATACTTGTTTTCTGTTTATATTCCAAATGTTTCAAAATACATTCTTTAATAAACATTAATATCTATAAAAATCTTTGCTTTTTCCACCAGTTTTAGATAAAAGTTTAACATCACTGATTACCATATCCTTGGTTACTGCTTTACACATGTCATAGATTGTTAATGCAGCTAAAGAGACCGCAGTCAGCGCCTCCATTTCGACTCCTGTTTTCCCAGAAGTCTTAGCCAAAGAATGGATCGAGACACTTTTTTTTTCATCATTTAACACAAACTTAACATCTATTTTAGACAAGTTAATATTATGACATAGTGGTATTAAATCGGATGTTTTTTTAGCGGCCATTACCCCAGCAATTTGAGCAACAGTTAACACATCGCCCTTCTTCATTTTGTTTTGTTTCAATAAATTGAATGCCACATCACCGAGGTGAATAGTTGCGACAGCTTCTGCTGTCCTGTTAGAATTAGATTTCCATCCAACATCCACCATATTGGCTTCCCCTTCCATATCTGTGTGAGTTAAAGAATCCTCTTGCTTTTGAGAAACTATGTCATCTGCACTATTTGACTGATCTTTAGATTGACTGAATCTCTGACGTCTGTCCTGTTCCCAGTAAGGGAGATCACTCTGTTCAGAACTTCCATTATTTGAAGAATCAGATGAGAATAACCTATATGATGAATACCCTGTATATGATTTTTGGTGTTTTTGAAAGATTTCTGCTAAAGAAAAGTTCCATCCACTTTTTTTCATAAAATCAACTTTGTTTTTAGGTTGAATCTCTCCATCAAATTCAAAATATTTTCCTGGTTGCCTTTCGATATGGTTATTAGTCATAGTCTTGTCACTATTGTTAACAGTATTTACAAAAACAGCTTGACGAATATTTTCAAGTTGATTATGTCCATTAAACAAATTACTTAAATTACAATTTTCTTCAATAATATTATGATTCAATGAAGCCTTCACATTGTGCGCACCCATATATGATTTATTTTCACAATTAAAACAAGTATTAAAATATTTATCACAATCATAATAATTATTAACAGTCATTATCACAATATTCACTGGTATATCATCTGAGAATGTTGATTCATCATTCTGATTCTTGTAAATTCTATTTGATTCATCTATAAATATATATCATAATAATTGGTTATAATATTAAATTAAAGTAGCTAAGTCTCTATCTCAGTATCATCCAAAGTATTCGACATTGAAAACACAAATTATTTGTCAATTTAAATCAACATTGATGTTGTGATCTTACCGGGAAAAGATGGGCTTCTGCTATCCAATATTTAAGACAAAATAAATATTTTACCATTGGTACACGTATCATGTTTCATAATGCGTTTCAGCGTCATTTGTAACAAGGGAATCAAAGAACGAGGCTAGACATATTCCACAAATAATGTTAAACAGTGACCCCATATTCTTATCTGGAGAGCATGCACAACAAATACTATCAGTGTAGACTGGAATAACCAGACGCTAGAGATTGCCATTCGATTGATACTTCTGGCGTATTATGAGGAACATAAATGATTTGAAATTATGTTAAAAACAGAAACGATTGAATGTAAATCAGTTTATATACATTCATATTACATTATTTGTGTCAATTTCTAGGTCCCAAATATAAGCGATTCAGCTCCTTTAATCAATTATAAATTGTAATTTTTATGACATTGTGTTTTGAATTTAAAAGTTTTTAAATAAATGTTAACGATTTTTTAAAGTTTTCGTTAAAGTGTCACTATTTTACATGTGGCTGTTCTACACACACAACTGATCAACTCAACAATCTGTGAGACTGTGTTTGTTTTTCAGATTTCATTATCTTTCTGGAGATTATTATTTGAAAGAGAAATACTACTGCCTATATGAAACATTACATACTTGTAGAGGGAAAGTTGATCACCCACCGATTAATATCATTGGTCTGTTTGTCATCTTAGATAAGTTTATCATTCCTGTAAAATTAAATAAAAAGATGTTTACAAGTTTTAGACAATTTTAAATGACAACAGCAGTAAAAATACATATGATACTTAAAGATAAATTATGGGAGATTTTATTAGAGAGTTTGCCATTCTTGCTATAACAGTTCAAAAATAGATGATAAAAGAAGAATATATTGAAAATTTCAGTCAAATTACTTTATTCTGAACAAAGTTATCACCGTTGTAATTTTTGACTAGAAATAGGAGTCAAATCCCTCTTCACCGTCTACGAGAATGCAGGCCGTTTGATTGACAGGCGTTAACTCCACCTACATAATCTCGATTATCAAGTAACGGTTTCAATTCGTATCACATTTATTTTTACTACAAATTAAAAATAGGACTTTTATTATATAGATAAGAAGCGAAAGTTTTAAAGGAATAGACCACACCAATGAGGCATAATTATAGCTGACTTCTTCAATCTTGTTAGCCTGCGTGTACTGCCGAAGCAGACAAATTGAAATAGGAAACATTGATCCAATGGGGCTGCATGGGCTGCAATTCAACTGGGGTGATGTTAGCTGCGATGTTTATCAATTTCCATAATTTTTCTGTAAACGCAAGTGACAAAAAAGCGGATAATACTGACATCCAAACTCTCATTTTAACCACAAATAAACATAATATCAGTAGCGTAGATAAGGTGAGAGCAAGGGGAGGAACGATCCCATGGGCACTCTTTAGTTCACTCGAGCTCTCTAATTTTTGTTTTATCACATGGCATTGGAAGAACTTTATTCCACCAATACTAAATAATGTATAATGAAGGTAAAATTACTTTGCACCCTTCTTTATGTGCTTGCTTCCCCTCGGTGGCTCAGTGAGTCAAATGTTGGTTCGCTAACCTGAAGTTCCCGTGTTCGATGTTGGTGTTGGCCAAGAAAGTTCACCTGGATTTCCAGCGAAGTTCCTCCTTGTTAGTGGTGCAAGACTGGGGGCCTGGCAAGGGACAATGTATAATCGTTCGGATGAGATGAAAAATCGAGGTCCCATGTACACATTGATGTGAATGTAAAAGAACTCTTGACAGCACACTGCTTGGGGTGTGCCTGTCTTCATTAGCCCAGTTGGTGCAGAACAGTAGGATGTTAAACTCCATTTCATTTCATTTCCTTTCCTAACCTGGCTACCCGATTGGTTGTAACAGCCTTGTTGTAAGTTCAATGTTTAAAGATCATAACTTTCTTTGTCAGTTCAGCTGAAAGAGGGAGAGAGAGAGAGAGAAATGGGGTTTAACGTCCACTCGACACAAACTAGGTCATTTCGGGACTAACATATGGTTCAATTTTATTTCCATAATTCGCTTGGGGTCTTTAGCAGTGGGAGGAAACCGGAGGGCCCGGAGAAAACCCACAAGGTTGGACACGCGAATCTACTCCTTGTCACGAACAACCGGAGAATCGAAACCACACCAGTTGACTCAATGACAGACTTCATGATACTGCGCACACATGCTAACCATTCAGCCATCCAACCCCCCACTCAGCTGAAAGACATACCTGCATGTTGTTTCTTTTTACGTTTAACAGCAGCACCGATTATTTCTAACATTTTTTCTTCTGAACTTTCATTTCTCAAAGCATCTCGTAAAGACACTTCAGCATTACCATGAAGACAGACCTAAATACAAATATATAAATTAGTACCATGGTTTCATTTCAGTCCTTTATTTTGACAAGGGATCAATACTGACAAGGTTGGAACATACAGTTTAAGTATTTGTTCAGGGGCGCGTTCAGGAATTTGAGAAGTAGGGGGTCTGGGCTAGAGACAATGTCTGGGAGATTAACTGAGAATTTGATAAAATCAGATGTCATGAGAGAATTTTTTTTGTGCTCATTTACGTGCGTATATGTATAGAATTCGAGCAGTATCAAATCAAGCTCTGTGTTATATTTGATCAGTTTCGACTAAAGGGGACATGATTTTTTATTCATCTGTCTCATTAAGAGTGATGACTTGGATGGATTCTCATGTTATCACAGAAATGACTGTAGCATTTATTAAGAAAGACTGGTGACTTGGTATCATGGTATCACAGACATGACTGTAGCGTATACTGGTGACTCGGATGGAATGTCATGGTATCACAGACATGACTATAGCGTATAATGATGACTCGAATGGTATATTATAGTATCACAGACACAACTGTAGCATATACTGGTGACTCGGATGGAATGTCATGGTATCAAAGACATGACTATAGCATTTTCTGGTGACTTGGATGGATTGTCATGGTATCAAAGAAATGACTGGCGTTTACTGGTGACTTGGATGGATTGTCATGGTATCGCAGACTTGGTACAGAAGGTGGGTATAGCCATGTAACTCACCTTTAGATTCCCGTCTGCTGTTAATCTTAGTCTGTTACAAGTTCCACAGAAATGTTCACTCATAGACGTTATAAATCCTATTTGACCTTTAAAACCTGGTACTTTATATGCCTGATAAAATAAAACATATATATATTAAAAACTTTCTAAATTCAACTCTCAGTATTATATACCCAAAAATATTAAGAATCGTGTACCATAATGCATTTTAGCGCTATGTGTAATAGCAAAGGAAGTCCCCTCTACTTCTTCCTGGAAAAGTATATATCTATATATACTATTCAAAATAAGTAGGGGATATTTTATTTTTAAGTGTTATTAAAGTCACCTAATGAAACTGACGAAGAAACAAATGACAAAATGAAATGAAGTTCACATTCATCGATTTATTCCAAATGATCGTTAGACTAAGTAAGGCACAGACTGACCATTATAAGGGTAAAATGATACCCGGGGTCAAACAGCAAAGTTACCACAGCATCACAACCAAGTCAGTAACGGGTAAATCCTCCTCTGTTTGCCAAACAAGCATTGATCCGACATGGCATACTCCTAATGAGACGTCTAAGGTCATTTTGGTCCAGATTGTCCCATTCCTGTTGCAACGCAGCAGCAAGTTCTTGGACATTGGCAGGACGTTGTTGACATTGACGTAACCTCTGTCCAAGCATGTCCCAGACATGCTCGATGGGGGAGAGGTCGGGACTCAGTGCTGGCCAAGGTAATGTGGTGATGTTCTGTTGTTGGAGGTAACCTGTAACGATCCTGGCCCTGTGACATCTTGCGTTGTCATCCTGGAAGATGAAACGGCGGCCATGACGTCGTGCGAACGGCACAACATGGACTGCCAAGATGTTGTCCCGGTAGTACTGGCCTGTAACACGCCCTGCAACAACATGTAAAGCCGTTCTTCCAGCAACAGTGATGCCTCCCCACACCATAACAGAACTACCCCCAAAATCGATCAGGTCTGATGACGTTAACGTCTTGGAAGCGCTCGTTTCGACGACGCCACACCCTCCTACGTCTGTCCAAAAAATCAACAGTGAACCTTGACTCATCTGAAAACATCACATTGCTCCAGCGTCGATTATCCCAGTGTTGACGATCCCTACACCAACGACGTCTTGCCTGAATGTGATGATCTCTCAAACAAGGGATCACGCGAGGACGTCGGGCGCGAAGGTGACCCCTATGCAGTCGATTCCGAATCGTCTGGCCACTCACTCTCACACCAGTGTCTGTTTGAAGACGAGCGCTGATCTGATTTGCTGTGATGACACGATTTCTCAAGGCCAAGGTACGGATAAATCGATCCTGGGCTTGAGTTGTCGCCCTTGGTCGACCTGAGCGTGGTCTGTCCTGTACAGATTGTGTATCACGGTATCTGGACCATAGCCTGCTTATGACAGACTGAGAAACATTCATCGTCCGATCTGTAGCATGCCAAGGACACGTAACCTTTCATTTTGGGTAAGCCGACGCATATCAAAATTTGTTTTCTGGTCACTAAAACAATTAAACTGATGTTTCCACCCTGGAATTCAATGCCACAATGACTGTAACATTCAAAGTCAGAGTCGTGCAAATCTTGGGTTGGACCCCCATGATGATCCCAAGCATCACCTGCATTCCATGCGGTAGCTATTGGTGCGTTTGGGCGTCACATGTAACTGGAAATGTTTCTTCTGTTAGGTTCTATAGTGACTTTTTTCGTAGTCATTTGCATATTTTAGTATTATGGCCCCAAAATCAAATATCCCCTACTTTTTTTGAATGGTATATTATCAAATACATGCAACACACTGTCGCTAATTTTCGAGGGGTGAAGGGGAGGGGACTTTCTTTTCCTTTGTTATGCTATTGTAGGTCTAATATCATTCAGTCTGTCTTCCTCTCTTCAAAATCCCTGTATCCTTGCTACTATAAAGCAAGAAATCATATTTTGGATGTAATTTATGCTATAATTCAAATATATGTACCAGACTGTATTAGAGTCTGAGGGTATTATACATTTTCAACATTATTGGGGGTTAGAGGCTGACGTACCTTTGATGTATCGTTTTCTTTATCCCCTATTTTAGTTAAATCAGGGAACTGGGATTTAATGGTATCTAACATTTGTTGGTAGGACACCATCTTCTGAAAGTTCCATTTGTTACCACCAAATGGCATATATTCTATAAAACGTATATCAACATTCTGAAATTGGGAGAAATACGAAATTATTAAAATCAAAATTTAACTTTATTTGCGCCATGACTTGGCTGTATTGAATTGACATTAAACCTTATTTTCATCTTTACTGCTTAGAACTATGTGGGGCCCGCAATAATCCTGTGGTAAGGGTAGTGGACTCCTGACCATAATTTTCAGGAATGGGTTTCATTTGTCAAGGCCAGTGCCTGCAGGGCTGACAACTAAAGTGTTGCTCAGTTGTTTGGATGGGATGAAAAACTAAGGTCCACAGATGTAAAATTTAATAAAAGGTAAAAATTTGCCTTCCTAGGACTGCATACATTATCACAACAGTAGAGGCATTGTGTTGACCAGACTTGACCCAATTCGAACTATTGATCACAGAGATAACACACACTGATTTTCTCTCATTTGAAAGACTTTTGGCTTTTGAATTTACTTACTCTGTTTTCTGTAAATGCTACAAAATCACAAATTTCATCATCATTTAAACCTCTCATTACAACACAGTTTACCTGAAATAGAAAATGATAAATAGATTAATCTTAAAGATACATTATGGGAGATTTTTATAAGGAGTTAGCCATTCCTGCTATAACAGTTCAAAAATAGATGATGAAAGAAGAATATATTGAAAATTTCAGTCAAATTACTTTATTCTGAACATAGTTATCACCAGTGTAATTTTTGACTAGAAATGGAAATGAATTCCATCTTCACCGATTCTTAGTATGGCCGATCATTTCATTGACAGGCGTTAATTCCACCTACATAATCTCTGCTGTCTTTTGTCTGCTGTCATCATATCCGAATTTGTGTTTTACCTTTTTGGATTTTTATAACAATTGGACAAAATGAGTGAGAGGGTAAATATTCATTCTTACTTGTATTTTGGGCATGCATTAAATCAATTGAATATAGGACATAATAATATTATAATACAATTATGATAAATCTATATATACACCAGTGGCGTCGTGCCTATTGCCATTGGGGAAATAAAAATATTTTTATTGATATTATTAAGACAGAAGACCTGTCCGTCTGTATTAGTTTATTGCACTTTAAATATTTTAGATGTCATTTGTTAAGGCATCGCTCAACAGCGGCCTCGCTTCGTACACTCTATCATTTAGCCTCAATCCGGGAGTATGACGTCAACGTAATGATTAATCTCCGATCACGACGCCATTTAAAATTAAATCAGTCAACGAAATCCCGTTTAAATCCAAGCTGAATCCAAGCCATCCGTGGGTCTACAGAGTTAATTTTGTGCTTGTTGTGTAAATAAAGATCTAATATATAATTTCTATGACATCTGAAGCCTAAATAAAGACTTGCAATAATCAGATTTAGCTCTTGCATAATGTATGTTTAATGGGGTTTAACGTCCAACACAAACTAGATCATTTCAGGACCAAAATTTGGTTTTAATTTTTTTATTTCAATAATTCGCTTGTGCGTAGGGGTCTTTAGCAGTGGGAGGAAACCCGGAGGACCCAGAGAAAACACACAAGGTTGGACACGCGACCCTACTCCTTGTTACGTACAACCGGGGATTCAAAACCACGCTGGTTGACTCAATGACAGGCCTTATGATACAGTGCACACGTGCTAACCATTCGGCCATCCAACCCCCCAGTAAACCAAGATGGAAACAATATAAATTTGGAAAAATCTACTGGTTGCGAATTACTAGTTTGACCAGCAGACCAAGTGTATGCAGTGCTTCAACAAATGAAAGCTAGAACACAACACAAACTAGGTCACTTCAGGTCATTTGATTTAAATTGCATACAGGAGTCTTTTGCTGTCAGTAATCCTGAGAACCTAGGGAAATCCAGTAGGTAAAGGGAAGTAACTACAGTTAACTTACCAAAACAATGACATTGCACAAAACAATGACATAGCACAAAACAATGACATTGCACAAAACAATGACTTAGCACAACTTGTAGAAGGTAAATTTAACAAACAAAACATTCAAAATGAAATGAAATTGGGTTTAATTTCCTTATTTTCAGCACCAACTAGGCTAATGAAGATGGGCATACGCCATAGAGTGTGCTGAGAGAAATTTTTTTCCCCAGCAGCAGCGATACTCTTATTTCGAATTTCAAATGTCAAGGGTTCTTTTATGTGCACTCCAATGTGCACACAGGACCTCATTTTTATGTCCCATCCAAATGACTAGAAACTGTTCTTTGTCAGGCCCACCGTCGTGTACCACTGAAAATGGGACACCACAACAGAAAATCCTGAGGAACTTTCTCGGACAACACTTCGAGCAAACCCAAGACCTCTTTGTTATTGAGCCAGTGCCTAACTCACTGAGCCCCTGTGGCTCACTCGATACATAAGACATGTAATTAATATCACATATATTTACCTTAACAGGATGAAATCCAAGGTCTACAGCCGTTTCTATTCCTTTTAAAACCTTATCATATCCTTTACGTCTGGTGATAAATTCAAACTTTGCGGGAATTAAACTGTCCAGACTTATATTAATCTGATCTAAACCAGCTTGTTTTAATTGAGGTAGTTTACGGGACAATGTTACTGCGTTAGTAGTAATACCAATAGCTTCTAAACCTAATGGTCGGAAAGAATTAAGGCCTTCTGAAAAAACAAAATAAAATATTATTTATTGATGATGCATTATAAATGTAGGATTTAGATAAAGACATTGACGTCGTTGCTATAATAGTTCAAAAATAGATAATGAGAAATGAGTATATTGAAAATTTCAGTCAAATTACTTTATTTTGAGCAAAGCTATGATGGGTGTTGGGAGTTTTGATAAGAAACAGATTTTGGTCAAATACCATTGCCATGTGATAATAAAAGAAGTATTGCTTGTCAGCATGATGTCCATTTTAACTTTATATTGCAAGGATGGTCTAATCCATAAAATATTAAGCAATCAGAAGGACTTGAGAATCATTATGGGCTTGTTTCTAATGGCATTTAGTAATTGAACTAGAGTATACAGGTCACAATTCTATGGAATACAATTACTGCTTATTACTGAGCAACAAATTTCTAAATAATAATCGAAATAGCACTTAAAGCGAGAAAAATAGGCAGATTTCGCTCATAAACAATACAACTTTAATATGAAAATCCAGCTTGAATTATAAGAATATATGTATATTCGCTGAAACGAAAATGGAATCAACAAAGTTTGAATATGTATTATACGACCAAGAACATACCGATTCCAAGCGAGCAACAGTATACAAGAAAACTAATTCAACAAACGGTGGTTCATGTAAGACACAGATGTTTTAGTAGTTATAATTCAGTAATATCTTTCTTAAATAATTTGTTATGTTTTGTTGTATACTGTTGACGTCACGCCCGTTAACCGTTGTCACGCCCGTCAACCGTTACCATGCCCTGTGTAATCAAACTTCATTTGTATTTTTCTTCTGATGAGTGTGGAGTACCACATGAAACTTTAAGTAAAGAACTTACAGATTTCATATTTTTAATTATTTATGTATACATATAATTTCATAAGTGATTTTAAACAAATTAAAATGTCATGAAATAGGTATTTTATTTTAAAGAATAGAAATGTGTAATGAAATAAATACAACTAGTGATAATACATTTCTTCCTTGCTCATATTAATTTCTTATTTAACAGTATAAAAATTGCTCAGAAAAGAAAATATTCAAATGGATTTACTTCAACTAACCTATAATTTGTATAAGATCTTTTCTAACTAGAGGTTCACCCCCTGTTAATCGTATTTTCTGTACTCCTTCTTTAACAAATAATTTAGATAAATTGAGTATTTCATTGGTTGATAATAGCTCATCTTTGGGCGTCAAATCCACTCCATTTTCTGGCATACAATACTGACCTGTACGAAAATCAGGTATAAATATATTAAAGATGCATTAAGGAAGAGATAAATCCGCCTATTGCAAGTCTTTACTTTGGCTTCAAATGTTATATAAATTGTCATATTCACATGGCAAGCCTATAATCAACCCTTTAGACCATCGGATGGCAAGATTTAAATGGATTGAAACCGATCACCTTTTACTGGTGTAATTTAAAAATATGAATCCAGGTTTACTTTATATTAGTCTCGACTAACAAGTACTGTTGCTACGATAATAAACAATCTATGCCATATCTTGTCAAGACTTCAAACAGTGATAACTTTGCTCAGAATAAAGTAATTTGAATGAAATCTTTAATATATTCATTTTGTATTATCTATTTTTGAACAGCTAGCACTTTATCTAAATCTTACATAATGCATCTTAAAATTCATTATCACTCAGGATACCTGATGATGAGAGAGGGATGATAAATACTAATAAGATAAATAAATTTTGGGTCAGTTGAAATTAGAGTATGAAGTAGAATCAAAACATTAATATTGAGAGAACATCAATCCTAAACATTCCATTAATCATGTTTATAGCAAACCAAAATATTACCAACGAAAATACATAGCCTAATTCAAATCTGGGCAAAAATTGTTTAATCTTCCAAATCGAAAGATAGTCCTTACTTACATCTAAGATTACACCTCTCTGTTAATGAAATGCGTAAATATGTATGTTGTCTTTGAAAGGTATCTGTTAAAAACTCAGAAAATGGTCTAATTGTTTGTTCTGCAAGTTTCTTGCTTCTAAACGGTCCATCATAATCATTAACATTCTAAAATAAATAACAGCAAGCTGGATAAAAATGTCCAATAGTTTTGATATCTTGTACAGTGGAACATAATAGCTGTTCATCAATTTATTTTTTATATATAATGAAATGTTTACTTTTCTGCACCAACCATGATAGTGAAGGATTTTAATAGCTGATCATGCAGTGGGGAAATGTACCTGTTCGTACCATTGCCCCGTTAACCTAGGATTTTGCCCCAGCTTTGCCCCAGCTTTGCCCCTCCAACCACCAGCGGTTAGAGCCGCCACTGACTGCACAAAGTCTGTGACAGATGGCTTATGCACTGCCATTAATCTATATACATGTAGAACTAGAGATAAGATAAAATTTATGCAATGACAGATTCTCAGATTCAGAACTAGCTATGGTGGTCATCAATTTAGATTTAGGCCTTGCTCTTTCTGATACAACTGGATATTTTGTGAGGGGTTGTATCAATTATTAACACGAATTCATAACTTATAGAGTTCTGTATAAACTCAACTAAATAAACAAATAAGAACCACAAATTTAATATAGGCTACTATTACGTTGCATGTTTTGGTTTGTGGGGCTCTCGGGGGGGGGGGGCATACATTGGAACTTTCCGCTATTTTTCTCAAAGTTATTGGCAATAAAAAAGTTGTATAAACTACTTACCTCATCAGACTCTGTCCTGGTATTGGGACTATTCGAGGAGCTATGTGGTCGGATAACCTGGTCAACCCGAACAGAGCCTCTGACACAGTTCCCGTTATTTAACAGTTCACTGAAATAGCCTATTAATCCCTGTCGGCTGCTCTGGAGGGTTAAATTCTGTAGTCCTGACCGACCTAACATGACTGTCATCTCGGATCTATGCTAAAACAAAAAAGTACTTGATACTTATACCATGTTGTCTCTTTTAAAGTATTCAACAACTTGGAAAATCATGTTTCAACATAAACCTCGAGCAACACATCCCACTTCGGGTCAAGGTCGTATCATTTTCTGTCAGGATAACCAAGAGTTAATTTTGCTCTGCACATCACATATTATATATTAGAAAAGTTTTACCCTATTAGATTTGCAGGTTAATGAAAACATATTAAACTATACAAGGTTGTTACGATCCTAACATACATACATGGAGTGTGTTAAACTGTTGAATCGACCATATACCTACAGAGTCTATTCAAATATTTTAATATACAAACCCATGGATGCAACGTTTAAACATATATATCCATAAAGATTATTGATACGCAAACATATCGACAAAGTTTATTGATACAATCATCTGCAACAAGGCTGGCTAATCACATATTTTAAAAAAAATAATTGACCCCACCATATACCACAGGGTTTATAAAACAATTGATACAACCATACACCACAGGGTTTATTTAACAACTTTTCGGGTCATATACCACAGCGACGTTGATTAAATGTATATTGATACGACGATATACCACGGGGTTTATAAAACAATATATTTTGATACAACCGTATCGTACTACGGGGTGTATTTAACAACTGTTCGGACCATATACCACAGGGTTATTAAATGTACATGTATATTGAAACGACCATATTATGAAGATTAGTTGGGTTGGGGTTTTTTGCAAACTAAATAAGTTGCCTCATTAAATAAAGTTTTTATTATTACTATTATTATACCACAGGGTTTATAATACAATTGATACAATCAGATATCGCAGTGTTTATAAAATAACTTATTGGGTCATACAGAGTTAATTAAATGTATAATGATACGGCCATATACCACAGAGTTTATAAAACAAGTGATAGAAACACATACCACTGATTGGGACACCTACTACAGAGTTTCACAGAGTTTATTAAATGTACATTGATACGGCAATTTACGACACAACACACAATACTAGGGTTTGCGAAAATATATATTGATCGAGACCATATACCACAGGGTTTATTAAAATGTATATTGATACAACTTATGTATAATGATACGGCAACTTATGTATATTGATACTACAACTAATGTATATTTAGTAGATAAATACACTATACTACACATGCGATTAAATATATAACGATACAGTGTATTGATAAATAATATTATCCACGTATACCAATTGAGAGGGGGGTGGTGGATGGCCTATAATTATGAGGGGGGGGGGGGGGGGTAGTTAACGCGTGCTCGTTGGATCATAAGGTCTGTCATTGAGTCAGCTGAGCAGAACAATAGGACGTTAAACTCCATTTCATTTCATTTTGAGTCAGCTGCATGGCGTGGTTTCGATTCTCCGGTTGTATGAGACAAGTAGCAGAGTCGCCTGTCCAACTTCGTGGGTTTTCTCCGGGTCCTCCGGTTTGCTTCCATTGTTAAAAATCTCTACGCGCAAGCGAATTATTGAAATAAAATTGAATCATTTGTTAGTCCCGAAATGACTTAGATTGTGTCGAGTGGACGTTAAACCTCGTTTCTCTCTAATAAAAATTAACCATTAATTAGTCCCGAAATGACCTAGTTTGTGTCGAGTGGACGTTAATATCTGTTCACTTATCTAGTGACAGTCAATTCTTTTTATGAATTGTCAGATATCCTCTCCCAGTCTCACACAACAACTTTTGGTCTTCGAAGGAAGACTGTATTACTCAGCTATCGTAACAATGATCTCTGAGATAAAATTATATTTGGAATGTGTTTAACCAGCTCTATCACATATGTGATAATGACTGGCACCAATATTGTCCTTTAATACGTTTATTAAATCCCATCACGACCACATTACCACAGGATATATTCAACATTGTTGTTTATAGACTGGTGTATTCATTGGTATTGTTAGATTAGTTATGCATTATATTTAGGATTAAATTAGTGACGTAACACGTAACGGCGTTTGCCGTAGGATTGCTTGTTTTTAAATTTTATTTGATAACAATGCTTAGCCAATATTCTTTTCATTCAAACAGAATAGAGTGGAAACTTATCTATGGTAATTTCTCTTTAATATTTGTACCACAAAACTTACCGTGAGAACTTTATTATATCAAACAGAATAAAAAAACGATCAATATTTCATCCTGGGACAAAAGTGTCGTCTGCTAAGATTAAAGGTCCTTCGAGATAGAGGGCGGTCTTAATAGTTCCGGTTAAGATGCAGACGATATGACGCATACGTCAAAAAACGGGGACAAATTAACGAGTATTGTCCAACCACTGCTTATTGGGTGTACTGTCGTTTAGTTTACATAGAACTTGAAGGAAGACGAGTAGGCTACTTGTGACTTGTTATTACTTGTTTATTTCCGGACCTGTAGATGTTTGATAATGTATTAAGAAGTGCAAGTAGATCTGGTAATTATTTAGATGGTTATTATCAATCTATCAATCATCGTTCTTGTCTAATCTCTATCTTTAATTTGTTTACAAACTGTCTTCAAGTGTCTTTATTTGATGAGTGACTGTTTTTGACTTCAGAAGTGAGAGGCAGGCATCAACACAAGGCTATTTTTTGCTATATAGATATTGAAAGGAATTTAGACAATTATTTAAGTGTGAATGAAATTTTGACATGATTTAAATTTCTCTTGTGATTTTGAAATGTTTCAAATTTAATAGAGTGATAATACATAAAGTGGCATGTATTTATTTTTTCTTTGATGAGATCGGATACAAAGTTCCAGAAAATATGTCTGTGCATACACTGCCTTCAAATAAACCGAAATCCTTTGCTTTGCTTTTTTTCAGTTAACTCTAAAGAAAAGAGAAAGTTTACTGGTCAACATTACAGAGAGAGAAGTCTCCAGAGTATTTTGTGTTAAGTCTTATAAACAAGGATACAACTATATCATTAATTAATGGAGACCTAGTTTAGCTGAAGGCATTACAAATGAACATTATATATCAATTACCTCTGTTTGAAGCTATATTATGAATAATGATAAGCTAATATTATTAATATTCCATCAAAAACTAGTGGGCATGTTTCAGTACAGTGCATGGAAATCTTGATATTGCAACAAAGTGGACTACATTACTTATTTACTGTGAGTTATTAGATAAACTATATGGACTATAACTCTGATACAAAAGAAATGCAATGGTATATTTAGGAGTGGTGCATACATTGTGTATTTGTGACTATTTTAGTTATTTAGTGTGAGTTATTAGATAAACTATGCCAGATAACTGTGGACTGTGGTATATGAGAAATACTAAGAGAATATATTTAGGAATAATTTGATACACAGTTATTTGAGACTGTTTAATTTTCTTATGAAATAAAACTAATATGAAGTATTTCCTGTGAATTTAAATTTCAAAGTTTTGCTTCAAATGTGACTGGTCTTTTTAAATTTTTATTGGAGATACTTGTTTTAAGGAACTCTATTCCATAAGATTTGACAGTTGATGGAATTTTATCTGTGATATTGAGAGATAAACAACTTTTTGTCAAGTTTTATTCATTTTTATGTGAAAAATGTCTGGAAAACGATATGATGTGTTATTGCGCTTGCTATTAGTTGGGGATACAGGGGTAGGAAAAACGTGTCTAATTTGTCAATACGCCAACAATGAATTCTATGATACACATATATCCACTATTGGTAAGTTATTATTTATATATTTTTAACTATATTTTTATGACATTCAAATTTATTCTATTGTCTTATAGACAGTGCAAGATATCTGCACAGCAAAGTATAGATAACACAATCAATACAGGTATTCAATACAGACAGTATAAATAAATAAAAGATTCGGAATAATTAATATTTGAAACACTATTATGGAAGAAACAGTCTATATTTATTCATCATTTTAAGTTGGATTAGGAAGTTGATTAAAGGTTTGTTAATGTCTACTTAAGCTTATTATAAGATTACTGTCAAGTTAATCCATTAGTTTCTAATGAAGTACAATCAAATATTAAGATTAAGTATATAATCATACACAATTGTATCACATAAGGTACTACAACAATGTATGCCCTTAAATCTTGTCCATGCATGTATAAGTGGATTAGGAGAGTTTGGTGGCTGAATGACCTAATGTGTGTGCTGTAGATCATAAGGCCTGGAATTGCTGTCTAATCGTTCAGATGGGATGAAAAACTGAGGTCCGGTGTACACATATTGGTGTGCACATAAAAGATTCCTTGGCAGTTGGAATTCGAAAAGAGTAGGCCATGCCATAGTGTTGCTGTCCAGGACAAATTTCCCTCATAGCACACTGTATGGCATACACCTGTCTTCATTAGCCCAGTCAGAGAACAGTAGTAGGATGTGAAACCCCATTTACATTTCATTTTATTTCGTAAGGCCTGTTATTTATAAACATATGGGTTCCATCCTAGGGTTGCCTACCTAACCTCATGGGTTTCCACTATTTCTAAAAATTCCTGTGTTAGAGCTTATTATTGAAAAAAATAATAAAAACTGTATTTTAGTACCAAAATGATCTGTGTAGTGTTAAGTGGATGTGAACTTCCTCTGTCTCTCTTTAAGTAGACTGACAGTATAAGATAACAAGTAGGTTATAAGTCATTGCCCCAGTCGTCAGCTAATTGATCCATTTCTTGTGAGCACTCTACAGACTACTGTAATAACTGCCAGAGTTATTGCCCTTGTTGAAATATGTATAATATACCATTACTCATTTTACAAACTCTTTAGACCAGCCACTCAAGACATGAGCAATAAGATACTTCCTGCCTTGTTGAACCATATTGTTATCGGCATAGAAGTCAAAAGACTTTAAATTTCAAATTGCCAAATCATGCTTCATTTATAACCGGACATTCTTTGATAGTCTCTATTATATAAATTCACATTGAATACAATTTGAACTCTTATAACAAAAAGCCCCATTTGTTTCTTTTTCATAATTCTTTTTTTCATCAAAGAAATATCTGCCATTCTTCAAATGTACCCAGAGTTGTCATTGGACTATGGAATTTAGCTTTAGGCCACCTTCAGTAATCTGTGTGCTTGACCATCCATATAATGATTGTGTGTAAATTGATTTGGATAAATTATTTACATATACTTGTAGGCGTCATAATGTCTTAACAATAGTCTCCCCTAGTTACTTACAAAAACATTAAATGTCATTATGCCCACTATGTGATGAAACCCGAGGGCGTTGTTTTATTGTTATAATTGTTTACTGTAAATTGATAAATGATGAACTACAAACTTGATCTACAAGTTAAACTAGTTCCTTCACTTCATTTTCCCATACCATCTAATAATGGACTTTTAACATAATATAGGTTAAAGAATAATTGCTACAGGTTATATTTACCAGAATATGGGAAATCTGTTGGGTTTGGGTCAGTGGCTCAGTGAGTAAGATGCTATCTCGTTAGCCTGGAGGTCTCAGGTTTGTCCCTGATGATTTTCCGGTGTGGTTCTATCTTTTCAGTAGTGCAAGACGTAGGGCCTGACAAAGACAGCTGCCTAGTTATTGAGACGGTATGAAAAACTGAGAACCCGTGACAGTTTGAATCCGATTTAAGGATGAGACAAAAAAACGAGGACATGTGTATACATTGACATGCTCGTAAAAGATCCCTTGACAGTTGGAATTTGATATAAGTGCTGCCGTCTGGGCAAAATTTTCCTCATAGCACACGCGTATGACATATGCCGGTCTTCATTAGCTCATTTGACGCAAAAAAAAAAAGAACGCTTAACCCATTTCATTTTATTTATTTTGGGTCAGAGGCATATGGAGGGGGGGGGGGGGGGGTGTCACAGGAAACAGAGTAGCCCCATTAAATATCTCCCTTGCCTGAATAATTCTTGAATGGCAATATTATGTAAAGATGTGCCCCAATTTGACATGAGACATTTTCTCTCTCGTCTCTGTAACTATGTCTATTTGTGACAAACATGTAATCAATGTTAATGGTCCACTTTAAACTTGGTTAGATTACACAGTAAATACTGACTAAACTTTACATGGTTCTATTCTAACAAAGGTTAAAGGTCAGCACAGTTAATGAAGAGAAATAAAGTTAATGTAAGATTAGATTGACACACTTATGTAGATCTTTAAATTAAAGTGTAATGTCATTATGGACTTAAAGGGGGATTTGTGCAGAAACGTACAACTTTTATCCCCATTTTATTTTATTTCACAGCTCTACCCTAGCTGTTTTATTTTTTACAAAAATAAAACTTTATCCAAAATATACAACTTTATCCTTATCATAGATATTATATAATTCACAAATTAATATCTAACCTGTGTTAATAAATACATATCAAGTAAATATTTGTATTGACCTAATAGCATAGGGCCCTATGCCCTATCCCTTGTAATAATCACAGTCTTCAACACCACTATTCCTTCTTTTTGTGTTATTGTGTGTAATGTTTAAATATGTGTAATAATGCATAACTTATGTGTAATGTGTAATTTATGTGTAATATATGCATAATATATGTTTAATGTGTCTATGCAGGAAAAGTGATCAACAAAATATTATATAGAATAGAATGGAATAATATTCATTTAAACAATGTTTTATGGACATTGTACAAGATATACCATATCCCTGAAGCAATGGCCCAAACAATCCCTCTCTGGCCATTGCTGGATTGGCCTCTGATACTTGGGCTTTTGAGGGAGTGTGTCTATTCTTCCGTTCAATCAAATCTGTCCCAAGTACAGCAACATGACTGCCCTTCATTTAATCTGGGGTCTTCCCTAAAACTTTGGACAGTGATTTAAGGTATTAAAAACGGTGAAAGTATTGTTGTCTCCAAACAGTATTGTTTACATTGCATCCGTGTTGATAGCCTCGTTTGTCACGCAATTAGTTTTTCTGCAATATTCTGCTATGCACTGGTTAATTGGTCATAATAAAATCTTGAGTCATGACAGAAAAATGTAAACATATTTGGTCCAATTTGGAGCTCTGTTTAAAGCGTAATGTTATTGTTACACAGTTAGCTATTGGTTGTTAATCGGACTATTGACCAGTCATAATTTGGAACAGAAATATGCTTCCATTACAGCAGTGTTAAGTGGGATTAGCTCTAATCAAACACTGTGAGGGGTATGAAGATATACAAACTTATCCCCACCAGTAGTAAAATTGTCCCTGTTAGCTTGGAAAGTTTTTTCTATGTTTTAAAGCTCTGAAACTACTAAGTAGGTTTCTTTCTTATTCTCAAACAAACAATCCACCAAGTTTTAAATATAAAACTCTGCGATCTGTTTTCAAAACACTCTACGTTTTGATGGCGTTCATTTAACAATCCCTATTAATTTGAAAATAAAATTGTGAAGAACTCTTTTATGTAGAGTGTTCACAAGAAACAGAGGCAGGTGATTACAATATAGAATTATGATTAATAGTTAATAACATTAGAAAATTGTTAATTGGATTTTCTTTTTCTAGGAATTGATTTTAAAATGAAGACAGTTAATATTAATGGGAGTATTGTAAAGGTTCAGATATGGTAAGAAATGTTTAATTAGAGCCTTTAATAGGAAATATTCTGTTTTTTCACAGGTAAAGCAAAATTTTTTGTCAACCAAAGCTTTCAGGGACATAGATGTCATTTCTAGCAGGAGCTTGGTCAAGCGTTATGAGTTCAAATTTTAGTTTATGAAGTAGTTTTAAAAATTAAAAATCAAAACAAATTAAAAATTTATTTTGACAAAATAACTCTTTATAATCAAATTTTTCTCAATTTAATAGCAGAAATAATGATGGTCTTTCCTTGATCACGGATATCTTTACAAAAGAGCAGGGGTGGGGTCTATTATTTTAGCCATTTTAGGTCAGGTCAGAAACTCATTTTCAAATCTGTCATTTGTAATATTTTTTAGGGATACAGCTGGACAGGAAAGATTTGAATCTATTACAAAACAGTTTTACAGAAGAGCTCAGGTATGACCTAATTAAAGTGTAACATATCTTCATAATATAATTAATTGTCTTTAATGGGATTTGATTGGACAAAGCACATATTAAATGTTTAAACATGTATGTTGGTAGGATTATTCTAACTGGATTCCCACTTGGCAGGGGGCGTCACCTGTGGGCACGGGGGGGGGGGGGGGTATCACTTGAGGGCATGGGGCTGACAAGAAAAGTTTGTCTAGTCATTGGCATATGCGTAAAAAAAAACCTGGCAGTTGAAATTCAATGTCGAGTAGGAGGAAACATCGCAGAACTGACAAAATTTACATCCCTGCTAATATTGAACAAATTATCTCCCCCTTCCCCCCACCCCAATTTAACTGCTGAAGTATTGTGCTATTTAGATGTTTAGCCTAATTCTTATACTATGTCTGGAAACCAATGTACAACTGCACCAGTGTCATGATCAGATTTTCTTTAATTAGTTAAAATTTATTTATTTTCAGGGAGTTATGCTAGTCTATGATATTTGTAGTCGATCCACATTTGATTCCCTACCTAAATGGTTGTCTTACGTTAGACAGGTATAGGAATTTTGATATTTTATTTGATTATTGAAATGGGTAAATGGAATATTTATTATACAAATCTATATTCCCAAATTGAAATGCAGCTGTTGTCTACAGTAGAGGTTATGGACACTCTAGAAACTAATTAGCTATCATCACAGAGGGTGTTGAGTGGCAAAATGGTTTAACGCATGCACGTTAGATCACAAGGTCTGTCATTGAGTCAAGTGGGGTGGTTTCCATTCCGCACTTGTATGTGTTGGGTTGTAGAATGGTTTAACGTGTTTGGATCACAATGTCTGTATTGAGTCAAGTGGGATGGTTTTGATTCCGCACTTGTACTTGACAAGGAGTAGGGACGCCTGTCAAACCTCATGGGTTTTCTCTGGGTTCTCCATTTTCCTCCAAAAGCTAATGACCTCTACTTTCACACACGATTTATTGAAAAAGAAATGAACCATATTATGTTAGTCCCAAAATGACATGGTCGCGATAGTATAATAACCTCTCTCTCTCTCTCTGTCTCTCTCTCTCTCTATCATCAAAGTGTTTAATGTTTCTGAGAAGAAGAATCCTATTTATATTCTAGTAATTAGGATACTGTGATCACAAAGAAAAAAATTGTGGATGCTCTAGAGACTCAAGTTATCATCTGATTGACCTGAAATTCATAAGCATTCTTTAGATTCACAATTATCCAAACCACTTTCTGATCAACGGTATACCAGTGGATGGGGGGGAAACCAAAGTCGTTAACACTTAAAAATTAAGACTTGGCAGTTGGAATTCGACAAAGACTAGATTGCAACACAGCTGTCCAAGCAATAACTCCCCCATGACACACTACACTGCGTATGCCCGTCTGCATTATCCAGGTTGCAGAAAAGCAGTACATTAAACCCCCATAATTTTATTCTAGCTGGTGATCAGAAGTAAAATGTCCTGTTGTCACCAAATTCTAAAAGCCTCTTTATCTATACTTTATATCGTAATATTACACACATCAAGATTAAATATATAACATTTTTTTAAAAAATTGAAAATATAGCTTCATGAAACTTTAGACTTTTTTCATTGCACCTGAGAAGGAGTAATTTATACTCATAAAAACATAGACAACATATTCATTACAAAAAATTCTGTTATCTGATCAATGATGGGTTTTTATACGCACACATTTATACGACACTCTACAGGTCACAATTTTTATCCGATTTCAACGTAATTTGAACAGTAGGTTTATCTCTCTAAGATCTCGGTTTCTTATGATATTGGTATGTATCGGACCGTAACTTCATGGATTATGGCCCCTGATTGTATGGAAAATCGCATTTTTAGCTTGTGGACCCTATAGAGGTCACAATTTTTATCCGATTTTGTTGAGACTTGAAATGTAAGTTTATAACACAAAGATCTCGGTTCCTTTAGATGTTCGTGCATATTTGACCATAACTTCCTGAATTATGGTCCCTGATTGCACGAAAAATCGCGATTTTAACTTTTGGTCCCTCTAGAGGTCACAATTTTTATCCGATTTAAAAAAAACCTGTTAGTATATCACCGTTACACCCTAATGATGGTTGAGTTCCAATTTCGTGAAAATCGGACCCAAACTGCCGGAACAAAATGGCCGCCCCTTGTACTCAAATAGTGTAAAATGTGTTATATCAAGGTTGTGGACCCTCTAGAGGTCACAATTTTCATCCGATTGTGATGAAACTTGGAATGCATGGTTATATCCCTAAGATCTTGGTTCTCTTCGATATTCACGCATATCGGATCTAACTTCCTGAATTAAGGCTCCTGATTGTACGAAAAATCACGCTTTTAGCTTGTGGTCCCTCTACAGGTCAGAATTTTTATCCGGTTTAAAAAAACGTTTTAATGTATCCCCGTTACACGCTAATGATGGTTGAGTTTAAATTTCGTGAAAATCGGACCAAAACTGACGGACAAAATGGACGACCCTTGTACGCAAATAGTGTAAAATATGGTATGTCAAGGCTGTGGACCCTCTAGAGGTCACAATTTTTATCCGATTTTGATAAAACCTGAAATGCATGTTTATAACCTAAAGATCTTAGTTCCTTTTGATATTCGCGCTTATCGGATCGTAACTTCCTGAATTATGGCCCTTGATTGTACGAAAAATCGCGTTTTCAGCTTGTGGTCACAACTTTTATCCGATTTAAAAACAAAATGTGTGAATATATCACAGTTATACACTAATGATGATTGAGTTTGAATTTCGTGAAAATCAGAAAAAAACTGACTGACATAATGGGCGCCTTTTGTACGCAAATAGTGTGAAAATATGGAAAACCATTATCCGATTTGGATGAAACTTTAAATATATGTTTCTATCATAAAGATCTTGGTTCCTTTTGATAATCACACATATTCGAACATAACTTCCTGGATTATGGCCCATGAGTTAAAAAAACGTATTATTAGCTTGTGGATTCTCTAGAGGTCACAATTTTTTTTCCGATTTTAAAAACCATTTAGATATATCACCATTCCACCACAATGAGGGTTGAATTGGAATTTCGAGAAAATCAAAATGAAACTGACCGACAAAATGGCCGTTCTTTGTACACAAATTGTGTATAAGTATGTAATACAAAGGTTAAGGATCCTCTAGAGGTCACAATTTTTATTTGATTTTGATAAAACTTAAAACATATCTTTATATTCCAAAAATCTCAGTCCCTTTTGATATATTTGCGCATTTCAGATCATAACTTTCTGGATTATGGCCCCTGATTGTTCAAAAAATCGTTTTTGTTTTTAGCTTGTTCTCTATCCATCTCTTGCAAAATGTGGGCATATCCTGCCTGGCAGCTGCTGGTTTTGTATTCTAGTCTTTATAGTCTTAGTTGAAACTTTAGTGCAATAGAAATGAAATGGTGTTTAATATCCTACAATTTCTTGTGAACACTCTACAAAAGATAAAATATGTGACAAGCCTTGTTGATCTACTGTGGGCTTATGTTTCGTTGCTTTGCAACCTGTCTTTTTATTATGAAAAATCTTGTGGAACTCTTGTGGTGAAAAACACCACAGACCAAAAACACTTTATCAGAATTATTCTAAGTCGAAAATCTTGTGCAGTGTAGTACCACACAGGGAAATAATAGGGTTTGAGAAGAAATTTTGGAAAAATTTGCCAAACTCTTGTGACACCACAGACCAAAAACTCTCTACCAAAATTAGATTAAAAATCTTGTGGAATGTGTTACCACTACAGGGAGATAAGGGGGCCTTAAGAAGAAATTTTTGATAAAACTGTGAAACTTTTGTGGTGACAAATTCCACACAAAAGCCCACAAACATTGCCACAGTTTTTTTTATTTTCAACGATGTCTGATAATCATTGTCAGAGTTATGGGTTTTGATGACTTACAAATTTGTTGTGGGCATTCTATACAGGCTAAAGTTATACATTTATTCCACCTCCTTTTTCAAAAGTGAAACAATTTCATGCATTTGTTTTCAGTTTTCTAAGGAAGATACTATGATAACCATATTAGGAAATAAGCATGACATGGAAGATAAAAGACAAGTAGAATATCTCGAGGGACAACAGGTGTGTATATCTCACAGTTGATGCATTCTAAGTAGCATTTTTAGACAAGGGACATGTGGTGGTTCGCTTTCCAGAAGGTCTCTGGTTCACTCCTGGTGTTGGCTGGGAATTTCTGGCTTGGTTTCCCCTTGTCAGCAAGGTTGGACAGGGATTTGGCAAGGAGCAGCGTCTAGTGTTTCAAATGGAATGAAAAACTGTGGTCCCAGGTACATGTTAGTGTCCACATTAACGAACATTTGACAGTACGAATTAGGAAAAAAAGTAGGCCATAGCACTGCTGTCCATGCAAAATTTCTAACATAGTACACTGCATGGTGTATGCCGCTGTCTTCATTAGCCCGGTTGGTGTAGGACCGTAAACTCTATTTCATTTTACAGTTTGGAAGATTAAATTTCATAGGAATTTAACAGGGGTCCATTTTGGACACTTTTCCATATTTGTGCTTGGGTATACTACAGAAGAATTTATCATATGTATGACTTTTCAATTCTAAGTGAACAACATTAATTTTTTTGTATTAAGTGTTCACATTTTTTTTCTTTCTGTTTTAGTTTGCAGCTAAAAATAATTTAAAGTTTTTTGAAACAAGTGCCAAAGATAGAGAAAACCTACAAAAGGTAATAAATCCAGAATAAATTTAAATTTGTCTTCTTTTTCTTATATTAAGAGACTGACATAATTAATATAGTTTCTTCATTGTGTATTGGGGGGTTAGATGGCCGAATGGTTAGCATGTGCGTGCTGTATCATAAGGTCTGTCATTGAGTCAACTGGCATGGTTTCAAATCCTCGGTTGTACGTGACTAGGAGTAGGGTCGCCTGTCCAACCTCATGGGTTTTCTCCGGGTCCTCCAGTTTCCTCCCACTGCTAAAGACCCCTACACGCAAGCGAATTATAGAAATAAAATTGAACCATGTGTCGGTCCCAAAATGACCTAGTTTGTGTTGAGTGGACGTTAAACCCCATTTCTCTCTCTCTCTCTCATTGTGTATTATCATCAGTTACATACTGTTGTATTAGATGCAGTTCAATGACACCTTATCAATATGTGAGCTGACCGACAACACTGGTTCACAAAAAAATAATAACAAAATCACAGTCATAATATGGCATGAACTTGAATAAAACTGCTTTCCGGCGAGATAACGATCAGGGAACAACTATATGGGAAATACAATCTAAGTTCTACCAGGGCACTCAGTGTTATAGCCAGTTTCATCAGTATAACAGCGACGTGCATTTATTATGCATTTTGTTGACATTCATTGGTGGGCTTGATGATGGCGCCCTAGATTTGGAACACCCCTCCCCCCCTTATTCACAGCTTCTAGATTTGGACATCCCCCTTTCCATTATTCACAGCTTCTGGATCCTCTACTGGTTGAGTAAGTTCTCAACTGTTGAGTATCTTATGCTCAAACAGATGTTTTTTTTAATATTTATATCTCTTTCTAGCCTTTCCATGACATGTGTGATGCCATCATTTCTATGCAAGAGGCCAAATCATCCAGTGAAACTTTATCTGATCCTTCTACCCCAACTGTTGCTGTTGGTAATAGTGTAGTCCAGTCTAACCAGACAGATAGAACACAACTAATAGGTGACAGCAGTGATTCGGAAGATGAGGAACAGAAAGTCGAGCTTAAGTTCAATAGTTTGCGGAAGTGGGCATGCTGTGGAATACTGTGATATATAATAGTCTGAAAAAATCAAGACTTTCTAGTCAAGTTTAAATGTTTAGTTTGCAAATAATTAATTTGTCTCAATTTGTATGTGGTTATAATTTATGCATATAGATACAACAAACTGACATAGACTTGTAATGATCATATTGTATATAGTCGCCTAAAGTACCAGATTTTTTTATGTAGACAGGCATATAGATACCAAGAACTGACATAGACTTTTAATGATCGCATTATTTATTCTCGCCTGCAGTACCAAATTTTCAGATGTTATATTCTGGTCCAGATATATGTCACAAATCAAAAATGACACGCCAATTTTCAACATTTTCTCTAAACAAATTTCCTGAGTAGTCCACTGTCTAGGATAAACGTTTCAAATAATCTTTCTCTAAAATACATCTATCATAGCTCCTTTAATGTTAATGTAATGACTAAAATTAAAATTCCATTTCTCAATGACATGTGTCTATGCCATTAATTTTAGTTGATAACTTAAACAAAAGTTTTATATTTCTGTTAAATTTATTACCGGTATACAAATTGTTATAAATGTTCTGTGATGTAAATATGCCACAATCTAGAAAGAGTGCCTTTTAGCTTAATATTAATTAAAGAAATTCAATGGAGTTTAAAGTCCCACTTTTTCTGCACCAGTTAATTAAAGATGAGTAAGCTTCAATATGGGATTATAAAAGAGGGTAGTAAATACTCTAACTTTTGTATATGTTGTTTATTTGTTAATTGCAGTTAATGCTGTTATAATTGTAGGGAGTACTTACTCAAGACAGACAAATATTACAAAAACCAGAGACCCAATACAAATATAGGTCAGGAACAAATCGAGGGGGTCCAGCTACTTGAACTCAATTTAGGGGTTCCAGGGCCCAAAATAGCATCTACAGCGTTCCATTTTCCGAATTTCTGGGATTTGCATCTTTCGATATGAAATTTCTGGCTGGACTCCCCTCACACCCCTCCCCCCAGCTGAAAATCCTGAATCTTCCCCTGTACTACTAGATATACACCTCCATGGAAATAATAAAAGAGTTTTCTTATAGCCTTCATATTTTATTATTGTCTCCAAAAATCCCTGGACTTGCTCTTGAACCTTATCAATTCTTTTTACAAGATACTGTCTTTTATATCACAAATTAGTTACGGTTACCATGGATACATTGTGATAAAAAAAAATAAAGTGAATAACATATATATGCATAAAAGTTGGAGATATATATATATATATATACTGATAGATGTGAAATAAGAGGACCGGTGAAACAAACATTAACAATCATTTATTTGTTCTGTTTCCTATTTGTATTTTTGTGAACTTTTATGTTTTGAATCTTTTGATGATAAACCTATGACATTTATACCTATTTATCATATAAACTGCTGTGACATTTTGCTTGTGCTGAGGCATTTAATCAAAAAATGTCATTAAACAATAAAGATCCATGACTATCTCAATGAGCCCATGCATGACTAATGTGGTTTACCACCACCTTGAATAAGTTCAATTATGAATATTTCCTGTTCCTTTTAAGCAATATGACCATTGTGAGTTTGGACTCAACACTTCGGAAAATTACTTTTATTCTACTGGAATTAGGGTGATGAGACTGTAGTTTCACTACAACAGTAAGCAAAGTGACAAGCAATTAAATTATTTAATGCTTTATAAAAGGATAAATATGCAAGTAATTAATGAATATCACCTATTTGTTGTGGGATTAAGGTGGGGGACACTCCATACCTCACAGTTGGCTTGTTACAAGGGGGTGTAATCTCAGTTTTTATACAAAATGACCTTTTATTCAATATCATTCAATTATTTTATTTGTCTCATGTTGCTTTGTTATATTTTATGCTATGTGTGTTGATGTACTGTATTTTATTTGATATGCCTGATAGTGTTCAATCAATAATTTTCTTATTTTATATACCACGTTTGTTCATGTGTGTATATTTGCGCTATGGCTGTTGCTTTAATTATTTATACCTACTTTGTTGGGTTTTTTAAGCCAAAGATCAAATGTTGGTATGCTGTATATATTTTAATCATATTTTACAATACCAATTTTTAAAATATATTTATTACTAGATTTGATTTTAGTCTGTATTTTCTGTACTTTTACTTTACGTGTTTGTATATCTAGATGATTGAATTAGTAAGGCAAGGTTAAACAACCAATATAATCCCCCCCCACCCTTCATAGAATAACACACAGTTCTATTAAATTTTGTCATACATGGTACAGTAAATTTTAGTTACATATATTTATTTATGAACATGCTTACTGCATGATGCCATGATATCAGGAAATTAAAAACATACATTATATTTGTTGTTTAGCAAAATAATGTTTTTCAGTAATTCCTTTCATGTATGCATTCAGTTGATAGCCCCACTTCCCTTCCCTCCATCAAGTCGCAAAGTTCTCGTTTATTTGTTCCATCCCAATGACTATACATTATCCCTTGTTACGCCCTTTGTCCTTTACCACGACTGACAAGGGGTAACCATGCCCGAAAATCCCAATGAACCTCCTCGACCAACACCGCGATAGAAATGAAATGGAGTTTAACGTCCTACTGTTCTGCTCTGAACTGACACCGGGATAGACCACGAATCCTCCAGGTTAGCAAGCCAATGCCTTACACTACGAGCCACCATGAAAATCATGAAAACATCACTACAACCAAACTCTCACTAAACCAATCCATGGTCACAAATGAAAAAATAAAATATTTTAATAAATAGTAGCAAGTTTCCACTTCTAGTTCTTTTCTAGGATATCACTACAATGCCATTGAAAAATTCATCAGTTTTGTCAATGAGCTTATTCACAGAAAACTAGCAACCAATGAATGGAAAATGTCTGTTGATGTCATGCCATCCAGTTATCTCCCTTGATCATTGAATGAGGCAATATGTTATTGTGTTTAGTTGTATTGGATAAATCGTTCAGCTGCTACATACTATCCCACTAATCCGATTACCAGGTGATTGGGTTTTCAAATAACTTCAATAGACAGTAGATTAAGCAGCAGCTATGAGAGAGAGATGGAGTTAGTCCACTCCACACAAAGTAGGTCATTTCAGAACTAATATATGGTTCAATTTAATTTTAATAATTCGCTTGCGCAAAGGGGTCCTCAGCAGTGGCAGGAAACCAGAGAAAAACTGTGAGGTTGGACTGGCGATCCTAAACTCGTCACGTGAAACCAGGGAATCGAAACCACGCCAGTTGATTCAATGACAGACCTTATACAGCACGCACCGGCTAACCATTCAGCCCCCCATGCAGCTATAAGAAAAGCCTTTCAACTGAAAACATTCTCCGATATCAAATTACGCCACTGATTTTAGCCCTATTATCATAAGACACATAGCTATTATGGGCTATAACCAGCTCAATGCTATCATGATTTATAATATAACAGGAGGCACAAAAAATATTTCTGACATATTTTCAATGTTAATGGATTCCTTTCTGATCAATTATTAAAACAGAAACATTCTTAATTTCACATTTTTTTTATTTTCAATATATGTTACATTTTACTTTCCGGCATTTGCATTAGGACCTCTCTTTCTACCGAATGTTTCTACAACATTTAAAAATCGACGGTTATATTGTGATCGTCTCTTTGCACGTCCGGTTCTCTTCTTCTTTTTGTCTTGTTTATCAACCTAAAAATATATCAAAATATTTTAAAATGTGGATGCTCTATGGTAATAATAATAGAAATTGTTCTTGTCATCTTAAAATGAATGCAGTATTGGGGTTTAACGCCTAGTAACAAGGGAAAGAATTTATCCTGCAAGTATTTGACTTGAAATCAAATCATGGATATTTTCATGCAATGCCACATTTTTCCTGCTTCGAACCTCCTTTGTTTTGTCCTACATATATCTGGATAACTAAACACAAATAATTATAAGCCTAATAGGCTAACCTTGGCTAGTGCTTTACATAGATATTCCATAAATTCTACAGGGTCGTCCAGTTCAAACTTTGTTCATAATTGTGACTTCAGTGCCTAATCAAAATTACTATAGTGTATTTCATCAATTCCCTAACAATGGACAAAATCTAATTCAAAATGTTTTCTAAGGGTCTTAAAATATTTTGTCCTACCTATAGCTACATCATTAACATAAGTAGGGACATTTGCAAATGTTTCCTCTTTGGACAGACTTGCTTAATTAATGTTTGGAAATACCAAGCCATGTACTAGTTTAGATTTGACAGTATAATACAAGTTCTTACCTTTGGGGTTTGACTTCTAACTTTACCAGCTCGAGCTAGAGAACCATGGACTTTACCTATAAATTGAAGAAGGGTTATTGTATTATTTTAGGGCTCGTCTTTTGTTACAGCAATGTAAATAGTATTTGAACTGTAAGGTGAAAAAGCTATGTCAGCCTATGTAGAGAATCTATCCACCAAGAATGTATTGCACATGCAACGAAAGAGGGTTACGAAATAAAATAGGGTTAAAAATCCTACTCTTACCCTCCCATCCAGGATAATAAAGATATGGTACAGAATACGAATACAAATGCAGAAAAATAAAAAGTTGATAGCTGTGTGTACTTAAAGGACAATATTGGTGCCAGTCATTATCATATATGTAATAGAACTGGTTAAACACGTTCCAAATATTATTTTATCACAGATCATTGCTACGATAGATGTGTAATCAATGTTCCAACAATCTGTTCACTAATAATTCCTTCGAAGACCAAAAGTTGTTGTGTGAGACTGTGAAAGGGTATCTGACAATTCGTAAAAAAATTGACTGTCACTAGATAAGATGAAAGAAAAATAGAAAAAGTCTGTGCATTACCATGTTTCTATAAGTATAGAAGAATGAATAAACAGACGTTAATGTACGGACTGTTTCTATTTTTCTCGTGTTCTCTTATCTAATGACATTCAATTACTTTTTTGAATTGTCAGATATACTCTTACAGTCTCATATAACAACTTTTTGTCTTCGAAGGAATTATTAGTGTGCAGAAATTCGCCCATGTATCATCACTCGTCACTTCAGTCAGTTATATATATATAGAGGGATAACTCGTGTTTTCCTTTTGTGTTCGTCACTTTCGATTGTTGAAGCATTGATTACCCATCTATCGAAGCAATGATCTAAATAATATTTAGAACGTGTTTAACCAGTTCTATGACATATGTGATAATGACTGACACCAACATTGTCCTTTAAATAAGAAGCAGCATTATTATCAAGTTTCCTAAAGGAGCAAGCATACCCTGTCCTGTGAATAAAACCTGTGATTACATAAAGCCGTACAAGTGAGAGCTTGGATTTTCTAAATACATGTATATAAAACTGACCTCCGATCATTCGTACTTCAACATCAAGGGTTGATAGTTCACTGAGTGCTGCAAGTTTGAAGTCACCTTCAAGGGGTTTACCCCCATACATGACCATCAAGTCATCGGCACAGAATCCCTCTCTTTGGGAAATCAAGTTCTGAAATACAAATTAAAACGATTAAAATATGTTATATTTTAACACCAAGACTTTTGTTATTGATGGCAGAGTGAAATCAATAAAAACTTTAAACAGCCCGAACCCATGCTAGAATTGATAGAATTGCATAATTTCTGAGCAAAATTGTATTTTTTTAGAATTTATTAGAAGAACTCTGTGTATGGTTTTGACTCTTAATGTCTGTATCCTTTATTTAGGAATGTTGGGGCTTTAAACTACATTTTTCAGTATCATCAAATCTAAACAATTACCTTAACTGCTGCGACAGTTTCATCTCCAGTCACCTCAACGGTGTGAGTCTCTGTTGCTCGAACAAACAACTGCATGTTGGCTCTGTAAAAGAAAATACTCAAGATTACACCATATAGTATACAAACTGCTCTGTTATAAAGCTATGATTAACTCCTGAGCGATGGCATTTTAGGAATCAAGAATCAGATGATTTGAGAGACCGAGAAATAGGTCAAAGCCTTAAAATGTCTGCATTATTTTAGGCATCATGGTTAAATTTTGGGATTACCGGTTACGTTTTATGAAAAAGTCATCACGTTATCTTACCACATAGAACCTATGAACAATGACAAGTTACAATGTACGTGAATGGCTGGCACAGGCTTGGTTATCAAGACATCTGATAGTAACTACTGTTTTAAAAACTAAAGACTTAGTTGGCAAATAGAAAATAAAATGCACAGATAAACAGTAACAAAGTTATTTTTAAATAGGGTTAGGGTGTATCACATTTACACAGAAAATTTTTGTGATCTCCAGGCTCTGAAGTCCATAGCATAATGACTAAATGTTTAAAAACACAAGATTGGCTAAAAATGTTATTAGAAAAACAAGGTATTGATGATGTAATGATATACGCCAAGTTTCCCCATTCCCACTCAATTAGAATCAAAGTTGTCGAGCTCCTAAGTCTCGACCAATCACATTGCTCATAATCGAACATTTAAATCAAAGTATTGATGTAATGAAACTAAACACTAAGTTTCATCACTCTGACTTAATTAGAAGCAAAGTTATTGTATCCAAAAGCATCGACCAATCAAATTGCGTATACGCTTAGCCCAAGCAGAAAATGGTCATCATCGAACTCAGTCATGGTATTCATCAAATAAGACACCTACATCCAGTTTAATTTTAGATTAGTTTAATTAGAACCTGAATTATTGTATCCCAAAATGTGTGACTGAGTGACAGACCCATTCTAATAGCCCCCTGCTTTTTTCAAGTGGCCGGGGACAAATATATATATCTCCAACAACACAGCTGAAACTGATTAATGAATGGGGATCAAATATGTTAAAATTCTATTTGTTATTGATACTGAAACTGACAGATTACAATTTCAAGTTCCTCACATATTTCTCCATCCAGAACTACAAAAATCCAGACTCAACATCAAGCATCGTAGGAGATAATTGATTGAACTTACTCCCTCAAATGGCGTCAATCGAGTAAAATCCGAGAATTTGTGGGCTACATGTACATTAAGTCTACCTTAATATTATAATAAAATAATGCATCTTAACCAATCTCCATAGGCCAAAAAGTTTTATTCATTCTGAGTTCTGACACGATTCTGTTCACAAGACACCCTTCTCACTTAATGACAGAACTGTGGTGACAGGCAATAGGCATCAATTCTGTGACAATATGAATAGATTGCATTTCCCAATATATAGAATGCTTCAGGAAAACAATTCGAGCACAATTTAGCTCTAAAGCTCTATAAAACCCCAACAATACCATAACTAGCAGGGCAGGTAGCAGGTACTCTATGACGATCGTTGAGGAGGTAGTACTAACTACTGAGTATAGTGCCCGTGGCAGTGTTCAAGAAAACATGGATGGAAAAACAATCGACGAAAGTTTGACTTGCACATTTCCCTATAAATTTGACAATAACCAGTTCAATTTTCAAACAGAAAGACACTATAGATGGTAATGAACAATACCTGATAGACAACTACGGAGCAAATAATTATGTTTACAATTTATTTCAATATATAACAGACCACTTACACGTGCTTGTGAAACAGTTAATATGGCCGTATTAAAAGAACGGAAGTTGCAATTCGTAATGCAACCTGGGATTAAAGTACACAGATTTAGTGACGTAGTTCACATGGAGAATCGGCGGGCTGGACTGTTTAGCGTTATTTTAGATCGTTTTATATAAATATTTCTCTATATTTGTGAAATCATCATGACTGAAACACTCCCCTGTTTAGTGCGTATAGGAGATAACGTCAAAAAATACAAATTATTTATTCTTGATAAAGACGAGGTAAAGATTAGTAAGGTCTTTTAGACGATACCGTAATAAACTTATATATAATTTTGTAGTTCAGCTCTGAACGAGACCTACGTTCAGAGCTGAACTAATAATTATGCAGAGAGTAAATATTAATAAATGGAATGAAATGAAATGATTGCGGCTTAATGTCCTACCCTGACTTGGCTAATGAAGATGAGCATACGCCATATACTGTGCTATGAGCCACCATGGCTCCGAACGTAACAATTCCATAAAAGTTATAAAAAGTCAAAAATAAGATCAGAGTAAACATAATGCTATTAGATAATAGATACTAACCCAATCTACATCCACAATGCATTAAATTGTGAAAAACTGACAGAATACTTCAGTTATAATGAAGAATTAATTTATACTGGGTCATGTCCCTAAGGCAAAAGGATTTGTGTGGAGGGGGGGCTTGGGAATGGGTTAACACATGCACTTTAGATCATCATAAGGTCTGTCATTGCTGTGAGTCAGTGGCCTTGGTTTGATTCCTCATTTGTACATGACAAGAGATAGGTTCGCCTATCAAACCTCATCATGGGTTTTCTCTAGTAGGTGTTCTAGAATCCTCCCTGCTAAAGAGGCTGCCTACACGCGAGCGATTTATTGAAATAAAATTTAACCATATGCTAGTCCATTTTGCCTCCATACCCATTTAGAATATATAAATGTGGAGTGGAGTGTTCAGTGTGTGAAATCAGACTTTGATCCTCATCTTGTAGGAAGCGTAGAACACAAACCAAATTGACCTAAAACTAGATCAAATAAATGGAATACCTCATGACTATATCATTAGAAAGCATATATTATATGATTTGAACTGAACTCCCTACACATCATCATTCTGGTCTGGGTCATTTTGGTAGTTCTGACATTACATTTTCCCATAAGCTTACAACCACACACAAATATTCATTTAAAAAATTTAAAAGATTAAATTGTAAGCATTTAGAAAATTTTATTAGATTTACTGGAAATATATTACAATGTAAACAAGTACATAACATAATTTAGTTTAATCGTGAATGAAACACTTTCTCTCTTCACACCAATTTTCATGTCCATAATAGTGCTGGGTATTGCTACTACAGTCCCGATACGATACGTACAATGTATTGCGATTCAGTTGATTATATACGATTCATATCACAATTCATAACCAGGTCAATATTTACCAAGAAAACAACAGGATAAATGAATAATTGATATGTTTAGTCCTGCCAATGTCAAAGAAATGAAACTGTTTTATATCACAACATTGATGTGAATCAAAATAAAGATAAAACAATTTAAGAGTGTTTGTGTACCCTCGCTACCTATAGATAATGTGTGATGTGGATAATTAAGAGTGACAGGTTACATAAATTAATGAAGCGACAAGAAAAAAAACACAACAAAAGAACTGGCAATATATCATTTCAGGGCCTCGCGATTCAAGGATATATCGTGCCAGCACTAGTCCATGACTATTTTAAGAAGTGTTTTTATAAAAGGCAGTCAATAAATATGAGTTACAGTCTGAGAATTTAAACTTGCTCTTTTAAGGGACTCATTTTTTGTTTGTAACAAGAATTACAACTTAATTAGTTGCCAAACATCATAGTTATGTTTATTTAGAGTTGTTTTTGTTTATAGATAAGTATTGGAAGATCTGAAGATGTAACATATTGTATTATGTCTGGTATGATTTCACGATGTCATGTGTTCATTAAGAAAATTGAAGGGGTATGGACAATTAAAGACAATAAGGTAAAAGATCTGTATCTTTAAGTAGATGTAGAAATAATATAATTTAATTGAACAAGCATAAAATGACAAGACCTCTTTGATTTTAAGTTTAAATTAAGTTTGCTTTGATTGGCTTCTTTGCTAAAGAGTGTCTGTCTACATTTAAATTTGAGGTCAACAGATACAGCCAAATTTAGATATAACTAATATTTTGTTCGACTAAAGCCAAACAACGAAAATTAAAAAGAGTTGAACAACATGACTTCCGCTTAATATTATATTTCCAAACAAAGTTTTGATCCATTATTATTCAAATTACACATCAGGCTGACCCAATTCAACACTCTGTTTTGACCTAATTGAAAGAGGGTTCACTCCTAAAAGGCACAACAAACCGTAGCTTGCCTTTTAGATTGCTCTCAACTGTCAAAATATGTTCTCTTTTAAAGCAAAGACTGCTTATTACGTTGTAAAAACCAATTATGATAAATGGGCTGGCTTGTATGAAGAAGTATATAGAGAAATTATCTTTATTTTATTTGATGTAGACATACATGTTTCAAATGGCATTGTTAAATCCATACAAATCATTATCTATGTTATATGGCGAGAACAGACTTCTGCTTAATAATATGTTAAAACCAAATTTTGTCCCATCAAGTTGTTACAAAATAATGTTTGGATCAAAATGGTTATTTTAATAAAATAACTTTAGATTGTGTATGTTGGAGCTTTATCTTTCAGTTATATTATTATGTCAATTTATCGAGTGCCAGAGATAGATAATTCTGCTTAAAAAAGGGGGACTACTCTTTCAAACTTTGTTTTGTTTAAGATGTTAATTTTCAATTTCATGTGATTTCACAATGTTAATTGTGTGGAAAATTTTAGACAAATTACTTATTTAAACTAAAGGTTATTTTTCACTTTTCCACAGAGTCTCAATGGTGTTTTTATCAATGGGAAGAAATTAGATCCTCAGATTGCTACAACATTAAATGATGGTGATGTTATTCAGCTTGGTGTCAGAAATACGGTGGATAAACAAGAATTTATCTATCGATTTTCTATGTCTGCTAAAGTAAAACGAGCAAGACGAGAGTCAGATGACTCAGTTAGTTGTAAACCTGTCCAAAAAAAATTCTGTCCTGATAATGTTGATGGTTCAGAGGGAGACTCCAAAATGAAGGAATTTCAGAAACGTTTAGAAGAGATGCAGAAAATCTTGAAAGTAAGCTGTTTTACCCAAAAATGAAACTTATCAATGCTAGGTTTTTTAAAACAAAAAGGCCTTCCCAAGTCAATCAGTGAAAATTGAAATGAGAGAGAAGAACCAATATGCCTGCCCTCCATCAAACATGACCGCCCACCCGTCAAACAGGAAGGCCCAAATAAAGCTATAAATAGCTAATCAATTGATTTATACATGCACAAAGATAATGTTACATATACATCCAATGACGCCCTAACTGCTGCCAATATCTGATTTTTTATTAGGAATTCTTTTGGATCTTAACTCTGTTATAATACAAAAGTGTTATTTAAATGAAGATAAAACATGGGGTTTTGTTTTTGTAGGAGAAGGAGTTAGAGCATGTTAAAATGAAAGAGGCCTTAGAAAAAGAAAAGGAAGAAAAAGTCAACCAAGGAAAATTATTAGATGATTTAAAAGAAAAAGAAGTCCAATTAAAATCTGAACTTCAGATAAAACAGGTTAAAAAATTTCTGCCATCTACATTAGGATAACTATTCCTTACTTAAAATGCAAATGTGTAATAGAAATAATATTTGTGTAACTGACTTAGTGATATGTGGAATTAATACATTAATTTCTTGCTCTCATTAATTTCATATTCTGCAGTATTTCTCATTCTAATTCATTATCTTTCCCATTGAGGAATTATTGACTTCATTATTCACCATTTTAGGTGTCTTAATGTGTTTCAGCTCAATTTCGTTAATTGGAAAATCTCTCCATCCATGTGACTTTCTTGTCAGGATCGTAGGGCAAAATCCCTCATATCCAGAATGCGGGTTAGATAACAACTCTTCCAGATCCTAGTGTAGTAAAGACAAGTAAAACGAAATTTTGAACAATAAAAAACGAAACGAAATAGGATCTGTTTAAATCAGATTGCACATACTTACTAATTTATTTGAGTATTGGTTCATTTAGTATACGCTCAACATTTTAAGCAAATGATAATAATCCTTTAGAGGCATTTAGTAATGATATCAGGGCCATAAACTATAACACATTCATTATGGAATAACATTTACAAATTTATTTGATTAATGATTCACAGAGTATTTGCTCAACATTTCAAGCAAATGTTAATAATCCTGTAGAGTCCTTTAGTAAGGGGGATAGAACAATTGAACAATCTTTGGAAGAACATTTGTTTGGCGGTATTTGTTGCATGATTGTATTAATACATATATTTTAGGTCGAGATGCAGACTGAGAGAAAAGAGTTAGAAAAGAAAATGCAAGAAGAGTTAGAGACACAGTTAAAAGAAAGAGAAAGGGGTTTAATAGAAAAATTACGCGTGCAGCAAGATTCATTGGTAACAGAAAAAACTAAAGTGGAAGAAAGTCTCAAACAAGAAATGGAAAAGGCCCTTGAAGAAAAAAACAAACAATTGGAAATCGAATTAACACAACAGCGTGATAAACTTGAAAAAGTTATAGCTAGTAAAGAACTAGAACAAAAGGTTTTAGAGAGTCAGTTAAATGAAACCAAAGCAGAAAACATTAAGACAAAAGAAGCCATGTTAAGTGCTCGTGAAGATGTGTTAAATAATTTTAAGGATTTAATGGAAGTTGAATTACAGTGTAGTATATGTAGTGAACTTTTTATACAGGTAAGAAGAGTACTATCAGATACTCTCACTACTGATTGATCTCTGTCAACTTATAATATAATAAGTTTCTCCTCACTGACCCGAAATTATTGCAGAAAATCTAATTGCTTGACAAACGAGGCTACTATCAAAACGGCAAACAATGTAAACAATATTGTTTGGAAACAAACAATACTTTAACCATTTTTAATACCTTAAATCACTGTCCAAAGTTTTAGGGAAGACTGCAGATTAAACGAAGGGCTGTCATGTTGTTGTACTTGGGAGAGATTTGATTAAACAAGGAAGAATAGACACACTCCCTCAAAAGCTCAAGTATCAGATTTCAATTCAGCAATGGCCATAAAGGGATTTCTCATATTGCTTCAGGAATATGCACCTTTAGGCGAAATCAGAGAACTGTTACAATGGATTTAGCTTTCTTTCTGTCATACCATTTATAACACATTATCGCTTAACTTAAGTATCGGAACTAAGTAATTTGATTGCTTGATTGATGCTTTATAAAAAGATAAATGTTCAAATAATTAATGATTGAAGTGGGGGACTATTAAGGCATGTTTAGTGTATGTTAAAACCATAATTACTCCTCTAATCTCTTTCCTTTTACAATAAGCCAAGTTGGTTGGATTTTTAATTCATTGATTTGATTCCAAGTGCATGCCGGGCCCAAAAGTTTTTGTTTCCATATTACCATATATAATGATACTGATGAACATCCACAACAACTCTATTAATTTTATTTCAGTCAACAAGTCTGAACTGTTCTCACAGTTTCTGTGCCTTGTGTATAGAACAGTGGATGGCTGTAAAGAAAGAATGTCCTATTTGTCGAGCTCCCATCACCTCTCATATGAGATCTATAGTACTTGATAGTTATATAGATAAAATGGTAGAACAACTAGATGATGACATGAGACTTAGACGCAAAGAATTAGTTACAACCAGAAAAGGTATTAAATTCAATTATTGCTTTCATGACATTTTAAAACGCTACAATTGTAAATGACGAGAGGTTGATGTCAGATATATATTTTTATGTGGCCCAATTTAATATGGATGTATATTTTCATTATCTGTATCAGTCAGTCCATTCAACTTTACATGTGAACACTGTACCCACTAGGGCTGTGCCCATAAACCGATACATCAATACATATCGATGTTTCAGTAATATTGATATCAATACGAGAATAACAAGAAAAGAAGACTACATTTTTGAACATATCAAACTGGCTTAATATATATGTATGTTTGAAATTCAAGAAAGCTTGAGTATAATTTGAACATAAATCTTGATGTCGCTTGTTGCATTATGTGTCCTGTATCGCCTTGCTGTATTGACAATATGCATCATATCGAAAGTAAACAGTATCGTCACAGCCCTACTACACACTTGAATGCTTAAAACTCTGTAAGATTCTTCATTACGGTGTGAGGAAAAATCTCTATCAGTTTTTTTGAAAAGTTGTGAATGTGTTTTGCTGATTTATATTTCCATGTAATATTCAGATTTTTAAAAACTCTATCTATTTGCTACATAAATTTTTTTATCTCAATTTTAAGATTTGAAAATGGTTTTATTAGGTCCTAAACTTTTAAGATCCAATTCTAGCTTTAATTTGCAGAGGAACAGAAAAAATTAGACGATAAGAAGGTAACTGCTGGGGGTTCTGGTAGGGGCAGGGGTAGGGGTAGGGTAAGAGGACGTGGACGAGGGAGAAATACATCAAGACGAGCCACTGCCTCTCCTGCAACCCCTTCTAGACGACCAATTGTCATCAGTGATGAAGAAGAAGAAAGTGATGATTGTGATGATGATGTTGATGGTCCTAATGTAAGAGAAGGAGATAGATCAACTGATTCAGATGATAGTGAAGATGATACCGGTAGTGATGGTAGTGATATATCTGGAGATCCTGATGCATATTATGGTGGATATGGTCGATGCTATTCTTGTGGTAATTAACATTTTAATATCTTTTATTTTATATTGTCTAAAATCTGTGTTACATTTGATCTAGATTTACATTAAGTAATTCATATATTCTGACTGGATTAGCTGACTTTGTATGAGATGTGGGTTAGATCTAAATATTAAGGCCACCTGTAGGTTTCGTCCTGATCATGTGATGTAAACAAAGCTAAGGCTAGACCTAGCCGTAACCATCGGCAACAATCATATGCTCTAATCCTGTTTACATCTTGTGACTGTGATAAAATCTGAAAGTGGCCTTAATAATTAGATCTGAACGAACATGAAAACACTTTAAAGAACATCTAAAAAAGGATTGAGTCAATAGGCTTAGATATCCAGGTACATGTACGTGTACATACAGGTATATTGATTTTTGATTAAAACTGAATTGTAAAATCAGCACAGCAAAAAAAACAACACACCTTTTTTCTAGACTTCAATAACACTGAATAAATGTAGTGATATTTTAAAATGTGCAATTCACTATTTCATTACAAAGCTCATCTTACCTGTAATTATCCACTTCTGGCATCTTTAGTGTCGGGGTTGGGTGGTCGTATAGTCTAGTGTGTATGATTGAGATCTTAAGGTCTGTGAGGTCTGTTATTGATCCAAATGGTGTGGTTTTGACATGGAAAGGAGTCAGGTTACCTACCAAACCCACTGCTAAAGACCCCTATGCACAAGTGGATTATTGAAAAAAATTGTTACTGGTTAGTCCCGAAGTACCTAGTTTGTGTCAAATTGAGTTTATCTGCTGATAATACCAATTTCTAAATTATTATTAGCATTGAGAATGTGTATGGAAAATATGCCATTCTAAGGAGATTGCTCTGCTTAAGGATTATATGCAACATACCACTTATTCCAAACTAAAGGCACTACTACTATTGTTGTGTATTTAACAATATTGTAATACATGTATTAATTATTTTGTAGGAAGATCAGGTCATTGGGCTAATGGTTGTCCAGATAGTTGAAACTGTGGTGGTTATTTGAATTTTGATAAAAGAAAATGGCATAGATGCAGAACTGAAATATGTGGTAAAATCCAGAACAAGTTATTAAAGTTGTGTTCATTCATTACATGATTATCAATTGAACTGTTCATTCACAACAAGTTGGCACAAGATTATCATTTAAAATGGTTGTTCACCACCAGATTATCAATTGAAATGTTTGTTTACTACAAGATTATTGACTGAAATGTTCGTTCACTACAAAATATCAGTTGAATTATTCTTGGTATCTTTGTATAACAGATTTTAGCTTTATCACTAATTACCAATACATGTGACCATATATCATAAGACAATATCAGATGACCATATGAGATGTGTAATACTTAAATGTTTTGTTATATCATATGTGTTATCATTCTTCAAAATACATTTTCTTGTAACTTAGATTTCTTCATATATAAAGAACTTTTGGGTCTCAAGACCCAAGGGGCACAGCAGACGAAATTAAAATAGTACAAATGAAACGATCTGACTTGATTCAATTTGATATGTGTGATGGAAGTATCTTTCTACAATTGCAATATTTATCTAGTTAAAGATACATTATGGGAGATTAGATAAAGAGCTGGCAGTTAAAAACTAGATGATGTTAAGGGAACATTCTGAAAATTTCAGTCAAATTGATCCACTCTGAACCAAGAATTTAGTGATTGAATTTTTGGCCTAGCCTCGGTGATCATTACTAAAGTCGGTACGATAAAAAACATAGTCTTGATTATCCATTTCATGATTTAATCAAGAATGAAAGTTGAGTCGAAAATCGGATCCCAATCCAGTAAATATCGCAGGCTAGCGATGACATCGAGAGTTGTGATCTGGATAAGTTAATTAATGTCCAATTAATAATTTAGATAACATTTCAGGCCTAAAGACAGACCTGCAATAGACAGATTTAGCTCTTGCATAATATATGTTTAAATTATTGTTGAGATATAATTAATTTTGTTTTCAATAGTTTCCTTTTAAAAAGCATGTCTCACACAGGCATGCATTACTCTCGTATACGTAGTGCATAGCGTGTCTCTGTGGTGAAGCCATACTCCTGTTCCGTTCTATCAGCCTTACTCACAATACACATGGGTCGTCCAAATACATGTATATAGTGTAGAGTGTAGGCTCATCATTCGTTTAACTCGTCAACATGGACACTCATTTAGTACCTTTATGTTCCCCAACTACCGACACACGCCTTGCGCTACCTTGGTCTCGCACAGCGCAGATTCACCTGCACAAATACCTACTCTAGGTGGTGCAAGGGGTTACCCAGAATGTGACACACTTGTGTGAGACAGGCTTTAGTCATTAAAACTAAAGTATAGTACTGTATTAAGAAAAGTAGTGTTTTTTTTTTACATGAAGGTCTGTTTATTAAATTTTAAATTACATAAAGGTATTATGTAAATATGTAAAAATACAGAATACTGTGTACATACATGTATTAAAGATTGATTATATTATTTTTTGTTATTTCCTTATTAAAAGAAAAAATACATGAAAGAATTTGAGATTTTGTTTTAATTATCAATCTGAATGTAATTGGTAAAAGTCTGGGTTGCTGAAATTTTCTAATGCATTTTGCTAATTTATATTTGGTCAGGTTTGGAATTTTAGAGCTTATGAATGAGACACTTGGAGATATTGTTCACTTGGGTCTTAGAGGAATCTCATTGAAATTAAGCCAGCAGAATCTTATTGATTTGTAACAATTTTCTGTATTAACTTCAGGAGTTTTTCACCTTTGTTACAAAATCTTGTTGGCCCCTTAGAGGATGCAGTTATGGTCAATGCTGGGGCGACCGAGGGTAGGGGCAACATCAAGTTTGGCGTGCAGAATTTGATAAAATTGGAAGCACAAGACAATATTTATGCTAATTGAGGTGCATATAAGATTTGAGAAGTGAGACTAAAATGGAGTCAATACTTTGCACGTTTGTTTATTGGATGTTATTTCGATGAATGTTGGAGCAAAAAAATATGCTCTGCACTAGCAAGGAATCAGAAGCTGCATGTTTCATTGTTTAGCTCAATTGCACCATTTAAAAAAAAAGAAGTCATGATTATCGATGATTTATTTGTCAAAAATAAAATTAACCATATAAATATGTAAACAAAAAAAGCAATTGTGATTTTTGCATTAAAATGATTTTTGCATTTAATTTCTGGAATGTAATTTTCTTATATACAGCTAGTATATGCTAAATTATGCATTTATGCATTTGTTAACAGTTCTTTCACACAATTGGGATTCAATTTGATATTGAAGAATCAACCATTTTGGAGGTAGGTGTATGAACAAGCACTGGGAGGAGGTATGTGGTTTTCTCTGGGTCCTCACAATGCTAAAGACCTCTATGTGCAAGTGAATTATTGAAATAACATTGTATCATGTTATTTAAAAAATGACAGTGGACATTTAACCCCATTCCCTCCTCTCATTCTTTGAATAAACAAGAGGTTGTCAAGTTGTACAGACATTACTATTATCCATACTAGGGCCGATAAGCTGTACAAAGATTACTATTATCCATAGAAGTGGTGATAAGTTGAATAGAGATTACTATTATCTATAGAAAGGGTGATCATTTGTATAGAGATTACTAATATTAACAGAACGGGCATAGAGATTATTATTATCTATAGGACGGGTGATAAGTGATTACTATTGTCCATAGAACGGGTGATAAGTTTGTAATTAGATTACTGTTATCCATAGAGATTACTATTATCTATAGAACGGGTGATAAGTTTGTAATTAGATTACTGTTATCCATAGAGATTACTATTATCTGTTGAAGATGTGATAAGTGATTACCATTGCCCATAGAACTGGTGATAAGTTTGTAATTAGATTACTGTTATCCACAGAGATTACTATTATCTGTTGAAGGTATGATAAGTGATTACTATTGTCCATAGAATGGGTGATAAGTTTGTAATTAGATTACTGTTATCCATAGAGATTACTATTATCTGTTGAAGGTGTGATAAGTTGTATAGGAATGAAATGGGGTTTATCATCATACTTTTCTGCTCTAATTATGGCTTATGAAGATGGAAGCTGTAGAGATTAATATTATCCAGGGAAAGGGTTATTTTAAATCATCAATTAATATTATCGTAGCTCTCTATTGTATCTTCATCAGCAGCTTGAATACTCAGAGGTAATTCCTGTCTTTTGCTGTAGTTATTTCTTCTCTTGATCAGTAATCTGAAAAATATGATAAATGCACATAACATAAATGTTCCATCAATGACACAAACTCTTTGTTCTGACGTCACCCACTGTATTTGTTCTACAAACATATATCATTTGAGAATTTTGAATCCCTTTGATTTCATAATATTGGGAATGTTGAATCTATAATAGGAATATCAACCCGAAATTGTTAAAATTCTATTCAGTATTAACAAATTGCAAATGATATACACAAGCCAGCACCACCTATAAGTGTGGGGTAAAATCTTTTGATGGGCCTCTTTTTAATCTGATTAATCTGGGAAATTATCTAGCTACCAAGTAATAACATTCGAAAAAGTATATAAAAGTCTAATAACTTACAAGTACATGATAAAAGCTATGATGTGCATTGCTGCCATGACTTGAAAGACTGCACCTTTAAAATTGCCAACCGTTGCTTTGTAAATATAACTGAAGACTGGACTACCTGATGCATAACAAATCGCCTCAACAAATGCTATACTGGCAAATATAGATCCTGGAAAAAAAGATTAGCATTATGTTGTGCAAGTTATCAAGAACATCACATTTGAAAGGAAACCTTTTGATACATGACATTTGATTGGGGTTAGCTGGACTGATGCTCGTGGGCCATCCAACAACAGACATACCAATTGGCAGACTTTATGAAAGGTACAAACTTTTGTTGGTTGGGATTTGGTTTTTCATATTTTAACGGGGGTTGGATGGCTGTATCATAAAGTCTCTCATTGAGTCAACTGGCTTGGTTTCGATTCCCCGGTTGTACGTGACAAGGAGTAGAGTCGCCTGTCCAACCTCATGGGTTTTCTCCGGGTCCTCCGGTTTCCTCCCACGCGCAACATTTAAGCACCTTTCAAGAGAGCTCTTTCAAGACATTTTCTTTCAAAACCATATGAAATTGTTTGAGTTGGATTTAATACATGTATATCCACATTGTCAACAAGTCTGGCCAAAATAAGACCAACATACTATTTCTTGTGGGTTATATCAAATAAATCAGTTATAGTAGATTAAATGTTTAACATCGTTCTAAACTTACCTTGTCTCTCTTTTGTTACCATCTGTGAAATGATAGATCTGATAACAGGATAGGTTCCAAAGCTAAACAGGGCAAATAACGGTGCTGGAAAAAGAAGATAAACTTAAAGATGCATTATTCAAGAGCTAAATCTGCCTCATGCAGATCTTTCATTTGGCCTCAAATGTTACATAAATCGTTAAGACTTTTATTTACATGCCAGCCACATCATCAACTCTCTAGAACTTTTCAACAGATTTAAATATGATTGGCAGTTAATGATTTGATTTAAAAATGGATACATGTAATTGGGACTTTGTTTATTATCGTGACAACAGTAGCAATGACAATCAAGACTATACTGTTCTGCAAAAGACGATGATAACTCTGCTTAGAATGAAGTAATTTGATTGAAAATTACAACACATTCCCTTTGGTTAATGAGTGCACGTTGGATCATAAGGTCTGTCATAATTGAGTAAAGTGGTATGGCTTTGAATCCCCGCTTGTACATTTCAAGGAGTAGGGTCACCTGTCCAACCATGTGGGTTATCTCCGCGTCCTCTGGTTTCCTCCTACCGCTAAAGATCCCTACGAGCAAGCGAGTTATTGAAATAAGATTGAACCATGTGTTATTCCCGAAATCACTTAGTTTGTGTCGAGTGGACATTAACCCCATTTCACTCTTTCTTTTCATTATCTATTTTAGTGAAAACTGTCAGCTAAATCTTACATAATGCATCTTTAAGTTAGATGAATAAAATGATAATGATTACTGAATTAAAGCAGCAGGATTATTTTTAGTCTTTGCATAATATCATCATCTACAAATTAAAGAAGCTAAGTCGATAATGATTGAGATTTAGAAATTGACACAAATGGGTCGCAACGCATATAATAATGTAACATGAATGTATAAAAACTGATTTACATTCAATCGTTTCCATTTTTACCCTAATTTGAAATCAGTTATGTTTGGCAAAATACGCCTGAAGTCTCAATCAATGGCAATCTCTAGCGTCTGGTTATTCCAGTCTACATTGACAGTATTTATTGCGCATGCTCTCCAGATAAGAATATGACGTCACCATTTGACATGACTTGTGTAATATGTCTAGCCTAGTTCTTCGAGTCCCATGTTACAAATGGCGCTGAAACGCATTATGGTACATGATTCGTGTACCAATGGTAAAATGTATATTTCATCTTAAATATTGGATATCAGAAGCTTATCTTTTCTCGGTAAGATCACAACATCAATGTTGACAAATAATTTGTGTTTTCAATGTCGAAGACCTTGGATGATATTGAGTTAGAGACTTAGCTACTTTCAATTTATTGAATCTTTTAACCCTCCACATTTCTAGAATTATATGTTTGAAAACTCTAAATTATTAAATTGGGAAATTAAATGAAATGGGGTTTAATGTCCTACTGTTCTGATCCGAACTGGGCTAATGAAGACAGGCATACGCCATACAATGTGCTATGAGGGAAATTTTGCACGGACAGCGGCACTACAGCCTACTCTTATATCGAATTCTAACTGTCAAGGGATCTTTTACGTGCACGCCCTTGTGTACACAGGATGTCGGTTTTACATCCCATCCGCATGACTGGACTGCTGTCCTTGCCATTCCCTCTGTCCTGCATCACTGACAAGGGGGAACCAGGCCGGAAAATCTGGATGAACTTTCTCCTCTCGGCCAATGCAGGGCCAGCGTCTTACCCACTTAGCCACTGTGATCCCCCTCTAAAATTGGTAAACAGTCTACGAAATAATGTTATTTACCGTAAGTGAGATTACAGAGAGATAAACAATGGGTATTATTCAAGAATATTGCATGTCGTATATTCGACAAATAGTAGGATTAATAGCTGATAAAAGAAACAATTAATTCTCGCCTGTATAGGCCCCTTTACGAAATTCTGAAATACTCATGGAACCCTTTATCATGGAAAATATTCTTGCAAAGAGACCTTGATTTGGCATCAACAGTTGTACTACAAGGTCAGCGGAAAAAAAGAATCTTACCACAGTACACCATCAAATCTGTGTTGCAGAATCCCAAATAAATATCGTAAGCAGCAATAGAGACAGATCCAATCAAAGCGATGGTACCTTCTGAGAAAAATAGTTGCATCAATCGTAACGTAACCAGACCAAAGATACTGATTACACCCATACCAATAGTGTTATACCATCCCAGTTTAATCGGGTCCCAACAGTGCGGTGAATCAAACATAAATAATGTCATAATATTAGATCCACCCACAGTACTTATCACAGAAAATAAAAACCCCAACATGGCTAACCAGAAGATTCCCCGTCTACCATCATAAACTTTACTGAAATAGAATCCGAACACGTTACTCAAACCTTTCTGAGGAGAAATACAGGAATTTGGACGGCGTTCTAATGTTTCAGAAACAAATATTACAGATAAAGCCAAACCAATGCAATTCAAGAGAGAGGAAATTAACATAGGATAGAAGAATCCAAGTCTTTCAATTAGATATCCGGTCAAGATGTATCCAAGACAGTTGGCTAATCCACTACTTACGGCCAACACACCCATAGCGAATGTTCTTGATTCAGATGTTTGCGTGTGGTCTGCAGTAAAAACATATCCCAGTAATAATAAAGCACAAAAGCCCCCACAAACAGCATCAAGTCCAAATCCAATGTATAGATAATCTGTGTTGAGATTCCACAAAATAACCAGAGTCAAACACAAATTTCTTGCAAAATGGCCGAACAAGGCAATTATCAAAATGGCCTTTCTGCCCAAATAATCGACGTAGGCTCCCAAAATGGCAACAGTGAAAATAGCAGGAATGCTGTTAAACAGAATTAGTTGCGTCAATCGAACACTGGTGGTTTCCTGTACATTTACTTGTATCTTGTAGTTCGGATCCGAAATATTCCGGAAGCAAGGGGACTGGTTTTTTAAATGTTTAAGAGTAACATTAGAGTAGAGTTCTTCTCCGACTCGTTTGTAGATATACTGAGGTACTACAATGGTCATTATACAAGTTCCCATGGAAACTAATAATATAACAACATTGATTAATATTAAGTTCTTAAGATTTCCTGGAGAGGTTGATGGCTTCTGAGCCATTCGGCTCTGTAGTAATGGCGTTCCTTCCATTTGGTAGGCCTATAATGCTTCTCTTTACCTTATTTTAGATAAAAATTAGATCAACTATATTATAGCTGTTACAGTGCATTGTTACGCAGAATATACAATAGTGTTGGGCAGTGTTGGCATCGTTAAGGAGAACACATTATAATATTGGCATAGTTAAGGAGAACACACTGTTATATTGACATCAAATAACATATGCCTACTGATATTCTGGCATCCCCAAGCACACTCTCAACTCTTGACATTCTTATGGAGAATACACTAAATTCTTAACATCATGAACATTTGAAATGGTTAAGAATGCCCTTAAATTCCAAATAGGTAATGTAGAATCCACAGAAATCAATGCACTCTTGCGAGATCACCATACCAAATCGCCAACCTTTAAATAAAACAGCAATCTTAATGTAAAATACAACAAATAGCTAATAGGACCGATGCAAAGCTGGTGATATTCCCTGCAGGCCCGTACCCAGAGGGGCGAAGGGGGGGGGGGGCACTGCCCCTCTGAAGCTAGCAAGCTGGCTACGGGCCTGATTCCCAGGCCAGATAACAAATGCAAGCCTACATGTAGGCATCATTTTAAACAAGATACCAGTATATATAATAAATTTAGAACATAAGTTGGTGTCAGTTATCTGTATTATGAATCTTCTTTAATATATCAATATTTTGTGGTTAAGCCACTAAATTAGGACCCTTTTGGCTCTACAAAATCTGTTTACTGTCATAACTTTTGCACCTGCCCTGTCTCTGTTCTGAATAGACAATAAATTTTCACCCTCTTCTTTTTAATTATATATATTTTTTTGTAACACTTCAATGTGTGATCAGTAGTCCGCTGACCTCTATCTTTACACATTCTTCTGTGTTTAAGTGACCCAAGTATGTAAACATGACATCAATTATTGTCTCATTATGATACTGATTCACGAATATTATATTAAGACTTCTTATATCATGGATCCCACAATAGGGATTCTGGATTTATCCTTTGGAAGGATATTCTCTGATTGGAAATTTCTCAAGATACCTGAACGGGGTGTGGGCTCAAGTTGCAGGACAATTTGTGGAAATTCTAAATATCCAATTTTCTGAGCATGGCGAGGGAATGTTAGTATCTAATCAAAATAATTAAGTACACAATATTGTACTGTTTTTTATTTAACCAGTCAAATATAAATATATTTTTATATAAATAAAATACGTCATGAATAATGGAACATTTCTAAACGACACAGCATCATTCTTTCTACACATAGCAAGTATATCTGGACCATATTTTAGGATTCCGCATTTCCGTTGGTGTATGGTATCAAGTGAAAACAAAAGACATACCACCGATGGCTGAATATTGTAGAATAATGTTTCATTAATGACTATATAACTCATAACCATCGGTATTATACAGAGAATATCAACATAACATACAATTAGCTGGAACGCCCGCTGGTGAGAGAAGTTCCGAAATACCTTCAAGCTTTAGACATCATCATATACGCGCGTTTCCATCATTTGTTTATCGAACAGAGGGCAGACGATCTTTGTTACAGAAGACAATAATATAGTACCATCTGGTCAAAAACAAAAATGAATGTCTTAATCAGGCGATCTTCCAACGCTTTAAACACAATAGATATCGGTCGGGTAACCGGAATTTACTTATAAACATTAAAAGAAATAAAAAGATATCGCTTAAGTTTACTTACATTTGTTACATCGTCAAATCATCCTTTTTGCAATGTCATTAATGGACACGAGAAAGTGGGGTTTGAGGTTTCGAAACAAAAACTTTGATAACTTCCAGGGGTTGATTTCCGTTTTCCCTTTGCCTCTTCGCCTCTTCCTCTCCTGTTTCACAGGATTATAACCCTACTTTATAGTATTTTCCATTTTAAATAAATATATCGTTGTTTCTCGATCAAACATACTTTATTCCGACATTTAAACCTATCTCTGCACTGTTAAGAATAGCCTACAGCTGTGGCAGTTCTCGGTTCACTTGCTTGATACTTGATGTACTTAAGTGCGTATCGCTTGTAAATAAATGTTGGACAGATAGGGCGATAGGCGTGCTATAGGCCGTATATACATACAGTTATTTCCAGTCTGTGTTTATGTATGTTTGTTTACAGCCTATTATAAAACGCGAACCAGGTATCGTCCTACCAGCAAGCTCTGGCCTATATATTGACCGCATTCTGTATAGGTAATAATAACAATATTCAGTATCACGTGTTACTATCATTATAATAGTTCTTCTTTAGTTCTGCGTTAATGTTTATTTTTACAGGTACGGTCAGGCCACGTTTTAAGAGACAACTGACAAGGCAGGAGTTTCATAAACAAAATAAAATAAAAGTAAACAAAGCCGACTTCGCATACAAATACTTCCAAACTTTTTTTTGACTTAGGCCTAATATCGAAGAGGTTTAATATAGTTCTAAAACAAATAATGTTGGTTAGATATAATCACTTCAATTTGGTGCTCGCGGATGCATTTTGAAAATACATTTGATCCAGATCTATAGGCACTTGATGGGATTAAAATAAAACTTCTTACATTATACTGTTTGACTATATAACAGTAATATATAGTCATATGTCAAACAGTAGTAAGAAATTTTATTTTAATCCCTTCATGTGCCTTTGATTTGATGATTTCAGGAAAAAAACACGTGCCCAACTCCGACAGCTAGTCTAGGCCTAATTATCGGAAATTGTTGAAAATCAATATTATGCTTCTATTCCAAATTTTAAGGCCTAATTCAATCGGATGAAAACTTCTGGTATTTATTGTGGAATTTTGTCTCTTTACGGATTTCTATTTCTCAATAAAAAAAACTGCTGGAGGAAGGCCTGATCGTATGCACTTAAGGATAATAATATTAGTCATCGCGTTTTGATCTCTATATATATTTAACTGTTTAACCGATGTTTATATAAAACCACGATACAGAATTGGTTTCGTATATCAACAGGAAATAGTCACGCGCACTCTATTAAATTGTTTGACGCCTTTCAGAGAATTTAGCAAGTCATGATCAACACTGTAAAAGTACTCTGTTGATTTCAGAAATTTACACAACAAAACATTCGCAGAATATAAATAAAAGGTAAATGGGCGATTTTTACCGATTTACTGTCGCGGTGCTTTGCCATTTGATCACTTCGAAACTGTTCATAGTGTTTATTTTCAAAGTGCGGAAACTATTGATTTCAGTGATTTCGGATAGTTACTTGTTATTGCTCCTGATCACGTTGAACTATTGTGTTGGCCTACTTTGAGGGTAAATTTATCAACCATGTGATTTAAAATGTACATACACAGTATTTATGTTTGTAGGACGAAGGTACATTTTGATCTTCAAATAATAATATTGCTTTACTACACAACTGCATGGTATACACGAGTATGGTAAAGCATACAATACAAAGTACGATACAATAATAAACATCAAAGAACATAGAATAAGGTTTACAGGGGTTTCTAAAAGTATATTAAATTATATTAATAATGCTAATAAATGACTTGTCGACTGTTGTTGGTGTATGTTTTGTTGTCTGGCAACCTATATTTGTTGATTGCTATTCTATTAGTTGTTTCAATACTTATTCTTCGTTTTTTCAAAATTGCAGAATTAAAATTGAGACCCAATTGCAAAATTTCGCCGGGGGGGGAGGGACAAGAAGATTAAATTTTTGTCGAAATTTCGATCAAGCCTGTTGCAGATTTATTCCATGCAATTAACATGTTTACGAGTCAAATTGTCAGTAGTCAACTATTAGTTGTGGTCTAGCTGTGGACGACATAATAGCGGTGGACGACATAACCTCTACCTTGTGGTCGGCTTATCTGCTACCTTGAGGTCGACTTAACCAATGATTGTCGACCAACTTTTATAACTGTAGACGAGTTTGCGTGTGGACGAGTTGACTGACAGTGACACCCTTTAGAGTTACCCCCCATTTGTCTGCAGACGTTCACTGGAGTCGTAGATTTTCACTGTGCTGGCTGCACAATACTGGATCTTTGTTTCATCCTTGGCTGTTCTTCTGTACTTAATTGTTTATTCGAACTGTCAACGAAGATATTTGTAGCTTAAAAATACAAATTTGTTAGGTATCACTCTTATCTTTAAAGAAAATGCACCTTTTTTTAAAACTCTTTATTATAAATGATTACAAACGTCTAGATTACGGTACCGGTATGATGAATTATTACTCTAGTCTAAGTAATAGGCCCTACTTGAAGTAATTTTCAATTTTGCCACGAAGAAGGCGACGCCGCGACGGTTTGCAACAGTAGGCAGCAGTCTAGTCAGAATCTTTCTAAATGAAATTAAATGTGTTATAACGTCTTACTGTTCTGCACGAATACTTCGTCACTTGACTTGGGATAATGAAATGAACACCATCATCATCACGGCATGAGTAGTGGATCGTTCTAAATTCTTATCAGACTCTGCCTTCTTATCCATTACAGTCTATCCTTATAGTTATACACATGTATTATGTAATATGAAAATAAGACTCTCCCCGCCCTCCCATCTCAATTCTAAGACCAGGGGCGGTGGATGGTCGAATGGTTTGCATGTGTGTGCTGTATCATATAACGTATAAGGTCTGTCATTGAGTCAACTGGTGTGGTTTTGATTCCCTGGTTGTACATGACAAGGAGTAGGGTCGCCTGTCAAACCTCATAGGTTTTCTTTTGGTCCCCCACTTTCCTGACCTCCCACTGCTAAAGACCCCTATGCACAAGCAAGTTATTGAAATAAAATTGATCCATATGTTAGTCCCAAAATGACCTGGTTTGTGTAGAGTGGATGTTAAACCCCATTTCTCTCTCTCTAACAACTAGATACTGACTAGACTATAATGAATGTCTAGTGAGTGGAAATGACATCTCCTGCCTCTGATATTACATACTAAATTATTTTAGAGTCTCAGAATGACCGAAGTAAATTGTGGTATCCAGATGTTAAAACCCATTCTGTTCTCTGCATACATTATAATAAACCAAATATTAGAACTCTGTGACAACCGAAAAATATATTTAAGCTTATTGCAAAGAATTACAAATTTATTCTTCAATTTTTTAAAACGTGTTTTTAGGAAACAGAATCATGTGAAGAAGTGAAACTTTACCATGTACAGCTAGTTGAAACCAAAGACTGTTAACAGTCATTACGAAGCTGCAAAGATGAAGTGGTTGATACTTATTGTCACAACATGGAATTTTCTCCCAGATTTTATGTATTCCTTTGATGTCAATCCGCAAACAGAAGCTTACATTCCTGATTACAATCATTATCATAATCTTACAGCCATTACTTCAAATATAGCAGACATTGTGGCTAAAAATCCTAGTTTTATGAGAATCGACTGGTCTTATAAATCGAAAGAGAACAGACCTCAAATTTTATTACATATCACAAACTTTACCGGCAGTGTTTCCCACTCTGCACATACTCTACAAGAAGCCGTCCCTAAAATACGTGTTTTATTATCATATGGTGAACATGCCAGGGAGTTTATTCCTGTTGAATCATTATTCTATTTATTACAAAACTTAACAAGTGGTTTAGGAGCACCTCATGACAGTCCTGAAGAAATCTTTACACGGACCATCTTGTCCAAGTTCAATTTGTATATTATTGTCATGGCCAATCCAGATGGTCGCAAAATAGTAGAAAAAACAAAAAATTATTGTTGGCGTGGGACAAGTTCTGGTGTGGATTTAAATCGAAATTTTGACTGGGAGTTTGGAAATGCAGGAAGTTCTGATAATCCTAAAGATGAAGAGTATAGAGGAAAACATGTGTTTTCAGGTACGTGCCATATGTAGTTTCTTGGATTGATGTCGTCTTCTGTCATTCACAATTAGATACATGTAAATGTATGCAGGCTAAGAAAAAATCAGAAAAATTCCAGTCAATTATGTTTCTAGATGTTTCAAAAATATTTTAAAACCTTGACGTTCAATATTTACATATAGTACATGTACATGTATTTGTTCAATATGTGCTTACATGTACGTTTTTAATTTTTATGTGGTCATATATTGCCATTACCCCTAACCTTCAGTCTGCCATTCACATCTTGTTTTACTAAAGTACAGTAAATATTAAGGCTGCAATAAACCATATCTTTATGAAATTGATATGGCTTGTGTTTGTCTATCTCATTAAACATGAATGGAGAATCCAGTTAACTTTTGATTATGTAACTCACGAATTTCAAAAGTTATGCCCCTTTGTCATGAAGAGTATATTTATTGTTAGTCATTCACATTATTTTCTTGTTTAGTAAACTTTTTAATCCATTTGTCTTTTTGAAATTATACGGATTGAAAAGAAAAGGTCTTGGTCCAGAGTTATGCCCCTTGATTACAAAATTTTGTTAGAACTTTATCCTATAGGCTACAATTATTAAACAATCTTTCTGAAATTCATATTGGTTATCTTTCCATTCAGTTGAAAGGAAATATTAAATTGATTTTCAAATTCCTGTCCGGTAATAGAGCAAATATTCCTTAGCTCATGTATTATAGCTCAATGTAGTGTATAATATTGTTTAATATTTATTTTTCAGAAATTGAAAGTAAAGTTTACACAGAATTAACTGGTCAGCAATCTTTCGATGCTTTTATATCTTTTCATTCTGGAATTAGACAAATTTATCTGCCATATGCTGGTAAGTATCAAGTTGAATGTCCAAACCTTATCCAATTAGTATGGGGTCCACACCAATCTGTTTCACAGAGAATTACGAGTCTCGTATAATATCTCTGTCATAGATGACTGCCTTAACACGTGCTGTCACAGCACGCGGTGTGAATCATTGGCTGAATGGCGCGTGCATTGTTTACATAAGACATAACTGCTTCGGAGAGAATGCTGCATTTTAGTCATTTTAATACCCATTTACACTAAATCGGAAATAATTTTTAACTACAAATACGTCAAACGCCTTTATTTATTTTTCCAATATATACAAAAAATGTTTTAGAATTTAATTTGTCGCAGGAAAAAAGTTAATATTTCTAGCTCATTAAGCCGCATCAATGTCATCCTTATCAGTGATTGTCGCGGCCAAGCAAATATTCACTGCGGATCAGTGTGGGTCCACACGTCAAAAACTGTATACAAGAGTAGCCTACATAAATGATCTTAATCTGTATATTTTTAACCTTGGTTCTGTCAATGTTAAAGCTATAGCCAGTGGGATAATAGGAATTGTATAATGTTCAGCATTGTGAATAAAATGATGACACGTAAGCAAATAGGACAGACAAGATCATGTTGATAATAATAATAGATATCAGTACATGAGACTTGTTCATGCAAAAAGTAACTTGCTGATTGACAGATGTGTATATTTTATGATACATGTATATATATTTTACACATTCACCAATCAATAGAGATGGCCACAGCTGAGGCTGACCTTAAAAATATCTTTGTTTCGCCTAACGCGACCGACTAACTAAAACCACCCCCGACTTAAATTATTTTATTGCACTTTTCCACGATCTTTTTATTTTATTTTGTGTGTTAACCTGAAATATATCACGAGAGTTATTTCCCTTTACTATGGCTATGGTTTGAATGGTCTCTATCATCTAGAAAAATATTCTACGAATATTAGTCTGGACAGGTTGTCAACATTTGAGAAAAATTGGCTAGATAATCCGGTCTTTCACATTATCATAAACAATGTCTAAGGGAGGTAACTCCTCTTAAAACAAGATGTTTACGCCCATGAAATTAATTTAAGAATGTCATTTCAAAAAATCCATTTGATTGCATGCGAGTTCAATATCTAACACTCATAATTTTTTATTGTAAAATTTCTCTCTTCATGGGCCATATCTATGCTTTTAAAATTAATCCTAATTCGTCGTCACGATTCATGTTTGTTTATATTAATGCAAGAATTATGGGATTTATTGTGGGAAGGGGCGCAACTCTTACTTGACTTGGCTAAAGAGACTGGATAATCAACCACATTAAAAACCAAACTCCCGGTTACGCATGGGCAATGGACTTTACGTTGAAGACTAGGAGGTTCTGGGTGACCGAGACTATGGTTTGATTCATTATTGAAACTGGTTGATCAAGACGAAAGCGTCATAGGTGTCGCTTCTCAACAAAATGGTTGCAGACGAACACACGTCCATTCCCACGAAATGATTCTGCTTCTATGTCTGTGGTGCGTAGTTTTAAACATGACGACGATATTTTCAATATCTGTTTTCGAGAAAAATGAAGGCACAACCCGCACTATCGTTAAAAACGTGTTGAAGGAGTTTCACACTTCAAGTTCGTGGCAAATCGTGTGCGAGTCGGGCATCACGAAAAATTCCCGATGTCATTGATTTTTTTGCCAATTGAATAAAGAAGACGAATGTTTCCACCCGGAAAATTATTAAGCTGTCAAATTAGCTCTCAAGTTTAATAAAAAAAACTTTCAGTTCGTTACTTTTTACGTCAGACCCCAAATTCATTAAACAAAATTAATGAATCTGTAGTATACAGCTAATAAGTTTTCTGTATTGATTTCTCTAACTTTAAAAAAAAAATCTGAAAAAAAAAACGACCTACCGACCCTTCTCCTCGATTGTGGGTCGGGTTTGGTGAAACAAAGATATTTTTAAGGTCAGTCTGACAGTAGATAATAACACATTGAATCAGTCGTAAGAGAGTTTTAATCAAATCAACCAAGTGGAATTGAATTTGGTATGATGATTTAGTGAATTTAGCTATGTGGCTAAACCAAGGAACTAGAGAAATATTTATGTTTTTGTATGTAATATATTTGTCTGTTTCAGATACTAAGTCTAAGTTAACAGTACGAGAGCCACCACATTTAAAAACAATGACAACTCTAGCAGAGCATCTATCAGTAGCTACTAAATATAGATATAGTTATGGTAAAGCATATGATCTAGGTTTCTATACTGCTGATGGTACAATATTTGATTATATAGCTGGTAAAAAACAGGTAAGCTTAATACATATTAATTACTCAACACCACTCAGGAAAGTAAACATAACAAAAGCATATTCATATCAAAAGCATATACATCTAATGCGTTTTCAATTAGTAGCTATTAATAACACCAGTTAATTTATTTCCCACAGCGAACGAATTTTGTCAAGACTCCATTTAATTCACAATAAAATATGTCATTCTCCCACAACCTGCATGGAACTCCGTGCATTATAAGGAATTGTAAGAAAAAATAAAAAGGTATAATTTGCCAATTTGAGATGAATTAAATATGGGAAATACCAAGCCACTATTTTTAGTTACTTTTTTTTGTGGTAATTCTAAATGTGATATGCTACCTAATAAAAAATCAAGTCCGTTAATATTACAAGCAATGTAAGCTAATAACCCTATGCTGAGAGTGACAACAACTTATTGTGACACTAATTCTGACCTCTGTTAACCCCAACTAAAAATGTCGGGACAATTTTGGACCAGAATCCCCTGTATTCACTGAATACGATAACAAGCAAGAGGTTACCATTCAAGATATGCCCACATTTTACAAGTGATGGACAGATAACCGGCTAAAATCTATGATGTTACGGTCTGTACACGCTAAAACAACCAAGATCTTTAGGATAGGATATAAACCTATATTTCAAGTTCTGTCAAAAGCTGAGGGTCCACCATCAAAATGTGGATGGATAAACAGACGACAGGGATGACAGCATAATGATATGTAGGCGTATAGAAATAATAAAGGGTTATCTTTCCATTCGTTTATATTTTTTTTTATATTGCTCTACACGATTGATTTATTTAAAAGCTAGTATGGACAACTTTGTTGTTGGTGGGTATTAGGAGATAAGCCCCGGTCTCTGATTTTGTTTCAATTACTTTTGGGTGTATGGGTTCTTCTAAATATTTGAGTTTTGTTTTACAGGTACCTATATCAATGGCAATAGAACTATGGGGTAAATCTAATCATAAAGGGTTAAGTTGTTTTGACCAGTTTAATCCAAAAAGTAGGCATTTAAAGGTAAATTATACTTTATTTTCATTGCAGAGCATGTGTGTTTGTCTCCCTAACAAAATTTGTTAAATATATGTAATAGAATTCCATAGTACCTATTTCTTCAGAAAACTATTGATTCAATTCCCAAACTATAGAACTATAGAATACTAAAGAATTCAAATAGGCCTATATAACTATGAATTTTTCCAACTCAAAGCACTATAAAAGCAATCTATAGAATACTATAGTATTTTCCAATTTTCACAAATCTATAGAATTCCATAGTACCTATTCCTACTGAAAACTAGTGATTCAATTCCTAAACTATAGAATACCAAAGTATTCCTTCCTATAGGCCTAAATAACTGAAGAATTTCCAACTCAAAACACTATAAAAGCAATCTATAGAATACTACAGTGTTTCTAATTTTCACATAAATCTGTAGCAAAGGCTATGGTATTTACTAGAGAAACTGTAAAATATTTCGGACGAATTCTGTAGAATAATAGAGAATTACATCCTATAGAAAATGGAATACGCCCCCCCACCCCCAAATAAAACATACACTGGTATACTATAGGATCTTTTGCTAAGGGACAAAATAAAACATTGAATTGGCTACTAGCCGTATCCAGGACATTCCAAATTTCCAGTTAATACTTTCAGTGCTACATGCCGCATAAAAGCCACTTTTCTCTGACTGTCATAATGGCATTTTTGCATCAAATGCTCAATTGCATCAAATGTTGCATTTCGCAGTTGCCATGGCAACTGATAGAATCGGTAACTTCAAGACGTAATCCCTATCTCATCAAACAATGAAACTGGGAATATTTGAAAAATGGGTATTCAAATGATCAGAGATGCCAGAAAAAAGCTTGGCAGTTAGGCGATTTTGGCCAAAGTCATTCTCTGGTTGCACCCCCTAATCCATGTTAAGATACAAATCTGAATGAAAATATTGTCGTGATAATTTAAAAAATATGCAATTGCAAAGACATATATCTGGCAGCTGAAACAACGTATCGGTCACATGGTCACCCATTTGCATAGGTTTGTGGCTGATAAACCAACAATTCGTAGGCATATCTGCATCAGGTGTGCCAAAGTCTGATACACAAACTGAACAGGGCCAAGGGGTGGTTTATGGGTGAGTTTTCACTAGCTAGCGTAATATGTCGTGCATCTGACCTCGAACTTTGTGCATGCTAATTCTGGTTATGATTATGACACGCAAATTACTAAAATAGAGATGATTTAAACAAATCAAACTTTTCTAAAATGGTCAGTGGAAAATTGTATTTGGAATACAGTACACTTTTTTGCAAGTCACACTTTTGAAGACTGTCATTCATGGCTACACAAAATCCGAGTATCTCGTTGTCCTGCCAGTCCATCCAAGCAGTTTGTGTCAACCTTTTTACCATGCCAGCTGTGAAGTGTTGAAAATGTTAAACATACATTATGCAAGAGCTAAATCTGCCTATTGCAGGTCTTTCTTTAGGCCTGAAATGTTATATAAACTATTAATTAGACATTTATTAACAAAACAAGACCATAATCGACTCTCGATGGCATTGGATACTCGAGATTTTAACTAGATTAAAACGGCTCGCCATTTAAAAATTTAATTTAAAAATGGAAAACGAGGCTAAGTCCCGATTATACCAGTGCCTTGGTTACCAATTAGACATTTATTAACAAAACAAGACCATAATCGACTCTCAATGGCATTGGATACTCGAGATTTTAACTAGATTAAAACGGCTCGCCATTTAAAAATTTAATTTAAAAATGGGAAACGAGGTTAAGTCCCGATTATACCAGTGCCTTGGTTACCACTGTGCACACATCTTGTCAAAACTACAAACAATGATAAATTGGCTGAGAATAAAGTAATTTGAATGAAATTTTCAATATTTTCTTTTTTTATCATCTATTTTTGAATTATTATAGCAAGAATGACCAACTCTTTATTAAACTCTTAACTAATGTATCTTTAAACACCTTTCTTTTATTGTCTTCTACATGAATGCATTATTATGTTTCCCTTTTCAGCAAGAAGTAGCTGATATTCATCCATTATATGTTTCTTTATTCTTTTTCCTCATTAAATGGAAACAAGAACAGTTTATAACATTAACAGATAGCATGGTAGGTTATCTCCCTTGTTATTTATTGATCACAAGACAAGTATTTCATGTTTTCTTTTTGACCACAGGGAGCCACGGTGGCTAGGTGGTTAAGACGCTGCCTCGCTAGCCTGGAGGTCGGGGGTTCGATCCCTGCATTGTCCGAGAAAGTTCATCTGAATTTTCCAACGTGGTTTCCCTTTGTCAGATGTCTAGTCCTTCGGATGATACGGAAAACCAAGGTCCCATGTATACATTGGAACGCATGTAAAAGATCCCTTGGCAGTTGGAATTCGATATAATTTAATTCTCCCAATACCCAAAATAGTGTCAATCGAGTGAAAAGGAGAATTTCAGAGTACAATGCATGTGCCGACTGCATAAAAAAATATCTCAACCAATCATGGCAGCTGATACATATTTGTTACTTAAAATACGTCAAGATTCTAATCATACCCCCTCAGCTATTGGGACTGGCAGAACAGTGACATGGCTGAATTCTGTATCACTTGATTGCAATTCTGTCAGTTTGGGATGTTCCGGACAATCGAGCTCCCCCGCGGTGTCAGTTGATCATTATTTTCACCAACACCATTTCTAGAAATGCATGTTCCGATCACTAACTACTGAACCATTATAACTCATCTAAACTATGAACAATCACATTAAATCCAAATGAACTTGGAAATTGATGTTTTATGTTTCTTTGATGCCATTAATAGAACATGATATTTTTAAACTTTTATTTCAGAAAGATGTTCCCTCCATGACTTTCGGTTATATTTTACTAATTATTGTGATATTCTTAACTTTCTTTGTCGCTTTACAAAGAAAATGGTGCCCGTGTACAAAACTGTTTCCAAGGAGACGTGTTATCAGTTTAAAATCACTGAGTTCAACTATTACAGTTTGGGGATTTAAAAGTTCATCTGCTTGATAGTTTGTATCCTTTGTATATTTATTTATTTAGGACCATTAAAAATGTTGTTAAAAATAGACCATATGCTATGACCAATAGACTCTTCCAAAACATTATTTATAAAGTACTTAGTGTTATTTCCAAAAAGGAGCTTCTTATTGTTTACCATTTTAAAATGTTTGTTGCACTTTGATTTCAATAGCATAGAATCAGAAAAAATGCTTTTCTCACACCTAATCCTCAAAATATGAAATCATAAAACGTCCTTTTGGTGATATTTATCAGAGGCTGGATGTGGATGTCATCTCACCTTTAAAACATTTTACAATGCAGCTGTACTGACTACTGAACTTATGTCTTTCACTTTATAACATATGGCATATGTATATATGTAATATGCTTTGTGAAAGCAGGTGGAGAGAATTCACCATTGTCATAAGATCTTGTTCTAGAATATTACACATAACTGTTTACTTCTCTGTAAAAGATGTGTTGTTCTCACAAATTTTCTTCTGTAAAACCTGATAATTTGATTCATTTTATTTCTTATTTATAGTCGAAGAAAGCAGGGGAATATTAAAATGGGTCTGTCCACCTGTCTGTCTGTTCGTCACACTTTTTGGGACACAGTAACTCTCCCTCTAATTGATCTGGAATTTTCAAACTTGGTGCAGGTGTTTATTAGGTGAATACCTCGATAAGCAATTTGATTGGTTGATGCTTTGGGGCATCATCACTTTGGCTCTAATTAAGTGAGCTTGATGAAACTTGGAATATAGTTTCATTCTTTTGATACCTTGACTAAGTTCGATAATGACCATTTTCTTCTCAGGGTAAGCAGAGCATTAAGCATTGGAGCTTTATAGCTTTGAATCTAATTCATACATTGACTAAGTTCGATGGTAAGCATTTTCTGCTTAGATTAAACATGCATTATGCAAGAGCAAAATCTGCTTATTACAAGTCTTTCTTTAGGCCTGAAATGTTATCTAAATTATCAATTAGACATTAATTAAGTTATCCAGACCATAATAAACTCTCGATGTCAAGGCTATCCTTCGATGTTGGCTGGATTAGGTTCCTATATGCCGCTAACGGCCATTGATAATTAAATTAAAAAAAGTGGATAATCGAGACTATGCTGTTTATATTAATGATTTTAGTAATGATGACCGAGACTATGCAAAAATTTCACCCGCTTCTTTCTCGGCTCATAGTGGATCAATTTGACTGAAATTTTCAGCAAATTACCTTTACACTATCTAGTTTTTAACTACTATAGCGAGAACTGCCATCTCTTTATCTTATCTCCCATAATGTATCTTGAAGTAGAGATTTCAATCTGATTGGTCGAGACTTTGGAACACAATAAGTCTCCTAATAGAGGTACGACACTCAAACTTATTGTAGGTGTTTATTAGGTAAATGCCTTGACATTGTTCGATCAAGCACATTTTCCACTATGGCTGAGCAGAGATAAGCAATTTGATGGGTTGAGACTTTGGAACACGATTACCTTGGTTCTAATTGGATGAGAGTGATAAACTCTCATTATATCAATACCTTGACTAAGTTCGATGATGAGAATTTTCCGCTTATGCTAAGTAGCGATAAGCAATTTGATTGGTCAAGACTTTAAACGTGTGAGTTCACTGATTAACATTTTTCGCTAAAGCTAAGCAAAGCTAAGCAATTTCATTGATCAGTGCTTTGTCACAGATAATTTGATTCTAACTGTTGGAGAGTGATGAAACTTAGTGTATCATTTCACAACCGGGTACTGAGTACTATCATGCTTAGACTAAGTATAGATAATCAGTTTGATTGCTCGATACTTTTCAAAAAGATAAATGTGCAATTAATATGTGTCATCTACTTATTTTTAGATTGCAGTGGGGGACATCAGCTTCACTGTTGGCTTGTTTTATATTTAAAGCAGCAACATGCCTAGAATACAAAAATATGTACTATTTTACTATTATTATGAATGTAATTGCCTGCATGTACTTCTGGTTATAGAAACAATGTATAAAAAAGGAATCATCATGCTAATATTAAAATTTTAGCAAAATATGATTTCATTAAGTCATGTTTCCCCCTTAAATTTAGTCTTTATTCAGCTTACTTAAAACAACAGCAGTCTTATGCATAGTTGAAATGGATTGTTAGCTTAAAGATGCATTATGTAAGATTTAGATAAAGAGCCAATCGTTCTTGCTAAAATATGTTAGAAAAAAGACAACTCAAAATTAATATATTGAAAAGTTCATTCAAATTATTTTATTCTGAGCAAAGTTATCACTGATTGAAATTTTGACAAGATGTGGCATAGATAGTTTATTGTTGTAGTAACTTACTCTTTAATGGAGACTCGGCCTCTCTTCTCCAGTTTTTAATTAAATCATTAAATGGCAATCATATTTCAATCCATTTAAATCTCTGCCCTTTTGATGGTCTAGAGAGTTGATTATAGACTTGTCATGTGAATAAATGTCTAAAAAATAATTTATATAACATTTGAAGCCAAAATATAAACCAGCAATAGGCAGATTTAGCTCTTACATAATGCATCAAGACAATTAGATTTCAAGGAATAGCTGATTTTAATTTACACTTACAGTCGATTTTATTATCTAGTTTAAATTTTCACTCGGAGGCCATAGCTGATCTCTTTGATTTGATTAGATCTGATGTACTAATTATTTAATGTGTGGGAAGGAAATATCTCTTTAATTAATATTTTTTATATCTCATTCTGTTTTCATTGTTTAATGCACATATTTCTGTATACGCACATTTAGTAATGTGCAGATTGTGATTGATCGACTCAGATGAACCTACCAATATAAAACTTCTGATACAGACAAATCTGCAAATTCTTAAATAAGGCTTTGATTATCAATGTATTTAATTGGCCATTTTATCAAGGTCTTATTTATAAATTCGTAAACCTTATAAAATCTTTCAAATTGAGGCATTACAATTAGGAGTCAATTTTATGAAATTTAAATCAAAATTTTACAGTTACACCCATTTCATTTGTTAACAGCTAAAATCTATCTTAGGGTTCTGAAATTTAAAAGTTTTTAAGGTTTTACTGTCGGTGATGAGTTAACCAACAAAATGTGAAAACCAGAATATTTCACAGCTGAAGTCAGTTATATAGGTACTAGTTTGGGGCTCTAATCCATTAATATTACACATACCTTAATGAAAATAGCAAAGTTACAATAAAATATTGCATGCTGATTTTGATGGTGATATTGAGCAACTGCTGATGAATTGTTGTGTAATTGAGTTTTTGCGCCAATAGTAAGATATTCCTTTAAATTTCATGAGGCGACTCATTGCAAATGACTATTTCCATCGCAGTGTAATGCAATTGATGTGGACGTATATTTATTTGTGGACACTCTACAGGTCACAATTTTTATCCAATTTTGATCTACATTTGCATATCAAACTTAGTGCTCTGCGTAAGATGCTATGTAGAAAGCGTGAAGGCCAACTGTGATGCGGCAGAGCGCAAATGTAAAATGTATTGAGGGAAATGTCAAGAAACAGCATTTGACACATTGCGTTTGATGTTTTACATTTAACTTTGTCGTTAGACTTAGAGGTATTTTGACTTTATCATTACCGGTATTGGGACTTTGTACATTGTACTTTTTACACATAATCAATGCAAAAGACAGATTAGCAGAGCATTTAATAGTGGCAGCGATACCCTTCCATTTTCACAAGGTACACCCAAGTCTACGAGAAACCATCAAAATGCCTTTTTTACCAATTGTTTGGTGTTTGGCGTACCTTTTTTCATAAATTGACTGATGTTTAAAAGACCTGACAATCTCAAAATTCGGGACTTTCAGCACAATTTGAAAGCTCTAAATGTGAGTCTTTGAGCAAAGGCTGAGTCGGGACTCCAACCATGAAATGTTTTTCAAAAAAGAAAATCCCCAGCAACAGACTTCACAACACTGTGTAGATGGTTTTTAAAAATTATATTCTTAGTCCAGTACATGTTTCGGGCTAATAGCCATTCATCAGCCAGAGTTGAAAATGTTTTTCAAGGTGTTTTAATATTCTTGATCACTTTGAGGAGGGTTTTGAGGTCTCCTACTTAACCCATCTGCATTATTGTGATCGAGTCCACGACGATACTTTAAATTGAAGTCGTACACAGATAAAGTGGCAAGTCACCTGTAACCAGTAGCGTCCAGTTTGGCTGTTGATAACATGAAGGCTACGGGATTATTATCGGTTACGACAGTGAACTTTACACGAAACAAACTTGTCCGTCACCATCCATTTTAAGGCAAGAAATTCTTTCTTGTAGGCTGGGTAGTTGAGTTCACTGTTGGAGTCTAACCAGATTCTGTTTTAACATGATAAGGTTTATATCAGGACCTTTATTTGACAGAGTTTCCACTCAGTCCTTAGTAGAAACTCTGTTTAGTTTAACGATAGACCATTTAGTTTTTTTAATACTAAATCAGGATTTGCAGATTCTTTGCATTTGTACCGAAAATGTCTGTTTTGTCCTCAGTTGTGACAAAATTTCAATTTTTGGCGAGGTTTAAAGACAGCTTGGCGGCTTCTTGACTTCTCAGGATTAGACTGTGTAGGACTGAACTGGGTTTTTGATATTCTGTCTATCTGTCGCTGCATGATTTTTAACACACACCTTATATCATCATTGTTGGGGGGGGGGGGTGTGGATGGCTGAATGTTTAGTACGTGCGCGCTGTATCATAAAGCCTGTCATTGAGTCAACTGGCGTGGTTTCGAATCCCCGGTTGTACGTGACAAGGAGTAGGGTTGCCTGTCCAACCTCGTGGGTGTTTTCTCCGGGTCCTCCGGTTTCCTCCCACTGCTAAAATCAACCATATGTTAGTCCCGAAATGACCTAGTTTGTGTCGAGTGGACGTTAAACCCCATTTCTCTCTCTATCTATCATCGTTATTGCTGGGATGAATTTGAGATTTGAACGCAGCCATAATACCTGGCCATTCTCGTTCTGCAACACTTGTATTGGCACCGAGTACCTGCTCCGCCTGTCGGACCTCCTTTATTAGTGAGTGAACCTCTGTGGCATTCCCCGAAGAATACTTGATATGCAACATCTGCTTAAGAGTATCACTGTTGCATGTTTGCTTAAAATGATTAACTATAGTCTCTTTAATCAAATCAGCTGGTATGCCATCTAGCCGTTTTAATTTGCATAAATGCTTCCCAAAAAACGATATCATAGCCACTTGTTTTCAATATTTACATTTTTTTCGTTCGTTAACGTTAGTCATCAGAATGACCCTTTTACCTAAAATGTCATCTATGATTAGATTGGAAACGCTTTAAGGATCAACAGCTTGATTAGGAATTCTTCCTGATAGAAGCCAACCTACTTTACTACCAAGAGCAACTGGGCCTGTATCACCTCTTCTTATTTCACCTGTAACTATCTCCCAATAGAAATCAGATCCAATCAGGATGTCAATGCTTCCAACAATGTTATCAGAGTGGTAATCAGCTAAATCTAAGCCAAAGAGATGCGGACAACTATCAATGTTCAAACGAGATTCAAGCGGTGAGCATATACTAGGAGAGGTTAATGCATGAACAGTTTAAGTTTCACTGTTGTTAAGTAAAACTGAAAACTGAACAAGTTCACAATGATGTTTTGTGTAAAATGTTCGTTCTCTTCTGCTTCTGTATTTTCTTTTCATTTATGTATTCGGCTTTCTCTTGTGTGGAATCTTCTCTGTGTATGTTTTTCAAATGTTTATAAAGGTTGTGTCTCATATTGAAGGTCTTCTGGCAAAAGCTGCATTAGGCGACGGCTTCCATCTTGGAATGGTAAATTTTGAAAATGACTTAAGCTGTTTCATTAAAGCCACCAGGGCTAGTTCTTACTTTTTAGGATGTTTAGTCATGCAGATGCAATTTTTAAATAACTGAAAAAAACATTGAGAAACATTTATTTTTAAAAAATGTAATACTTACATAACAGTACTAGGATCCCTGTCCATCACTAAATTAATTATGTTACTTGTACCTACCATACATCTCAAATGTTTTCTTTGCATCTGTGAGTACAAAGATTTAGCTTTTTATTTACCTAAAGATTCACAATGCAGCAATCTGTGTGGACTACTCAGACAACTTACCTGTATCTGCTGTGGACACATGTTTTATTTGACAACATATTTACAATCATTGTATACCAGTACATACCAAAAAAATGCTACATGCTGTTGTTTATCAGCTGTGCAGACATCTACACATTTTAAAATATGTTTTCAGTAACATAATATTATTTTGTCTGGAATCTTTTCTTATGTTATTATGTTATATGAGATGATAATTTTAACTGGAAGCATCTTATTCTTATTTCCTCTGTTTGACTGTGTCGTGTGAAACCTTTTCCGAACAGTAATTAATAATTCTTATTTCCTCTGTCAAATTTGATTTCGGGTTGCTGTAGCAATAATATTGTTATTTTCTCAGAAATCATTTTTGTACATATTCATATGTTAAATTAAATCCTTTGTCAGTTCAGAATAGAACTGAAATCGTATTATTAGTATTTCCTCTGCTGCGGTTGTATGTCAGCTGACTGCAGGCTTCCACATACAGTAAAATTTGATTTTCAGTGACTGGGGCAATGATGTTGTTATATTACTGTTTTTTCCTCTCTGTCTGAAACATTATTTATTACCATACCTGGTATTTATTAAACATACTTTATGCAATAGCAATATGCCTATTACAGGTCTTTCTGATTTAAAAAAAACCCCAAAAAACGTGTGAATATATCACAGTCATACACTAATGATGGTTGAGTTCGAATTTCGTGAAAATCAGACTAAAAATGACCGACATAATGGCCGCCCCATGTACACAAATAGTGTAAAAATAGTGGTATATCAAGGTTGTGAATCATCTAGAAGCCAGTTTTTATCTAATTTGGATGAAACTTTAAATACATGTATATGTTTTTATCTTAAAGATCTTGGTTCCTTTTGATATTCACAGATATCTATATGTAACTTCCTGGATTATGGCCCCTGATTGGTCGAAAAAAAATCACATTGTTAGCTTGTGGATTCTCTAGAGGTGACATTTTTTTTTCCGATTTTAAAAAACATTTAGATATATCACCATTCCGAAAAATGAAGGTTTAATTCGAATTTCGGGAAAATCGAAATAAAACTTCCCGACAAAATGAGAATTTGCTTATTTAACAATTTAAGTTGCAAGAATCTTAAAAAAGTAATATTTTTCAGTTTCACTGTTTGAAGTTGAAGCATTGTATTTTCAACTCCAATCAGTGAAGACGAAAAATATTACTTTTTTAAGATTCTTGCATCTCGACTTTTTCCCTGACAAATGCCCTTGGCCGAAATATCGGAATCAGGACTTGTTATAAACTAGAATTATAGTTTGTTTCTTCTCTATTCAAAGTAAAAACATTATATGACAACTTGTCATCTGTGTCTACCTTCATGTAACAAAGCAGGGTTAAAGGGGAAGGTTAGCCCAAAAATCTATGGCTTTCAGTGTAAACTCTTGTTTTGGCATCTAGAATCAACTGTCTAAACCTGAATTTATATACCCAGTTCTTAAATGTTTAAGGCACTCCGCCCTCTGTAGTTGCTTTTGCTAAAAATAGACACAGCTATAGACTTAGTGTAGATATATCTACTTTTAGCCAAAGTAACTAATGAGTGTTAAACATGGATACGAGAAGGGGGACGGCAACACTCCCTTAGTAAGGTGACTAAAGCTGGACAGGCTGATATATCTGCGTGGATACTGGATCAAAAAGAGATACAGATATAGGATTGTTAAAAAAGAAAGGATCTTTAAATTTAATCGAATAAGTTAAACTATAAGAAAAGATTAGAGAGTATATATACAAAAATTGCAGATTAGATAGAAATTTTTTTAATAATAAACTAAAATATATTAATAATTATCTTTAAAGAGATATTAATATGTTAAAAAATGATTATTTCTAATAAATTATTTACATTAACCTAAGATTGATGTTCTCTAAAATGGTGGCGGAGGTGGCAGTTTCTTCTTCATCGGTGATTGAGGGATCAGTGAATGGAGTGAATATTTCTTGTGGTGGTGGTTCTAGTGGTTTGGCTGTGAAAGTATGATTTTCCATGGTAATTCTAAAGCCGTTGATATAGATATATCTTGGTCTCCATTCGAAAGGGCGAATCCAATCTGTTGGTGGCAGAATTGCCATTATTTCATCAGTGTTGATGATAGGATGTGAGTTGTCTTTAGAAGCTTGGGAATCACTTACATCAATGTTTTCCGTGATTTCTCTCGTGGTAATACTGGAGGCTTCTTCTATTCTGTTTAAAGTAGTTGCAGGCTTCTTGGTGTTGTATGAAAGCCCATTCTTGCATTTCTTCTTTAGTGTTGCTACATGGTGAATGTTTCTAATGTCTTTTTCCATTACTGACAGTGATGAAATTTTTGTCACATAACAGACATCTGAACATCTTGATTAATTTTGTTCGTTTAAACCTCCAGACGCTTGGGTTGCTAGGAGGTCGATGAAGGATTCTTCATGACGTAATCTGATGTTGATATTACGTGACGTATTAATGATAATTTGGACCTGGAACTGGTGTCCCGTGCCGTTGAAGTGTTTGGCTACTGGTGTATCGTTAAATTTTTTGATCTCGTTATTATATCCGTATAAACAGACGTTCAACGAATTGCTAGTTTGGCCTACATACTGTATTTTGTAGTCTTTGCAAGTGATTAAATAAATGACAAACTTGGTGTTGCAATTGAGATGGTGCTTGATCTTGTATTCTTTACTGTTGTAACTGGATTTAACTTGGGTTGATTCTAGTAGGAGTTTGAAGCAAATGCAGTTCCTTTTGAATCTGTAGCAACCCTGGGGTTTAATATCATCTTTATTAGGTATATCGGATCTGATGAGTAGTTTTCTTAGATTTAAATTTCTTTTGTAGAATATACAAATTTGGCAGTTGTGTAGTAGTTCGATTGTCTCCATGGTTTTTGATTAGTGGTAATGATCGATTTTAGGCTAATGTTAAACATTCAAGAATTTTGATTAACTGGGTGGTGGAATCCAGGTTTAGACAGTTGATTCTAGATGCCAAAACGCATAAGTTTATACTGAAAACCATGTATTATTTGGCTAAACTTTCCCTTTAAGAATTATATCATGGGTTTGCTGTATTTGTATAAAAATTAATAATAGATACCTGTGTTACTGTCGCCATATATTTTCTCAAGCTTGTTGATGTAACTAAGTCTTTTTCTAGGTCTGTTGATCGGCATGCTTTGGCCAAAGCATAGTAAGCCCTAACCACTCCATTCCCTAAAATGATGAAAGAAAAAAGCTGATGAGTGAATTGTAAAACATCTTAAATGACAAAGCAAACAAATAAGCTTTAAAAAAAATTGCAAATTGGGAGTAGTTTACTAAATTTTACCTTGATTGTAAAGATTTGACATACCTTTGCCAGCAGATACATAACAATTTGTCTTGTTTTTGTTTGAGCGCTTTCTTATATCAACATCTGTTAAATAACTCAGAGCCTCTTTTGCTGTGACTGGAATAATCACTGGAACACCTCTTCCAGTCTAAAAAAAATAATATATGTTTAGGTTCCAAGTATTTAATAGGGTGCAACTCAAGATTTTCACTTTCAGAAGCTTTCTAGAATTGATCAAATCTCAGAATATTTACCTGCTCTCGCTTCAGCACGTTTTTGGGGTTTTTTTTCAACAATTCTTAATATCAAGCAATCTTACTTCTGCCAATTCACTCAGATATGTTTTTTTCTTCTATCTAACTGTTTTAATTTGCATAAATACTCCCCACAAAACGATATCATAGCCACATGTTTCATATATTACAGTAAGAGCAAATTACTCACAGTCACTTGTGGTATTTGATACTGTTGAAGGCTTTCGAAGCTCGGAAGAAAATCATTTAGTTCTTTATAGATGGTTTGGTCGTCACCATGCTCTCCTTCTGCATCCATTAATTCCGAAATCAGTTTCTGTGCCTCTAACCGATTAAGAGCTGATGTATCACCAACTATTATCTTTAAGTGGTTGATAACTTGAGTAAAAATTAAAGAATCCCCGCCAAACAGAACCAGCAACAGACTTGTAGATTTTAAAGATCTTTATATGAATCAACGTTTCGGGTGTAATACCCTTTTTCAAGAATGATTTTTTATGAATCCTGTGACGCCTTATATACAAACAAAAGAGATGACGTCACAGGATTTTTAAATTTATGTACAATGATTGGTTAAACAGTAAAGGATTGTTAAAATTAAGGATTGTTAAAATTAAGGATCGTTAAAAATTAAGGATCGTTAAATTTATTTGTATGTACAAAAAGATTTTTAAAAATAATAAATTAAAGATAAAATTATTAAAGTAAATTAAATAGTGATTTAGGTTTTATTTTGACAGTAAAAAATTTTAGGTGAATTATCGCATATTTAAATAAGATAATTGTCATTAATTTCTTCTAAAATAGCGGTGGCGGTGGCTGTTTCTTCTTTATTGGTGTTATTAACGGGAA